CATTATTTAGGGATTAAAGGTGGAAATCTAGAATTTAATATAGAGAAAATTCAAGAACTGATTCTGAACTGAACTGAATCTAAAAAGGTAAACCTAAGCTCAGTGTTGGACTGATTCTAGCCCGATCTTGGTTTAAATCTGATCTAAAGCTATTCTAAACCTGAACAAAACCTGGCTCTGGTCTAACCCTGATCTAGTCCAACGGAACAGGATATTCTACTCTAAACTACCCTGAAATCCATCTAAACCTACTCTAAACCTGAACAAAACCTGGCTCGGTCTGGCCTTGATCTAGTCCAAGCTGGAACAGCCCTACTCTAAACTAACCTGAAATCCATCTAAAGCTATTCTAAACCTGAACAAAACCTGGCTCGGTCTGGCCTTGATCTAGTCCAAGCTGGAACAGCCCTACTCTAAACTAACCTGAAATCCATCTAAAGCTATTCTAAACCTGAACAAAACCTGGCTCGGTCTGACCCTGATCTAGTCCAACGGAACAGGATATTCTACTCTAAACTAGCTTGAAATTCATCCAAAGCTACTCTAAACTTGAACAAAACCTGGTTCTGGTCTGACCCTGATCAAGTCCAACGGAACAGGATATTCTACTCTAAACTACCCTGAAATCCATCTAAACCTACTCTAAACCTGAACAAAACCTGGCTCTGGTCTAACCCTGATCTAGTCCAACGGAACAGGATATTCTACTCTAAACTAGCCTGAAATTCATCTAAAAAACTACCAATGTAGAGCTAAATAGTTTTTTCGTCAATTCGAAACCAATTCTAAACGTTTTTTGATTTCAATTTGACAATAATTACAATTAAATACTCAAAAATTGATTAAAGGACTGAAAAAGTGCTAAAGTTGGTTGAGCTATGAAGTTTTGAAGTTTTGGAGGGAAGAATTTGAGGGAAAGGGATCAGTTGGGGACAGTTGTTTAGAGAAAATGGCTGCCATTGCTTGAGAAAAGAAAAATGCAGAAAAGAGAAGGAAATAAAGGAATTAGTGGTGGTGAAAATGAGGGGAAATCTTTTGGTGAAAGAAGAAAGAGGAGAGGCAGAAGGGGGAGGGTTACCCCTTCTGCCTCTCCTCTGCCCTGGTCAAGAACAAATAGATCCTCGTTTTTTTCCTTGAGTATTTAGCGTTACGTTTTCGAAAACCTCAACTCAAATGTGCATTTCAGCTGGAACTGGAAGTGATAAAGGTTTCTTTCAAAACTATTCTTGCAGGCAAGCGGCCGGGCTTGCTTGGGTTACAAGGCTTGCTTGGGCTTAGGCTTAGCTGTGCTAGCACAAGCCATATCCTATCCGACGCAGAATTTTATCCTCATTCCCTATTTGCTTTCCGTTTTTGCAACACAGCACTCTGTCAGAAGTTATAAGCGCTCAAAATTTTGTATTGGATTTCAAAAATCACACCCTCCTCTTGAATATAAGCAGATTTCCCAAGAAGCTGAGGGGTGGCTGAGTGGCACTGGGTTTCAAATATAAGTTGATTTTAAACTACTTTTCAATTCTGCATGAAAATGCTTACTTTTAACCATTAACATCAATGAAAAACAATTCAAAAAAGCAAAAAGTAGAACGGCGGACTCGAACTAGAATGGCTTTGCCTTCTATCCTAAAGGTTATAAGGGACTCATAGTGAGATAAGAGTCGAGTGTCGTCGTCCCCCCCCAAGTCCCCCCAAGTCCCCCCCCGAATGCTTCCCAAGTCCCCCTAACTGCCCCAAGTCCCCCTAAGTGCCCCCCCAGTCCCCCTAAGTGCCCCCCCAGTCCCCCTAAGTGCCCCCCCCACCCCCAGTCCCCCTAAGTGCCCCCCAGTCCCCCCTAAGTGCCCCCCAGTCCCCTAAGTGCCCCCCCACCCCCCAGTCCCCCTAAGTGCCCCCCCCAGTCCCCCTAAGTGCCCCCCCAGTCCCCCCTAAGTGCCCCCAAGTCCCCCCTAAGTGCCCCCAAGTCCCCGCAAGTGCCCCCCAAGTGCCTCCCGACTGCCCCCCCCAAGTCCCCCCTAACTGCCCCCCAGTCCCCCCTAAGTGCCCCCAAGTGCCCCCAAGTGCCCACAAGTGCCCCCAAGTGCCTCCCGACTCCCCCTCCCCCCCGCCCCCCAAGTCCCCCAAGTCCCCCCAAGGGCCCCCAAGTGCCCCCAAGTGCCCCCAAGTGCCTCCCGACTCCCCCCCCCCAAGTCCCCCAAGTCCCCCCAGGGCCCCCAAGTGTCCCCCGAGTGCTCGCCAAGTCCCCCTAACTGCCCCCAAGTCCCCCCAAGTGCCCCCAAGTGCCCCCAAGTGCCTCCCCGACTCCCCCCTCCCCCCCAAGTCCCCCAAGTCCCCCAGGGCCCCCAAGTGTCCCCGAGCGCTCGCCAAGTCCCCCCTAACTGCCCCCAAGTCCCCCCAAGTGCCCACAAGTGCCCCCAAGTGCCTCCCGACTCCCCAGGGTTTTTCGAAATTTCTATTCGACAGTGCCCTTCTATTACGGTAGATTGATTACAGTAGATTCATTTTTTACCTTTTCTGTTGGATTATTTAGAAATGAATTTTCTGGAGAGATTTATTGATTAGTTTTGAGAGAAAAATTTCTTGAGAACATTCGAAATGATGAATTGATCGATTGGAAAGTTTACGCTATTTGATAAAGCAAAGTTGAAGCATAGTTGAAAGCTAATTGAATTTACTGTTTTAAAGATAAAAAAAATAGGAAGACGCAGCTCGACTAAGACCTAAGAAGTACGGATATGCGCCAGCTCTCGGGACTCAGAGATCCAGTGGAAGTGATCGAGGGAAGAAGACTCAGATGGGCCGGCCACGTAGCCAGAAGAACAGACAGATGGACGATACGGATCACAGAGTGGCTACCACGAGACCAGAAGAGGTCCAGCAACCAGAAGACCAGAAGACCAGCAACGAGGTGGAGCACAAGAGTGGCAGAGACGGTCAGAGAAAGGATGGCTAGAGTGCAACCACCAGCACAAGCAAGTCGAGCAAGTCAAAGACTTCGAATCAGGAAGAATCAAGCTAGGAAACACTGGATGACAATATCAAGGGATAGAGAAATGTGGAAGCAGGTTTTGATCCGAAATAGGAACACCTAAGTGCGAAAATTTGCCAGTGGAAAAATGAGAAGACTTAGCTGGGGAGAGATTTAATCTCCAAGTTTTAGACCAGTTTGCAATTAGATAGATCAAAAAGATCAAAATTAACTGTAGAAGAATGTTTTGCGCCAAGAAAAAGCAAAAGTTAGAGAGGAGAAAGTTGAAGAGAAATTATTGCGACGAAATTGGTGGTGTCTTTTGTTTCAGAAAAGGTTTTTCAAACATTCGATCGCTGAATTTGAATGATATGTTTACATAGCGGAGGCATGAGAAAAGAAGAAGACAATTCTCTTTTCTCTTTTTCTTTTATTTTTCTTTTCAATCACTCTACCCCATTCGAAACCTCTTCACACTAAGGCTAAAACCCAAAATCCATCACGAAAAACACGAAAAACAAAAGAAAGACTGAAAAGCTGACTTTTTTTTATTATAAAAATGATTCCTAACTTTTTCTATGAACTTTCTATAAACTTTCTTATCAACCTAGTATTATATAAAAGCCAAAATTGATAGAATATTAATAGAAATTGTGATCTTTGTTCATCTCTTCTTCACTCTCAAATATTTCATCAATGGTGAGAAGAGAAGCATATGGTGATTCAATCTGATATGGATTTTTGATCTTTGAAAGCCTTTTTTGAACTTTTTTCTGTAAACCAGCTGAAGCCAAGTAAACCAGCTCAAGCCCTGTAAGCCAGGTGAAGCCACGTAAACCAGCTCAAGCCCTGTAAGCCAGCTCAAGCCAAGTAAACCAGCTCAAGCCAAGTAAACCAGCTCAAGCCCTGTAAGCCAGGTGAAGCCAAGTAAACCAGCTCAAGCCAAGTAAACCAGCTCAAGCCCTGCAACCAGCTCAAGCCAAGTAAACCAGCTCAAGCCCTGTAAATTCTTATCAACCTAGTATTATATAAAAGCCAAAATTGATAGAATATTGATAGAAATTGTGAAATTTGTTCATTTCTTCATCTGTTCATTGTTCATCTCTTCTTCAGTCTCAAATATTTCATGAATGGTGAGAAAAGAAGCATATGGTGACCTTTAATCCCATCTTCTTTAGTCCCTTTTCCTTCTTATCCTTTCCTGATCTTAACTAAACACTGCTGTTTGATTGTAAATCGAAAAGTGAAAGGATTATGGTTTAACTTCTCTAAATCCTTCAGACTCACACCTTAAACACCTTTAAAATCTAAGGTTTATACAGTTTCTGAACTTTATAATGTGCTGATCTCATCTGGCTAGCTGATGAATGTTCTAACGAGCTACAGTAACCTGTACAGTTTCGAGCTACAGTAACCCTGTACAGTCATGAGCTACAGTAACCACATGAGCTACAGTAGCCAGTCATGAGCTACAGTAACTACAGTCCAAATTCTAGTTACAGTAACCTGTACAGTTTTGTGCTCAGTAACCCTGTACAGTCATGAGCTACAGTAACCACATAAGCTACCGTAACCAGTCATGAGCTACAGTAACTACAGTCCAAATTCTAGCTACAGTACCCCTGCACAGTTTCGAGCTACAGTAAACCAGTACAGTTTTGTGCTCAGTAACCCTACAGTCCAAATTCTAGCTACAGTACCCCTGCACAGTTTCGAGCTACAGTAACCCTGTACAGTTTTTAGCTACAGTAACCCTACAGTCCAAATTCTAGCTACAGTACCCCTGCACAGTTTCGAGCTACAGTAAACCAGTACAGTTTTGTGCTCAGTAGCCCTACAGTCCGAATCCTAGCTACGGTAACCCTATACAGTTTTGAGCTACAGTAAACCCGTACAGTTTTGTGCTCAGTAGCCCTACAGTCCGAATCCTAGCTAGAGTAACCTGTACAGTTTCGAATTACAGTATCCCTGTACAGTTCCGAGCTACAGTAACCCAAAAATGGCTTTGTATTAATTTCCAATAAGCTGTACATATTTATTGAAGATAATGATTGGTATAACAGCTGGCCACTAATATATTCACTTCTTCACATGTCGCCTCAGGGACAAACATTTGCGCAAAATGACAATTCTGTTTCACCCATGATAAAACATCGCTCACATTGTACATGTCAGCGTATTTCTTGACCTAAAAACATTGATTTTAACGACTTTTAAAGATCGTTTCTCACCTGGGCACAGTGTTGTGGTGATAAAATCAATGGCCTTCCTTTATGATCTTTAGGAATATTTGTTGGCAGAGTGGTGGCTTGAAGCTGTAAAGCTTTGTAAATAGATAGATAATCGAATAAATTGCAGTTGGATCGATTGGAGATCGATCGACCGGTCGATTGGAGCTGGGATTCAAACCCGCGACTTCTTGCTGACAAGCTTATGGGTCTAGCGTACTAGGTCTAGCGTCTAGGTCTAGCGCTGTAACAATAGACTACATCGAATCCCGTTACCAGGGAACAGCTTTACGTCTTACTGGGCAAAATATTGGATAAGAATTAAACTAACGGGTTCATAGGGTGTTGGTGTAAGAGCTGGGATTAGTGGCGCTGAATGCATACTTCCGATACTCTTCAACTCCTCATCGGCTCGATTCCATCCGTAGTGAGTGGCCTGAAATGGAAGATATAGATCAACAGCATAAACAAGCAAGTTCTGTATTTGTTTACAGAATTATACAGAGCAATTAATGATTGATTTGTCTACAACTAAAGATATTGCAGAAAAGTACAGAAAAAGCCATTTTCTAGGAGTTGGGATCGAATCCGTGGACTCTTGTGACTTCTGGACTATGATAGGCTCCTAATCACTCAACCATAGCGGCAGAGGAATGATAAGAATGGAAAGTAATCATAAATGAATACCGTATTCTCTCTAATAGTATGCACCCAGCTGAGCCGAGTTGGTGACTATTTTACGGCTTCTAAGCTTTCCCAGAAGCTCAACACTCCAATCCTCAGCTAGATCTCATCGTTAGCTACATTTTCCAACCCCACATTGATAGGTTCTGATAAGCGGCTCTCGAGATTTCGAGGAATTTAGGCGAGGCTTAAGGTGCACTACTATTAGAAAGAATACGGTATCTAGCCGAAGATATTTCAATCAGACCTGTGAGTCTGGTTCTAGCAGGGACTTTATCCAAACCAAGCCAGTAATAAGGCAAATAATACCGTATTTTCTCTAATATTAGTGCACCCAAGCGAGCCGAGTTGGTGACTATTTTACGGCTTCTAAGCTTTCCCAGAAGCTCAACACTCTAATCCTCAGCTAGATCTCATCGTTAGCTACATTTTTCGCCCCCACATCGATAGGTTCTGATAAGCGGTTCTCGAGATTTCGAGGAATTTAGGTAAGGCTCAGGGTGCACTACTAGTAGAGAGAATACAGTAAGCATCATGCTCAAATCAACTACGATAACATTTTTAGTTATAAATTGTTCTGTAAACTATTAGGTTAAGTAAAGCCTAGGTTTTTTTCAGCTTTTAAATGAAGACCAAGACAGTTTAAACTACTCTTAGCTACTATTAACGTAAATGAAAATAAAGGAAGTCATTTAAGGAGTCAGAAATCTTGTTTATAATATCAAAACTGGGTAGTTGAATTGATTTAAAATGTTGAAATTCAGCTAAATCAAAAGAAAAAGAAAAACTCACATCATCTTTATCATCCTTATTGATCATCCCTGATCAAGCCCTAGTCTGGCTCTAGTCTAACCTGATCTAAAACAGAGCTCGCATCTAGAGCTGGACAGAACAGAGCTAGCATCTAGGGCTAAGCAAAACAGAGCTCGCATCTAGAGCTCGCATCTAGAGCTCGCATCTAGAGCTCGCATCTAGAGCTCGCATCTAGAGCTCGCATCTAGAGCTCGCATCTAGAGCTCGCATCTAGAGCTCGCATCTAGAGCTCGCATCTAGAGCTCGCATCTAGAGCTAGAGTAAAACAGACCTCGCCCAGAGCCTGAACCTAAGCCTGAATCGACCCTGGCTTAACCCTGATCTGTACCTAACTTCAAACATGGCTCTGCCTTATTGATCATCCCTGATCAAGCCCTAGTCTGGCTCTAGTCTAACCAGATCTTGGCTCTAACTTTCTTCGATCTTGGTAACTTTCTAACCCTACCCAGAGACAGGGATCGGATCAAAAGAAAAAGAAAAAACTCACATCATCTTTATCATCTTCGACTTCAATACACTTATACTTTTTCGTTTTATGAAGAGCATTTTTTGCAGAAACGAGTATCGGTAATAAAATAAGGAAAAAATATAGAAATTTCATTGTTTTACTGAAAAAAATTGATCGTTTTTGGATGAAAATGGCTAATGTCGAGGTTAAAGAAAGGATAAAAGAGAGGGAATCTTAAGAAAATCTGACTGAGGAAGACAGGTTTTCGATGGAAAATCAAAGGAAGATAGAAAAGAAAGAAAGAAAGATAGAATGAAAGAAAGATAGATAGAAAGATAGGAAGAAAGAAAGAAAGAAAGATAGAAAGATAGAAAGATAGAAAGATAGATAGAAAGATAGAAAAGAAAGAAAGAAAGAAAGAAAGAAAAGAAAGAAAAAAGTTGAGAAATGGAAAAGCTTAGGTGATGATTTGGATAAAGAATTCGGCCTTTCAAGTTTTTCCTTTATCATTTTCAGGATTTTTAGGTGAAAGCTGGTTTAGGAAATGATTTGATGATGACCCCGGGATTAAGGACAAAGAGAATTTTGATAACATTATGAATGGATAACATTATGAATGGTTTAACGATAGTCAAGCTGTTACCTTTTATCGTTATATCGAGAGTTTTTATAAAGAGATTTGTCTGTATTCACTATTTAAGCAACTATTAGGGTAGTGCAAAAGAAACTGCCGATTTGACGGTAAATTCAAAAAAAAGATGGCATTCGATGGTGACATGATCACAATGGAATATTTTCGCAAGATCTCGAGCAGATTGGCATGGATCGGCCTGAATAACGTCTCTCAGCTTGGCTTCTTCACGACTTCTGGCCTCCAACCGTGCTCGTAATCTTCCAAAGCCTCATCTCCCTCTCGGAATCGTTGAAACATGAGGGTGAGGCAGGACTTCCCATCAAAATTCTTCGATTTTCTGCTGCGTGATTTTTGCAACATGTTGAAGTGACCGTTTTTCCATGTCCCCGTTATTCAAAGTACACCAAACCCTTGATGTTCCACCATACAATCAATAAGATCTTCTTCCCGTGGATTTCGGGCCTTGGAGTTGGAACAGCACGTCCGCCAGCGCTCAACCACTGTCGTTCTTGCGTAAAGTTGTCGTATGCAATCCATTTCTCATCCGATGTCACGATAGAATCAAGAGATCCGCTATTCTTTGCACGATTCAGGGAAATACCAGCGATGGAAATGCGGGATGCGAGGTTAGCATCACTGTGTTGATCAGGGATCCATCTTCCACAACGAATTTTCTTTCGAATGAAGATGGCATTCGATGGTGATATGATCACAATGGAATATTTTCGCAAGATCTCGAGCAGATTGGCATGAATCGGCCTGAATAACGTCTCTCAGCTTGGCTTCGTTCACGACTTCTGGCCTCGAACCGTGCTCGTAATCTTCCCAAGCCTCATCTCCCTCTCGGAACTGTTGAAACCAAGTCTGACACTGACTAAGAGACGAACTGCCATCTCCGAAATCAGCACAGAATGATGCGAGCACAGGACGATGCGATTCGGCAGCAGACTTTCCAATTTTGAAGTTAAACAGTCATGCTGCTCGTAGCACAATAAACACCCAAAATAAAATAAACAATAACAAAAAAATTCAAATGTCGAAATAAATAGCAAACAAATATACGAAAAAAAACATTTAAAAAAATAATGCCGCTAGCATCGTTTCTGATAAATGAGAGCTGATACCCATCGACAGTTTCTTTTGCACCACCCTAATATTTAAACACTTTAATAACTTTCACAGAACTTTTTAACTGAACTTTTTACGATTAGCTTCTTGGCATTGAGTGTTTGCTCATTGCTTTTTGTAAAATAGGTGATTCTGAAAAGCTAAAGCATTAGAACAGGGCTTGTTCTAATGCTTTAATCTGACTTCCTGACTCTTGATCCATGAAATTGTCTTTAGAACAAGCCAGATTAGAAGCTGACTTCTTGACTCTTCTTCCATGAAATTCTCTTTAGAATAAGCCTGCTCTATTGACTGTAAATTCAGGGAAAAAGCTTGAGCTCTAGCTTTGTTAGCTAGCCTTTTACTAAGACCAGATTAGAACCTGACTTCCTGACTCTTGATCCATGAAATTCTCTTTAGAACAAGCCAGATTAGAAACTGACTTCTTGACTCTTGATCCATGAAATTCTCTTTAGAATAAGCCTGCTCTATTGACTGTAAAGTCAGGGAAAAAGCTTGAGCTCTAGCTTTGTTAGTTAGCCTTTTACTAAAGCTTGTTTAAAGCCTGACCTCTTGACTCTTGATTCATGAAATCCATGAAATTGTCTTTAGAACAAGCCCTGTTCGTGAATCATTTCTTAAACTCATCAATCCAAAACCCAAGCTTGTACTTGGCTAGTTCTCAGGTCTGTATCCAATTCACGATTCACGATTCAATGATTCACGAACAGGGCTTGTTCTAAAGAGAATTTCATGGATTTCATGGATCAAGAGTCAGGGAGTCAGGCTCTAAACAAGCTTTAGTAAAAGGCTAGCTAACAAAGCTAGAGCTCAAGCTTTTTCCCTGAATTTACAGTCAATAGAGCAGGCTTATTCTAAAGAGAATTTCATGGAAGAAGAGTCAAGAAGTCAGTTTCTAAACAGACTTGTTCTAAAGACAATTTCATGGATCAAGAGTCAGGAAGTCAGGCTCTAAACAAGCTTTAGTAAAAGGCTAGCTAACAAAGCTAGAACTTCTTCTGGTAAGCGAGATGTAAAGTGACGAGAAATACATGACGTATGAAGGAAAAATGGCTCAAATTATTCAAATTATTCAAATTTGAAATTGTTATTTAAAAAGTGATTGAAAGTGATTTAAAAAGTGATTTAAAAAGTGATTTAAAAAGTTGTTTAAAGTGTTTTTTTATGTAGAAAAGAAGAAAATTGAAATAAATTTATTTAAAAACCGATAAAAACAGAGATTTTCGAGAATATTCGAATCAATCGACCGGCTGGAGATGGCTCTTTTCCATCAGAATATGAATCGGATGGGCCATCGATTGAAGTCAAAATTGTCTGGAAGAGATTATCAATAATCAATTGATTATTGATTTATTGATTATTAAAAATCTTTTCCAGACAATAGATCAATAAAAAATTGTAAATTTAAGCAAATATCAACTACTCAACGACTTTTAAACTTTTAAACTTTTAAAACCTTTTTTCACAACTCACCTGACAATTCAAACACTTTTTGATTGCACGATCGTGAACAACTTTTTGCAACTCTTCCATCGTTTGATTCGTTGGATCGATTCGATTCAATCTGATATGGATTTTTGATCTTTGAAAGCATTTTTAAAACTTTTTCCCATAAACTAGCTCAAGCCAAGGGAACCAGCTCAAGCCCTGTAAGCCAGCTCAAGCCAAGTAAACCAGCTCAAGCCTTGTAAACCAGCTGAAGCCAAGGAACCAGCTGAAGCCAAGGGAACCAGCTGAAGCCAAGTAAACCAGCTGAAGCCTTGTAAACCAGCTGAAGCCAAGTAAACCGGCTGAATCCAAGTAAACCAGCTGAAGCCAAGGAACCAGCTGAAGCCAAGTAAACCGGCTGAATCCAAGTAAACCAGCTGAAGCCAAGGAACCAGCTGAAGCCTTGTAAACCAGCTGAAGCCCTGTAAACCAGCTGAATCCAAGTAAACCAGCTGAAGCCAAGGGAACCAGCTGAAGCCTTGTAAACCAGCTGAAGCCAAGGAACCAGCTGAAGCCAAGTAAACCAGTTGAAGCCCTGCAACCAGCTCAAGCCCTGTAAACCAGCTGAAGCCCTGCAACCAGCTCAAGCCCTGTAAACCAGCTCAAGCCTTGTAAACCAGCTGAAGCCCTGCAACCAGCTCAAGCCCTGTAAACCAGCTCAAGCCTTGTAAACCAGCTGAAGCCAAGTAAACCAGCTCAAACTCAGGACTCGGAAAATTCATTTTTCAAAACAACTTTCTAGTTTTAAAATCTTTTGTCGTGAAGATTAATACTTACTCATCGAGAATCTCGAACTCAAGAGTTCTTGCCATTTTTGGATACCAATTAAACCATAAATATGGAGCACTTTTTGGATCCATTTCTAAAAACATCGTAAAATTTCAAATAAAATATCAGACTTTAAGATAAAACTTCCAAAAAGCATCTAGATTATATTCTAAATATTCTAATTTATAAGTAAAATATCTAAATCAAAATCTAAATATCTATTATCTATTATCAAATAGATAATAACAAATTGATAATAACAAATTGATATAATCCTTTCTGATTTAAACGAAAGGGGAATTTAAAAATGAAATCAAAGAGATTTTTGACTATTCTGATTGAAAGGAAGTAGATTCTGATGCAATGGATTGACATTCACGATCTCCAACACTCCTTTCAATTGTGTATCAGTTTGGAAACACAGTAGTAACGCAAGAAATGGTGAATAAAGCTATTAAAAACAAAATGTTTCGAAAAAAAAAAGATTTTGCGGAATTGAAATTGAAGTGGGCGGAATTGAACCCGAGGATAAAAGTAGGACTAGGCCTTTATCCACTAGGCCACGAGGCGATCTCTGGTCGGAAGCTAGAGAAGCGTTATAAAGGAATCATTTTTGAATCCTCTTTGTTTATGTTTAGTGAAGTAGTGCTCGTTTGAAGTGATCAGTTGAACGAAAATCGATAACAGCGAAGACTCGGATGGGGACTCCAAACTGATACACAATTGAAAGGAGTGTTGGAGATCGTGAATGTCGATCCGTTGCATCAGAACTTCCTCGCAATCAGAGTAGTCAGAAATTTGCTTAACCGAGATGAGTCTTTGTGAATGTTTAACCGACAAGTACCGGCAGTTCTTATGATTTTAAGTTATTTACCCAATCTCTATTCAACTCGGTTAAGAAAAAAGCTGACAATTTGTGAGAGGAGATTATGTTCAGCAAAGTAGAGTGCTCGTCTGAAGTGATCAGTCGATCAGTTGAACGAAAATCGATAACAGCGAAGACTCGGATGGGGACTCCAAACTGATACACAATTGAAAGGAGTGTTGAAGATCGTATGGACACGGATGGAAATGCTTAACCGAGATGAGTCTTTGTGAATGTTTAACCAACAAATACCAATCTTTTTTTATGAAAATCGTCATATTTGGGTAAAAATATCTGAATTTTTAGAAGCTAGCATTTTCCAAAAACTACGTGCTTTTTAAGAGGTTACTGGTTAAGGAAAAAAGAATAAGAACTTTTGGGACACCTTGTTAGATCTTCCGGATCTCATTCTAAATATCCCATGGCTTCAATTCAATCTCTTCAATCCAATCTCTTCAGTCCAATCTCACCCATCTTAAGAACTTTCGGGACACCTTGTTAGATCTTCCGGATCTCATTCTAACTATCCCATGGCTTTAATCCAATCTCTTCAATCCAATCTCTTCAATCCAATCTCTTCAGTCCAATCTCACCCATCTTAAGAACTTTCGGGACACCTTGTTAGATCTTCCGGATCTCATTCTAACTATCCCATGGCTTTAATCCAATCTCTTCAATCCAATCTCTTCACTCCAATCTCTTCACTCCAATCTCACCCATCAATTGACTTCTCATATGCAGCACCACCGTCTTATTATTGATTTCCACTATATGTGTATAGTTTTTCGAACTTTTCGTCATTGGTTTTTCATCGTAGCTCAGAAGAAAATAATAGTTGATTGGAGAGCCGTCTTTCCTAAATTTTTCTCAAGTTTTGAGTATTAATAGAGTTAGAATAAAGAAGAAAGGAAAGTGAACTGTGGAAGAGTGTCTGTGGAAGAGAATTAAGTAGAATCCGAGATTCTAAATCGAATTAGAACCTTAGGAAATATATTTTGGTACAATTAAAAAAAGAAAAGAAAAGAAGAAAAAGCATAGCGCTAAATTTAGAGACAAGAAAAACTCATGTAGATGGAAAAACTCATGTAGAAAGGAAATAAGCTAGATAGGATTGAACCTGTCCTCTCCTTGACCTCTCGATTAAGATACAAAGCTCTTAGCCAGTCGGCCATCAGGGTATAGCTTTAGATTACCAATTATTGTTGGCGAACTTTTGATAGATCGTATTCAGCGCTTCTTTTTCTTTGAAACCATCATCGGTGAGATTCACAGCGTTGTAATTGAATTCATTTTCAGAGGCTGACACTTTCCACTAAACGAATTGAATTGTGGATCAAATACCTAGCTCCGATCAAATGCAAAGCCAATTTCCGATACCTACATTGCTCCTTTCAACCTCAGTCGCATTTCTGTTAGCGTTTTGTTGTTTAATCAATTCGTTCACTTTTCCTCCATCACCACTGAAGATGATGCTGTTACGCATGAGTTCGATCATATTCTGTAAAGGAATTTAGACAAAACATTGGACAAAACGGCCTTGCTTCTCTTGGCTTGACCCTAGCAAAATCTAGAGCTCGCATCTAGAGCTAGAGTAAAACAGAACTCGCATCTAGAGCTCGCATCTAGAGCTCTCATCTAGAGCTCTCATCTAGAGCTAGAGTAAAACAGATTTCGCATCTAGAGCTGAGCAAGACAGAGCTCGCATCTAGAGCTGAACAAAACAGAGCTAGCATCTAGGGCTAAGCAAAACAGAGCTCGCATCTAGAGCTGAACGAAACAGAGCTCGCATCTAGAGCTCGCATCTAGAGCTCGCATTTAGAGCTCGCATCTAGAGCTCGCATCTAGAGCTCGCATTTAGAGCTCGCATCTAGAGCTCGCATTTAGAGCTCGCATCTAGAGCTCGCATCTAGAGCTCGCATCTAGAGCTCGCATCTAGAGCTCGCATCTAGAGCTCGCATCTAGAGCTCGCATCTAGAGCTCGCATCTAGAGCTCGCATCTAGAGCTCGCATCTAGAGCTCGCATCTAGAGCTCGCATCTAGAGCTCGCATCTAGAGCTCGCATCTAGAGCTCGCATCTAGAGCTAGAGTAAAACAGACCTCGCCCAGAGCCTGAACCTAAGCCTGAATCGACCCTGGCTTAATCCTGATCTGTCCCTAACTTCAAACATGGCTCTGCCTTATTGATCATCCCTGATCAAGCCCTAGTCTGGCTCTAGTCTAACCAGATCTTGGCTTCTAATCTAGTCTAACCAGATCCAGATAACTTTATTGGATCTTGGTAACTTTCTAGCCCTATCCAGAGACAGGAATCGGATCAGGGCCTGATCCAGGACGATCAAATCTAGCCTAATCTTCTTTACCTAAGATTTAGTCACAAAACCCACATAAACGACTTGAGCTCTTTGCATCAAATCGGTTAATGCATCAAAATGTCGATAATTGTTTCTCTTTTCCTGTAGAACTTCAGCTTGCAATTTCTTGATTCCCTCCTTCATTAAACTCGAGAATTTCTAGAATTTAGCAGAATTTTTTTTTTTGAAATTTCTTTAATAACTCACTGTTCCCAGATTTTTCACCTTTTCCTCGTTGATTTTTTGCTCAAATTTCTGCGAATTCTGAGTGGATTGTTGATTTGAAAGATAGGCTTCAAAGAGTTGCTGTGTTTCTTTCAACGGCTTGATTATCATCTAGAAAATGTGTTTGTTGTGTGTGTTTTTCACTTGCTGATTCGTAAATTTTCAACTATTTTTACTTAAATTTCAATAAAATCCAAATAAAGTCAAGGTTTATGACAAAATCAATTCAATCAGATCAATTGAAAGTCATTTGGCTGGCTAGCTTTAGCTTTGCTAAGCTTTACAGCGAGATTAGCCAGCCAAGAAAAGTCAAAGAACAGTCTAAACCTGGTTCTGAGCTTTTATAATACCTCATTCAGGTATTCTAACTTGCCTCACCTCATTCATCCACGTTTTCACCGATTCTGGCAACTCTTGCTCCTTTTCGAGTATCAACATATGTTTGGCTAGGGATTCTCGATAAGATTTCCCCGCTTCTCCAATCTTCGTCTTTAAATCATCTGTCAATTTTGAGCTAAAAGCTTCTTTATTCATTCAATTTATCAGTACAGTGCTTTAGAATATTCTAGCAAAAGGAAAGAGAAAGGCTGGCCTTTTAACTGACCAATCAAGCTGGCCTTCTGCCTGGCCAATCAAGCTGGCATTTTGACTGGCTAATCAAGCTGACCTTTTAACTGACCAATCAGGCTGGCCTTCTGCCTGGTCAATCAAGCTGGCATTTTGACTGGCCAATCAACCTAGCCTTTTGACTGGCCAATCCAGCTGGCATTTTGCCTGGCCAATCAAGCTGGTCTTTTGCCTGGCCAATCAAGCTGACCTTTTGCCTGGCCAAACAAACTGGCTTTTTAACTGGCCAATCAAGCTGGCCTTTTGCCTGGCCAATCAAGCTGGTCTTAAGCTTTTAACTCTAGACCAAGTCCATCTCGTAGAACCGGATCTCGAATCCGTTTTTAGTTTTTGCAGAACGCGGCTGAATTCGGACTCCTTAAGAAGCCGTCAAACGCTCCATTGCTTTGATGCTTTGATGCTTTGATGGTCTAATGGATAGTCTGCTAGATTACCAAACCTATTACCTTTCTTTCTCCCCAAGTTCGAGAAATGAAGATTTGGTAGTCTAACAGACTATCCACTAGGCCATGCAAGCAGTTGAAAGCGGAGCGTGAGACGGCTTCTTAAGGAGAGAAACTAACAATGAAAAGGAAAAAATTTAGGGAGAGGAACTTGCGGGAGGAAATGAAATGAAAGTTCGGTAGTATAGCCGACTATCCACTAGAGGCAGTTAGCAGTTAGTCGACGATCCATTAAGGAGCGTGTGACTGCTTTTTAAAGAGTCCGAAATTCAGTTCTCTGTTTGGTTTATGCTGAAGTTAAAGCTTTCACCTCAAATTGTCCATTTTCATCTCCCCAATTCCCAGTAAATTCTCCATGACTTTCTTCTGATCCTCCTCCGATAAACCCTTTGCTCGATTCAGTGAATTTGCATAATTTTTCACATCTTGAAGCACATTTCTTGACGGATTTTTCTCATAATCTTTCGATAGAAAAGCACCAATCAAACCGATTGCCTAAAAATAAAAATTTAATGAAATCTGAGAAAATCTTTAAATCTTTAAAGCTACAAAGCCTCAAAATCTTAAATCTCAGCCTCTTTAAGGCTATAAAACTTTAAAATTTCAATAATATTAGAAATTAAGCGTTTTTTAAAAGTCTAATTATTGAGAAGTCTTTAGCATTTCTTTAATAGCTTTTTAATAGCTTTTTAATAGCTTTTTAATAGCTTTTTAATAGCTTTTTAATAGCGTTTTAATAGGCTTTTAATAACCCTTTAATAACCCTTTAATAACCCTTTAATAACCCTTTAATAACCCTTTAATAACCCTTTAATAACCCTTTAATAACCCTTTAATAATCCTTTAATAACCCTTTAATAACCCTTTAATAACCCTTTAATAACCCTTTAATAACCCTTTAATAACCCTTTAATAACCCTTTAATAACCCTTTAATAACCCTTTAATAACCCTTTAATAACCCTTTAATAACCCTTTAATAACCCTTTAATAATCCTTTAATAACCCTTTAATAACCCTTTAATAACCCTTTAATAACCCTTTAATAACCCTTTAATAACCCTTTAATAATCCTTTAATAACCCTTTAATAACCCTTTAATAACCCTTTAATAACCCTTTAATAACCCTTTAATAACCCTTTAATAACCCTTTAATAATCCTTTAATAATCCTTTAATAACCCTTTAATAACCCTTTAATAACCCTTTAATAACCCTTTAATAACCCTTTAATAATCCTTTAATAACCCTTTAATAACCCTTTAATAACCCTTTAATAATCCTTTAATAACCCTTTAATAACCCTTTAATAACCCTTTAATAATCCTTTAATAATCCTTTAATAACCCTTTAATAACCTTTCCTTTAAATTTTGACTTAATTCAGACTTTATTTTGATCTCATTCGATAAAACAAATTAAAATACAATCAAAATTAAATCAATAAAGTTAGTTTGTTTTATCGAATGAGATCAAAATAAAGTCTGAATTAAGTCAAAATTTAAAGGAAAGGTTATTAAAGGGTTATTAAAGGGTTATTAAAGGGTTATTGAAGGATTATTTTTTTTTTAGACTTTTTCAAATTTAAACCGCGGTCAGGGCCCAGAAGTGGCTCATTCCTTTTGCAAATTCCCTTTGCTTCCAATGCCTCTTTATCAAATTCATTTCCCGTTAGAGCCGCTAGATTATGGAACTTGCTCCCAAACGACATACGAGAAATTCAGTCGCTTTTCATATTCAAGAAACGTATCGATGCTTTAGATCTAGTGGCTCTTTGCCGTAAGTAATTGGCTTATTGATTTCAGTATGTATTGTATGATTAAGTATCACTGTGCATTTCTCTATCATTTCTTTCACTTTATCGTTTGAATAAAGTATTATTATTATTATTATTAAAAGGCTATTAAAATGCTATTAAAGGGCTATTAAAAAGCTATTAACCCATTCGAAACCGCAGCGTTTTTTCTTTTTTTTCGTCTACGGACCAAGCCCTTTTTTGACATTTTTGACTCCGAAGCAGTTTATTTATGGTTGGAAAGATGTAAGAGAGTCTCCTAGACCATTTATTTTTGATGAAGAACGATTTGGATTTGACTTCAGTACTTTTCAAGATCCTATCGATTATTGTTCTTATTTTATCGACGACAATATTTTAGTAGGCGAATCTAATAAACATGGAAAAAGGAAAACAAACTGGCAGGATTTCGATGCAAAATCTTTCAAGCTCTTCCTGGCTTCAAATGGGAATCGTCAAATTACCGAGGATTCGTGACTACTGGAGTAGCAGGCCTGGATTAGGAGGATTTTCCCACATGTCCCACATTATGTCATGAGCAAAATTTGAATCTATTCTTCGCAACCTGCGTTTTTGTGATAATGAACTGGATCCTGCAGGAGATCGGCTCTATAAGATTAGAGCTATTATGGAACATTTCAATGCAAAACCAGAGACTGCATTGATTCCGGGTAAATATGAAACATCTTTTTTGCCCACGTAATTTGTAGATCTGCTACAATTGGAATATACATGTAATGCTGAAAAACAGCAAAAAAAAAGCAATTAATTGAATGAAAATAGCTCAATTAGCGCTGCAGCGAATAATCGCTGCAGCGGTCCGTTCCTGAGTTTTTGCTGCAGCGATTATTCGCTGCAGAAGTTTCGAATGGGTTAAAGGGTTATCAAAAGGTTATTAAAAGGCTATTAAAGGGCTATTAAAAGGCTATTAAAAAGCTATTATAATCTTACAAAAGAGAAACAAAAGAAAAATCAAAAGAAAAATCAAAATCAATAAATAAAATTCAAGTTTTAAATGACTATTTAAACTATGACTATGACTATGACTGGTTCTATTTAAAAATGACTAACTTCAGCGTATCCCCAGGGTGGCACTTGCTTTGTATCTTCAGCAAGAATAATTAAAAAATAAAATAGAAGAAGATTTAGAAAATACTTCATAGAAACAAAGAATCAAAGAAATCACGAAAATCTCACAAAAATCTTTTCTTGTTTAATCGAAAAATGTTATTTCCTAAACGTTTTCTCTTTCTCTTTTTCTATTGGAATTGATTTTTCTTTGAAAAAAGAGTACCTTTGCTCAACTTTTGCTCAACTTTTTCACAATCATTCATTTTAGAGAGATTTTGAGAGATCTTTTGACAAGTTTTAGATCCTTTTTATGTCAAATGCTATCTTTCAATTGATCTTTAGTGCATCTTTAACCTATCAATAGGGTGGCTGAAAATTATGTACGCCAAAGAAAACGCCATAATTTAATTTTCTTTCAAAGAACATGTAAAAAATAGTTATTTATATAATAGTTGTAACAAAAGTATTTAATAATTACAAGAAATTTTCGAAGTGGCCTCCATCCGCTTTGATACAGGCTTCAATTCGTTTCTTTACAGAATCGCTTCGATTGAAGCTTTGATACAAGCTTCAATTCGCTTCCATTCAAGCTTTGATACAAGCTTCAATTCGCTTTGATTGAAGCTTTGATACAGGCTTCAATTCGCTTTGATTCAAGCTTTGATACAAGCTTCAATTCGCTTCCATTCAAGCTTTGATACAGGCTTCAATTCGCTTTGATTGAAGCTTTGATACAGGCTTCAATTCGCTTTGATTGAAGCTTTGATACAGGCTTCAATTCGCTTTGATTGAAGCTTTGATACAGGCTTCAATTCGCTTCCATTCAAGCTTTGATACAAGCTTCAATTCGCTTCTATTCAAGCTTTGATACAGGCTTCAATTCGCTTCCATTCAAGCTTTGATACAAGCTTCAATTCGCTTCTATTCAAGCTTTGATACAGGCTTCAATTCGCTCCTTTACAGAATCGACGGTGCAGCGGAGATAGTTTGCATCCAAGTCGTTCCAGATTTTGATCAGTTCTCGACCTAAATCATGCAAATTATTGATTTTCCTATTTCTCAATTGTTCTTCCATAAAACCCCAAACCGAAAAGTCCAACGGATTGAGATCCGGGCTGTTTGCAGGCCATTGATCCTTCGTCAAAAAAGAGCCAATTTTAGTTTCGAGAAAGCGAATTGTTGTTTTGGCTCTGTGGGCCAGCGCCCAATCTTGTTGAAGGGTCAAATTGGGATGGCTCCTCTTCCACGGCACCACAGCTTTCTCGAGAATCTCTTTTTGATAGACTTTTGCGTTAATCTTCAGATTTTTATCGATAAAAACCAACGGGGTCTTTCCGGAAGCACTGATTCCCCCGCAAATCATCAAACTTTTTGGAAACAGACCTTTTGTAGCGACTTTTCGTTTGCGAGTGCTCTTGAGAGCTGGACTGAGAAGTTGATGGTGATTTTGTGAATTTTTAGCCACTTCCAAGGACAACGATAATAGACAACGATAAAAAGAATATCAAAACACAAAAAGATGAGTAGCAATGCTTTATACATTGTTTAAAACTATGTCAGATGCTGCGCGCACGTAGGGCGCACGTAATTTGGCACGTAGCGCGCACGTAATTGCGCAGGTAGCGCGCACGTAATTGCGCAGGTAGCGCGCACGTAATTGCGCAGGTAGCGCGCACGTAATTGCGCACGTAGGGCACACGTAATTTGGCACGTAGCGCGCACGTAATTGCGCAGGTAGCGCGCACGTAATTGCGCAGGTAGCGCGCACGTAATTGCGCAGGTAGCGCGCACGTAATTGCGCAGGTAGCGCGCACGTAATTGCGCACGTAGGGCGCACGTAATTTGGCACGTAGCGCGCACGTAACGCGCACGCACGTAATTTTCAGCCACCCTGTATATACGAAAAAGGACGATAAAAAGCAACACGATATTATTGGGTTGGGGAGAATGAATCGGCGCCGAAAATCAAAAAAATGTCTAAAACTTCTATTCGACTTCGTCAAATAATATGCGTTTGATATCAGTAGAATGGTTAACTAATTCTCTACAAAATGATATTTAAAAGAAAATTCAAACATCGCCTCCGCTCAAGAAAAAGCCATTTTTTCACAAAAACTACAAACTGTGATCTAGAAAAAACCATTGGTGGGATCTTCCTGCAAATTTGGCAACTTAAGTAATTGAATGTGCTCTATCTTTTTTATATAAACACCAAAGAAGGTTTATGTGAAAGAAACTGTTCAAATGATGAGTCGGACTCTTTGCCATTTTAACCAGCTGCGTTTGGACGTTCATAAACTCCACGAAAGAAAAGCTTTGTGGAATCTCTCAAAAGTGATTTTGTAGAGAAATAGTGGATCCTTTTGATGAAACCAAACGTATGTTTAAAGAAGGCTTTATGTGTGCAAAAAGTCCCTTTAAAGTTTGGCGCCGACTCATTCTCCCCAACCCAATATATTATATATTGATAGGTTAAAATATATATATTAAGTTGTCCGGAATGATATTTATCTCCACAAAAAGAAAACAATGCGCTTTAATCCAAAAGATATTCTCCGTTGTTGGCAATAGTTTTTCTTTAGGCAATCTTTCTCTATTTTTCTTTCAAATCTCGGATTTCTTTGCTGAAGAAATCATGAGGCTGCAAGTCGACGTATTGGCCTACCCAAATTCGGACTTCATCGTAATCCTTGAAGTGTTTATCGACCAGGAATTGCTGCATAGATCGAAATAAGTGGCAGTCTAAGGGTGCCAGATTCGGACTAGACGGCGGAGACATTCCCAACCCAATATCCTCGAGTTTTTCCTGCGTCTTCTTTGCTGTGTGTGGGCGCGCGTAATCTTGCAGATATCTCACAGTCGATTTGTTTACACCTGGAGAGCCTGGTCTACTCGTTCTTGAGAGCCTGATCTACTCGTTCTTAAGAGCCTGGTCTACTCGTTCTTGAGAGCCTGGTCTACTCGTTCTTGAGAGCCTGGTCTACTCGTTCTTGAAAGCCTGGTCTACTCGTTCTTGAGAGCCTGATCTACTCGTTCTTGAAAGCCTGGTCTACTCGTTCTGGAGAGCCTGGTCTACTCGTTCTTAAGAGCCTGGTCTACTCGTTCTTGAAAGCCTGGTCTACTCGTTCCAGCTGTTGCACATATAGATCTGAGGTGACTGTTGGAAGAGAAGCTAGAACCTCAAAGTGTATAAGACCACGGGAATTCCATCAAACAGATAACATAGCTTTTCTTCCATGCGGATTTGTTTGTTTGTTTAGTTGAAAGATCAGCTTTGTTTACTCAAAAGATAAGCTTTGTTTAGTTAAAAGATTAGCTGTTTAGTCAAAAGATAAGTTTTGTTTAGTTAAAAGATAAGCTTTGCTTACTCAAAAGATAAGTTTTGTTTCATCAAAAATAAGCTTTTTAAATTCAACTCTTCAGATAATCCAATTAGAATTTAGATTAGATTCTGTAAAACTTGTTATGTATACTTGTAATCGTCATATGACTTTTATTGAAAATCATTTGAGAAATTCATTGTAAAGATTAATGGAAAGACATCAAAAAAACAAAAGAAAATTGAGTTCAAACCGGTTTAAAAAAAGATTTAAGCAAAATAATGAAATGTTTTTATTTCTAAATTTATAAATATTCTTTGAAAACTCCTTTTATAACTCAGAAAGGATTAAAATGAAAAATGAAAATCAATTTCAAGTTTTAAATGAAAGAAAAGTTGAGCAAATATTAGTAAAAAAAAAAAAGACTTTTTCTTCATCAACACATATTACAACTCTTTCGACAATTTTGCTGCATCCATTGGCTGCTGCGCTGAGATCGACACAAATTCTTGAGAGCCCACGAACCGCAGAAAACATTCGTATCCCAACAGGCTAAAGAATCTTTTAAAATCTAAAAAGCTATTAAACAAAGTAGTGGCTAAAAGACTAGACACACCCATCCACGTCAATTTATAGCGCTGTACAATAGATCTAAACAGATCAACAGATCTAAACAGATCAACAGATCTAAACAGATCAACAGATCTAAACAGATCAACAGATCTAAACAGATCAACAGATCTAAACAGATCAACAGATCTAAACAGATCAACAGATCTAAACAGATCAACAGATCTAAAACAGATCTAATTTCTTTTATCATATTCAAAAACCTAATAAATCCAAAAGTTGTTGTGTATTCCAGATAAGAAAAATCGGAATTTTCAGAAAATTTGGTCCACTCAAAAAAAAGTTAATACGTTAAGTCTATTTTCAGGGAAATTTTGAGGTAAAAGCTTAGAAACGAGCCGTGTAATCAAATAAGTACCAATGAATGTCTCGAATTCTTCTCAAATCAATCCCCTAACAATAAGTCTTGAATCTTTTGATGTTTAGACAAAATTCTAAGCTTTTGCTAGTATCCAAAATGATCGTTTTCGAAATAACTAAAACCTAAATCAGACAAAAGACAAATTTAAAAGAAAAATTGCTTAAAAGAAGAATTAAGAAGATTTTTCTTTTAAATTAGCTTTGCATCTTATTCAGAAAGCACTTCTACCGTCTACCAACACTTCTACCTTCTACCAACACTTCTACCGTCTACCAACACTTCTACCGTCTACCAACACTTCTACCGTCTACTAACACTTCTACCGTCTACCAACACTTCTACCGTCTACCAACACTTCTACCGTCTACCAACACTTCTACCGTCTACCAACACTTCTACCGTCTACCAACACTTCTACCGTCTACCAACACTTCTACCGTCTACTAACACTTCTACCTTCTACCAACACTTCTACCTTCTACCAACACTTCTACCTTCTACCAACACTTCTACCAAAATCTAACTCTAGAAAGCTTGCTTAACAATTTGATTTCCCATATACTCATTTATCTTTTGAAAATCAAAGATCGTTGTCCATTTTAAAGCCAATAACATTGTTGGAATAACAACTAAAGTCCTATTCGCTATGCAACTCTTTGATTTTTTCCATGAAAGTCAAGTTGTTTCCTTAAAAACAAGCCGTATCATAACTACCGAATAAGCTTTTAGTTATTTGAATCAAATAAACTAGCGTTTTAAGTTAACGCGGGGTCAAACGGCCAAACGGGAGCCAAACGGGGGTCAAACGGTCAAACGGGGGCCAAACGGGGGCCAAACGGGGGCCAAACGGGGGCGAAACGGGGGTCAAACGGTCAAACGGGGGCCAAACGGGGGTCAAACGGTCAAACGGGGGCCAAACGGGGGCCAAACGGGGTCAAACGGTCAAACGGGGGCCAAACGGGGGTCAAACGGTCAAACGGGGGCCAAACGGGGGTCAAACGGTCAAACGGGGGCCAAACGGGGGCCAAACGGGGGCCAAACGGGGGTCAAACGGTCAAACGCGGGTCAAACGGGGGTCAAACGGTCAAACGGGGGCCAAACGGGGACCAAACGGGGGTCAAACGGTCAAACGGGGGCCAAACGGGGGTCAAACGGCCAAACGGGGGCCAAACGGGGGTCAAACGGCCAAACGTTTAACCACTACTATAAATGAATTCTCAAATTTGCTTTCAAATCACATACATTCCAATTTGCAGTACATTTTCTTCAACAATTCAATATCTCGAGTCGACATCTGATCTCGTTGCCCCAAGAAGCGAATGTTTTGAGTTGCGCTTTGCTAAAGTTGTTTATTAAGTGTCAGAAAGGATATGTTTCCAGTTGTTAACACAAAGTACACTTATAAAGTGCCGGACAAAGGTTTAAGAACACGGCCTCATAAAGATCTAAATTTGATTGCTTTGCCCGGTTCATTTACCCAATTAGCTCTAATCATTTAAATGAGTTCATTCAGCTGTTCGCCTTGTACTTTGTGCTCAAATCTGTTAACATATCGTGAATTAAATTCTTTATCTTTCTTTGTTACCACAAGAAAATAAAGACTTCAGTGCACTAGAAAGAGTGTGTTTAGCAAGCAAAGTAAGCAAAGTAAAGTAGTAAAGTAACAAAGTAAAGTATTAGGTTGTCCAGAAATAAATGAGCGTTTTCAACTCGAATATTTAAAATCCCATAACTTGATCCAAAAAAAACATGAATCAAAATAAGAACCATTACAATTAACACATTTTTGCCAACGAGAAACAAATTTATTTATGCCGGTAGCATAGAAGGCCGAGCTTCTGGAGGCGATAAAGTCGGCGAAGGCGTTTTTGGCATCGAGTTTTTGAAGCATTTCTCCCGGAGAAAGTTGTCGAGATTGAAAAATCACAGCTTGAAAAAGTGGTAATCGGTAGGCGAAAGGTTCAGCGAATATGGCGGATGAGGCAAATTTTCGTAGCGCAGTTCGTTCAGGTTTTGCAGGGTTGTACGACGTGCGGACGAGCCTTGTCATGGAGAAGAATTGGACCTTTTCTGTTCACCAATGCCGGGCAAATTCGCCGCAATTTCTGGTGCATTTCATCGATTTGTTGGCAGTAGTTCTCCGCCGTAATCGTTTCCCCCGGATTCAGAAAGCTGTGATGGATGGCTGCTGGATGTGATGGCTGCGGACCACCAAACTGTCATTGCGGACCACCAAACTGTCATTGCAGACCAGCAAACTGTCACTGCGGACCACCAAACCTTCTTTTGGTGCAGATTTGGCTTTGGAAAGTGTTGATAACATTACAAGGTACCAAGCATACAGTCATGGACAAAAGTCTTGGCGGGCCTTTGTGACCTTTTTGTCGTTTACGCTTATTTTTGTTGTTTAAAATAAACTTTCGAGTTCAATGCTTGGTCATAGCTAAAAGTAGAGTAAAAATGCTCAAAAATACTTGTGACAACTTTTTTATAGCCTCTCGGAAAGGTTGCTAAATTTGCGTTTGAAAGTTGCCACCCAGGAGCCGCCAAGACTTTTGTCCATGACTGTACTTCATTGAGAAAAATGTACCCAAATAATAAACAATAAAAAACGCTCAGCTATTCCCGGACAACCTAATATCTTTCTAAACTTACTCTCGGTTTCATCGTCGGTTTTCTCGTATCCACAGCCGCCGTATAAGCATTATAGTGCATAATACTTTTGTAATCGTACGGAATTCCATATCTATAAAAGAGCATATCTTTTTCTCTACTCAATTTCTCACGTTGTAAACATTCTCGCATTCGAAACGGCAAACATATCATAGTGCTGGGGATTTATATTCGTCCAATCGATCTCAATCCAATCATCGCGATCCGTACGTAAATGTTGATGAGCGACGCCCAATGCGTGCATTATCTCATGAATCGCGATACCACGTGGCTGAAATGATTTCAATTTGGATTTAAATCTTTAATTCCTTTAGCCTTATTCAAATTACATTTAATCTTTTTTCTTCTTTAAATCTCTATTTTCATTAAAGCACCGCTCTTGACAAGAAATTCGACTAAAACAGCTACCGTATTCTCTCGATGCACCCAGCTGAGCCGAGTTGATGACTATTTTACGGTTTCCAAGCTTTCCCAGAAGCTCAGCACTCTAATCCCCCACTAGATCTCATCGTCAGCTACATTTTCTGACCTCACATCGATAGGTTCTGATAAGCGGCTCTCGAGATTTCGAGGAATTTAGGCGACGCAGAAAAGCAAAAAAAACTCGTTTTGCTTATAATTTGATCAAAATGTGATACAAAGGAATTGGCTGAACAGATTGTTCAGCCAGAAGCCAGAACAGAAGCAGAACAGACTGAACAGTTTCGAAAATTTCTTTATCCGTTTTCTTGATCATCTAAAGCTACATTTTCCCCCGGCGCCGGCACAGAGTCTTGCCGCGGCAGCAGCAGCTGCTTCAGCCTCGCAAACCCCATCCCAGACACCGAATCAATCACAAAATCCATCCGGACATTCACATATAATTCATAGACAGGTTGGCATTTGATTTAATTACCATATTCTTTCTAATAGTAGTGCACCGGGTCGAGCTGAGTTGGTGACGATTTTACGGTTTCCAGGCTTTTACGGAAGCTCAACATTCTAATTCTCGACTAGATCTCATCGTCAGCTACATTTTGAGGAATTTAGGCGACGCTTAAGGTGCGCTACTATTAGAAAAAATTACCTAAACATTATTTTCTTGATTCCATCAGAGTCCGATTTCTTAAAGCCAATTGCCGGACATTTTAATACCGTATTTTCTCTTATAGTAGTGTACCCAAGCGAGCCGAGTTGATGACTATTTTACGGCTTTCAAAGGCTTCCAAAGCTTCACAGAAACTCAACACTCAAATCCCCCACAAGATCTCATCGTCAGCTACATTTTGCGACCCCACATCGATAGATTCTATTAAGCGGTTCTCGAGATTTTAGGCGGAATTTAGGCGATGCTTAAGGTGCGCTACTATTAGAGAGAAAACGATAATATTAAATGTAAATTTTATGCTTAAAGGTAACAGTTTATCTTGATTTAAGCTCTTTAAATTATGCTTTTTTTTAAGAAATCTCAAAAGAACTCACATTTCCACATGTGAAACTCAAATAAATCGGATTTCCCGTATCCAGCCGACCAGGTTCGGATCCCGGTGCCGATTAGTTTTTGTTTTTCCAGCCTCAACCCATAAAAGGATCAACTCTGGGGATAGCAGGTTGGCATTGGCCCAAGATTGGCCCAGCATAGCATAGAATTGGGACATAAGCAACGTCTTCTAGGTTGTGCAAGGTCAGAAGCTAAGCCAGGACTAGGCTTCTGGCTAAGCCAGACCAGGCCATCCAAGGATTTAAGATCGTTTAAGGTTGTTTCGATCGATCATTTGAGTTCAAATGTCTCAAAAATGATTGCCCAAGCTTGAGTTGGGTTTATTGCCGATTTGACTTGACCCTAGGTAATACCAGCGCCAGCCAAATGATGCGACTTTTGTGATTGCCCCTAGATTACTGTATTTTTAGCTTTTAGATTATTTTGGTGTAGTTTTGTCAGCCTTTCTCATTGTAAAGCTTAGAAAATCAGTCATCCAAATCATCAAACTGGAATTTAGCCTAAAAATCGACAACCTACATAGACAGCTTAGAGTTTTTAAAGAAAAGAAACAATTTTCAAAGAAGAAATAATTCTTGGCATGGGATGGGAAAAAAGGTTCCAATATGGTTCGAATGCGGTTCTAATACGGTTTCACGATGGTTCCAATACGGTTCCGATTTTGTTCCAATATGGTTCAAACGCGATTCCAATACGGTTCCAACACGCTTCCAATACGGTTCCAATAGGGTTTCAATACGGTTCCAATACGGTTCCTATTTTGTTCCAATGCGGTTCCAATACGGTTCAATACGGTTCCAATACGGTTCCAATACGGTTCCAATACGGTTCCAATACGGTTCCTATTTTGTACCAATACGGTTCCAATACGGTCCCAATACGATTCCAATACGATTCCAATACGATTCCAATACAATTCCAATACGGTTCCAATACGGTTCCAATACAATTCCAATACGGTTCCAATACGGTTCCAATACGATTCCAATACGATTCCAATACGGTTCCAATACAATTCCAATACGATTCCAATACGGTTCCAATACAATTCCAATACGGTTCCAATACGATTCCAATACGATTCCAATACAATTCCAATACGGTTCCAATACGGTTCCAATACGGTTCCTATTTTGTACCAATACGGTTCCAATACGGTCCCAATACGATTCCAATACGATTCCAATACGATTCCAATACAATTCCAATACGGTTCCAATACGGTTCCAATACAATTCCAATACGGTTCCAATACGGTTCCAATACGATTCCAATACGATTCCAATACGGTTCCAATACAATTCCAATACGATTCCAATACGGTTCCAATACAATTCCAATACGATTCCAATACGGTTCCAATACAATTCCAATACGGTTCCAATACGGTTCCAATACGATTCCAATACAATTCCAATACGATTCCAATACGGTTCCAATACAATTCCAATACGGTTCCAATACGATTCCAATACGGTTCCAATACAATTCCAATACGGTTCCAATACGATTCTAATACGGTTCCAAACCGGTTCCGATCGATCATTTGAGTTCAAATGTCTCAAAACTGATTGCCCAAGCTTGAGTTGGCTTTATTGCCGATTTGACTTGACCCTAGGTAATACCAGCGCCAGCCAAATGATGCGACTTTTGTCAATCAGTGATTTCCCCTGTTTTTTTAGCTTTTAGATTATTTTGGTGTAACAGTTTATCTTGATTTAAGCTCTTTAAATTATGCTTTTTAAAGAAATCTCAAAAGAACTCACATTTCCACATGTGAAACTCAAATAAATCGGATTTCCCGTATCCAACCGACCAGTATATGACAAGCCACAGCTAAAATTTCATTGTTTAACCTTTAAAACTCACAAAGTTCGACTTACAAATTTGAATTCTCGATTTTCATGAAATGCAGATGTGGACCACTGGGCGCTGAATCAAGAAATTCAAATTTTAAGCATTCAACATTTCGAGTAATCTCCGCTATTCCCATTCGAACGTCATTCTTGTCCCATTCTTCTGTAATATTCAAGCTTTAAAGAAGAATTAGAATAATTAGGTTTACAAAGAGAAATTTTTATAATATACTTTACCTAATGACTCATGAAAAGTATACTTTATCGGCTTCCTCAAATCCCATTTCTTTACGTATTCTTCTTCGAAGAAGAGTGAGCTACGTTTCCTGGAATTAAATCGGTTTAAGCTACGTTTCCTGGAATTAAATAGGTTTAAGCTACCTTTCCTGGAATTAAATTGGTTTAAGCTACCTTTCCTGGAATTAAATCGGTTTAGGCTACGTTTCCTGGAATTAAATCGGTTTAAGCTACCTTTCCTGGAATTAAATCGGTTTAGATAATCGATTTGACAATACTGATTTAGCTAAATACAGTAGTCAGAATAGTCAGTCAGTCAGAAATAAACAATAGTCAGTTTTTCTTGAAAAAAAGCAAAAGAATCGATTGCTCAATCCCAAGCGGCGCTCGAACTTGTGAGGAAACGAACTGGAAACCGCTGGAAACGAACGTTTTACCACTCGGCCACAGCCGCACCGAATATGGTCGGAAAGGAGGCTGCTAGAAGGCCAATAGGGGACCCTAGAAGGCCAATAGGGGCCTCTAGAAGGCTGCTAAGACCAAAACGCTCACATTTACAGAGTCCTAACAAACTTTAGACGCTTATAACTCTTTGCAGATTATTATTTAGCAAAGGAGGCTGCTAGAAGGCCGATAGGAGACCCTAGAAGGCCAATGGGGGCCTCAAGAAGGCTGCTAAGACCAAACCCATTTACAGCTTTGCTGCTAAGACCATTTACAGAGTCCTAATAGACTTTAGACGCTTATAACTCTTTGCAGATTATTATTTAGCAAAAACGGAAGACAGATTCGGAATCAGCATTAAATTCTACGTCGAATGGTATAGGTAGCATAGCATTTTGCTCAGCCAGTTGATCTTTTACCGAAAAGTTTACTGAAAAACACCTAAAGAACTGTTTTTAAATGAAAATTTGCAAAAAAAAACATTGAATTGAAGGCTCTAATGAGTACTAGATCTCTTTCTTCTCACTTTCTCATTCCACCGCTTTTCCCCAACTCGTTCAACATGAAATCCGCTTGTTCTGTTGTCAAGAGAATGTCTTTATCGAAAACTCCATCATCCGCTGGAGTCACCTAAAGTTTACAATGATTTTTGTGCTCTTTACAAAACGCTTATCCTCTAGCACACTGTAGCAGAAGATCTGCATTTAAAGAAGTCTTTAAAAAAGACCTTCATCAATATAAATCATATGGTATAAACAAGAAAAAAAGAAGCCTAAATATAGAAAAAAAAAATTAGATACTGTAGTCCATCGTCTAGGCGTTTATTTTTTCAAAAAAATCACTATCTTCTTCATTATCGAAGTCAGCAGCTTTCAAATTAGTCAGCAGCGATTTGAAATCTTTATTTCTTTGTTCGATAGCATTGATGAGCTGGGTTCTATCCGGAATCAGCTCTTCCTTTTTGAACCAATGCATCTTTCCCAATCCTTGAAGTAATTGTGGAAAATAAGTCGATGATTGTTTCGGCAATTCGTTCAACACCTTCACAATTGCTTGCCGGCCACCATCCCGAAAGACGAAGATCCATGTCCTCCCTTTCAGCCATCAAGCCTTTTCCTTTATCCATTCCGGGATTCAGCGCGACTCCAAACTTCCAAACAGTTGCAGAAATTTTATTCCTCTTTTGCACGCATACAATCGCATCCAATTTCGTTTCTATATCGTAGCATCGCTTCTTCTTGACTCCTTGTTCTTCGTCCTTCGTTCTTCGTCCTTCGTTCTTCGCTCTTCGTCCTTCGCTCTTCGTCCTTCGCTCTTCGTTCTTCGTTCTTCGTTCTTCGAGTTCTTCCTTCTTCGTTCTTCGAGTTCTTCTTGACTCGAGTTTCATCATCAGAAGATTTACCTTCAGACGATTAGATAATACCTGAAAAAAAATTATTTATAAAAATGAACAAATAAAGCAATTTGGAGAACGCTAAATCTGCTTATAAGGAAAAAGCCAGCAGAAAACGTTCATAGTAAAGTAGCATAGGGTAGGCGTCTATTCGTGGTGAGCGTCGATTCGTGGTGAGCGTCGATTCATGGTGAGCGCCTATTCATGGTGAGCGTCTATTCGTGGTGAGCGTCTATTCGTGGTGAGCGTCTATTCGTGGTGAGCGCCTATTCATGGTGAGCGTCTATTCGTGGTGAGCGTCGATTCGTGGTGGACGTCTATTCCTGGTGGACGTCGATTCCTGGTGGGCGTCGATTCCTGGTGGAGGTCGATTCCTGGTGGACGTCTATTCCTGGTAAAGGTCGATTCGAAGAAATACGGTATATGAAAAAAATAATCTAGGCAGCGGGATTAAACCCTTGACCGCTCGACCAAGATACAAGGCTCTTAGCCAGTCGGCCATTTGTTCATTTAAATCAAAATCATCCTCACCACTCCCTGGAGATTCGCTCTGTCGATCAACGCTTGCTTGACTTGTCTCGTCCTCTCCAATCTCAAATCCAAATCATTTGATGTATCTTTTCCGTGGACGATCTTTTCGAAATTTAACATCTAAAAGAAAATTTGATTTAAAAATCAAAAGATATCAATAATTCCGACCTTTTCCCTAACATAGCTCCGACTTTCTGTGTAAGCGGCCTTTTGCTCATTGCAGTCCATTCTTTGACAAACATTCTAAAATCTTATTGATCTTTGAACGTTTTTATGAAAAGTTGAAACGTTTTTATGTAAATTTCTTTTACCTGAATACTTTGAACGGCATTTACATTGATCTCTCCAATTCCCATTAGACTGTTGTTGATCAATGAGGCCAAATCAAACGGCACACCGTTCAGGGGATTGTTTAAAGTGATCCTATAAGGTTTAGAAAGGATACTAGAAATGATTACATAGTACTGGATCATCTAGTAAGGTTCTGTAAAGAGATACTAGTACAAATCAAACCTGGGAATCTGTGGAACAAGATTTTGCACACTCCGCCCGATGTTCGCGAGCATACCTTCGATTTCGCTGAACTCTGGAAACTTGCCACCTCTAAAAACTGAATCTATGACAAATCTCAACAACGATTATTCCAGTTTTCCAAGACTTACACGCATTTCTGATGTGTTGGATATTTCCCACAAAATCGCCGCGCGTGCTCTTCCCATTGGTGATGTCCGGGATCGCCCTGATGAAGGAGTCGACTCAAATCGTTCGTTAAACCTAAATGTGGATAGAAGCAGAAATCTTCTAGAACTGATCTTGGCTAAACCGAACCAGATACCTAGCTTGGCCTGATCCTGGCCCTACTTGGCACTGGCCTAGCTCTGATCTCAGGCTCAGGTCTTAGCTAGCGATCAGCCTAGTTTTAGGCTGATCCTGAACCTAGCCAGCTTGACCCCAGCTAAGCCTAAGCCTAAGCCTGAGCCTAAGCCTAAGCTTAAGCTTAAACTGGCTGAGATCCAGAAAATGGGGGGTTCAGCCCAAACCCAAATAGACTTAGTGCGAGGCGCTAGCCGCTAGCCTCCGCACTAAGCCTAATCTTAAGCCTAAGCTAGCTAAGCCTAAGCCTAAGCCTAAGCCTAAGCCTGAGCTTGACCCGAAGCCGAAGTCTAAGCCTGAAAACCTAAATAAACTTAGTGCAAGGCGCTAGCCGCTAGCTTTTGCATTAAGTCTAAGCCTAAGTAAACCTTGATTCTGGCCAAATACTGAATCCTATTAGGTTGAATCCTACTGTCTTTCACCTAGATTCATCTTCTAATTGAATTAATCGCAAGCTACGGTTATTTTATTAAATAACCAAATCATTTCTCTTGCAAATGACTTTTTAGAGTTTTTGAAAAGCTTTGTTTTCAAGGTTCGCTTAGCTTAACTGAGCTGCTTAACTGAGCTGCTTAACTGAGCTGCTTAACTGAGCTGCTTAGCTGAGCTGCTTAGCTGAGCTGCTTAGCTGAGCTGCTTAGCTGAGCTGCTTAGCTTCTCGCTTAGCTGAGCTGCTTAGCTTCTTGCTTAGCTGAGCTGCTTAGCTGCTTAGCTGACCTAGTTCTAGTTGATTTAACCTTGCCGAGCTTTAGCCTAGACTTATTTCATTCTAATGAGCCAAGAAAATGTTCACCATTTTGCGCAATCCCTCCATGCTCTCCTTGCGAAGATTGTTGTGGTTGAAGCAATTGATTGTTATTCTGCATCATTCCAAGCGATCCAAGCAAATCATCTAAACAAAAAAGAGATTAGAAATTATCTTGTTTATTATAATTTATTATAGTTTCCAATTATTTCCACAAAAAAGCTTCTATTAAAGACTTCAATTCTATTAAAATCAATATTTTTATTTCTAAATCTAAATGAGAGTTTCATTTTCAATTATCGAAACACAAAAGGGCTTTCTTTTCCGAGCCAAAGTCCTCTAAAAGCTAAAAATTTAGTTTAGTTTAGTTATAATTTAGTTATAATTTAGTTTATCACGATTCAGTCTAGAAGCTACAGTATCCAAGCTACAATACCCAAGCTACCGAATTCAAGGTACAGTACCCAAGCTACCGAATTCAAGCTACCGAATTCAAGCTACCGAATTCAAGCTACCGAATTCAAGGTACAGTACCCAAGCTACAGTATCCAAGCTACAATACCCAAGCTACCGAATTCAAGCTACCGAATTCAAGCTACCGAATTCAAGGTACAGTACCCAAGCTACCGAATTCAAGCTACCGAATTCAAGCTACCGAATTCAAGGTACAGTACCCAAGCTACAGTATCCAAGCTACAATACCCAAGCTACCGAATTCAAGCTACCGAATTCAAGCTACCGAATTCAAGCTACCGAATTCAAGCTACCGAATTCAAGGTACAGTACCCAAGCTACAGTATCCAAGCTACAATACCCAAGCTACCGAATTCAAGCTACCGAATTCAAGCTACCGAATTCAAGGTACAGTACCCAAGCTACAGGATCCAAGCTACCGAATTCAAGCTACCGAATTCAAGCTACCGAATTCAAGCTACCGAATTCAACCTACCGAATTCAAGGTACAGTACCCAAGCTACAGTATCCAAGCTACAATATCCAAGCTACAGCATCTAAGCTACAGTATCTTTTAAATCTTTAAATTTCCGCAAGATTTCCTCACCTAGAACCCCTCCATTTTGTGGTTGTTGCCATTGTTGATTTGGATTTTGAAAATTTTGAGCTCCATTTCCACCAAAACCTGTAAGAGCAATAGAATTGTTGTGTTTAAAGCTTTCGTAATTCAGTTAACCATCTCTAGGACGTACCAAAGCTTTCGTAATTCAGTTAAGCATCTCTAGTCGGTCCAGATTTTGCTCTCTTATATCCTTTTGTTGTCTGACATAAAATCTCCCTTTTGATGTCTTTTAAAAAGTCATTACAATGCACATCCGCGCGAAACAATGTTAAAATGTGTTTTCTGATGAAATTTCTTCTAATATATACCATTCGACGCAGAATTTTGTGCTGATTTCAAAAGGATAAAGTTTGGAGGTCTGGTTCTCAATAAAAGTTCATTAACAAACAAATCCTGTCCAATAATTTTTATTTCACGATTCTTTCTAAGCATTTTAGTTCAAAAAGTAATTAAAAATAGTGATTCTGCGCAAAGTTATAGCTTTTTTTTCTTGTCCTACTCAGAAATAGGGCCCTGTTTTCCCAAACACGCTTCAATTACCGTACCCCTGGATGCCCCGTTTTATGATATGCTCGTTTTTGAAATAAGAAGTCAAACTTTGTTTGTTTTTGTCAAACCTTATAACTAACTTCTGATCAAATGGTTCTTTTAAAAAAAAAAAAAAAGCATTTGACACTTATTAGGTGTGTGAAAAAGTAATCCACGTTTTTTATTTTCATCTGATCACCAAATAAGACGCTGTCTTCTCGAAAACCCTCGTTCAACCTCTTCAGAAATAAGCTTTACATTAAATTGTGATGGGTCAACGCTTTGCTATTGGCAAATATTGCTTTGTTATTGGCAATTAATGCTTTGCTATTTGCGACCAATAACATCACTTTTTCTGTGGTTTTTTTGAAGCTTTCTTTATCGGAATCAAAAGAATACAGTGCGGCAGAAGCTGTGCAAAGTACACTGACTCAGAAAAGTTCAAACAAAAGCATTCAAACCGCCATTTCACTCACCCAAGCCGCTCAACAATCAACTGACTCAGAAAAGTTCAAACAAAAGCATTCAAATCGCCATTTCACTCACCCAAACCGCTCAACAATCAACTGACTCAGAAAAGTTCAAACAAAAGCATTCAAATCCCCGTTTCACTCACCCAAACCGCTCAACAATCCCCCATTCCCTCCACCGATCCATTGTGCTCCAATTGCACCAATAAACAGCAATAATAACATGAAAATAATTGTGAAAAGTAGTCTGTAAGGGCTACAGAATTTCTTTTTCTTCATTTTTGAATCATTGATTGAATAAGTAGGCATATTTGAAATGATTGGATTGATTGGATGAAATGATTGGATTGATTTGATTGGATTGATTGATTGAAAGACATTGCTAGCCTTCTTTTTCGTTGACTAATCAAGAAAAATGAAAAATCGGTCGATTGATAATAAAAATAATAAAAAGTACGTAAAGGAGATCGTCAAATCGTCAAATTTTTCCGAAATTTCTTAGAGATCATTGAATTTGAGAGATTTTAAAGAGAAAATTTGAAATTTAGAGATCTTGCAAATGTTTTTGGTTAAAGATTTGAAGAGAAAGGGTAAAAAGATGAGGGTTTTGTGGAGAATTGAGAAAATGGGAGAGATTTTTGGTTTAGAATGGATTGGATTAGAGAACTAGAGAGAAGATTTGATGCTTGAAATGATTTGAAATGATTTGAAATGATTTGAAATGATTTGAAATGATTTGAAATGATTTGAAATGATTTAACCGTTTGCTAAATCTTTTAACCGTTTGCGGTCGGATTTGGATCAAGATATACAAAGAAAAAACTTCTAAAAACCAACGTTAAAAGACTTTTGTCCATGACTGTATACAGGGTGCGGCAAAAGCTCCGATACTTTTTGTAAACGGGCAGTTTGACTTGGAAAAGACGCGAATTTTTGAAAAACTAACACCGGATTATAAAAATTCAGATATTTTTACCCCCTAATATACTTTTTTACACAAAAATTGCCATCTAAACAACCTTTTGATGAGGATGTTTAAAGGTCGTTACAGCAGTTTTTTTTGCTGTTTAGATTCGGGTGCCCTTCGTAGAATCGCTTGAAAATCTTTCGCTTGAGCTTGAGCTTGAGCTTGAGCTTGAGCTTGAGCTTGAGCTTTAGCTTGAGCTTGAGCTTGAGCTATAAAGTTTTTTTGTGGCTTGTTTTCAAGAAAAAACTCAGTTCTATCAAATGGTAACAGCAGTTTTTAAAAATACCGACTGGGGCTACCAGTGGTGAATTTATCGCATACACGAAATATATCAATCACAATACAACGACACACACAATACTAGGCTATATCTTAACTTAACCCACGTCATGACAGACGGCTCCCTAACCCTAAGCTCAATGGGGAACTAAATAGCTTTTTTGGTGGTGAAGGGAAGATGACGATGAAGGAGTGGCTTGTCACTTTAAAGAACTGGGGCCACAACCACCAGACTGCCCTCCAGAAAACCTCTCAACCCGAAGGGAAAGGAAATCCGAAGGGGGTGACCATGTCGCATGTGGGGTTCGAACCCTCGACCTTCCGATTAAGATAAAAGACACTTAAACAGTCAGCCACACGTGCTTCAGAAAAAACTCAGTTCTATCAAATGGTAACAGCAGTTTTTGAGAAAAAATTTCATTCTGCAAAGTTTAAGTCAACTTTCGCAAAAATCTTCAGCGACCAGACCGGGATAGAAAAAATTCTCGTCAAAAAGTTATTGAGAGTTGAAATCTTTTTGATGAAAATGGCTATATTGGGGTGAAATTACCTAAATTTTTAGAATCCGGCGTTATTTTTTTGAAATTCACGGGTTTTTGAAGCCAAAAAAATTACTGTTTACAGCAAAAGTGTCAGAACTTTTGCCGCACCCTGTATATAACGGCACTCTAGATAGCGAAAAGATCTATATGTCGTAACCGTTTACGAAATTCAGCCGCTAACGAATGAGGGTATTTCCGGGCATCCAATCAAAAAGTCGCCCACATAAAAAATGTTCATAATACATATATTTTATAATAAACTTTTGAAATTAGCTCATTTGGTTCAGTAGAAAATTTTTTTTGAGCCCCCAAAGTTTAGGTTTTTGAACCTAAACTTTGGGTGGCTAGAAAAAATTTTCTACTCAGCCAAAAACTTGCCTAATAGCTCATTTTGTAGCCAATTTGATGTAGTTTCTTAAAGTAAAGCTACATTGAACATTTGTTAGGAGAAAGAGGGCGAGGAACGACTTCAGTTGAACTCGGTCGCTGTTTTCACATTTGAGAATTGCCCTGAATTTGTTCCTCGCCATTTTTCTCCTACTTTCAACGAAAAATTGTTTTAGATGGCTTTACTTTAAGAAACTACATCAAATTGGCTACAAAATGAGCTATTAGGCAAGTTTTTTGGCTGAGTAGAAAATTTTTTCTAGCCACCCAAAGTTTAGGTTCAAAAACCTAAAATTTGGGGGCTCAAAAAAAATTTTCTACTGAACCAAATGAGCTAATTTCAAAAATTTATTATAAAATATATGTATTATGAACATTTTTTATGTGGGCGACTTTTTGATTGGATGCCCGGAAATACCCTCATTCCATTAGCGGCTGAATTTCGTAAACGGTTACGACATATATAACGTCACTCTATATAGCTCTATATAACGGAAAGATCTATATGAAAGTCTTCAAATGATTGATCCCCTTTTTGGTAAGTCGTATCCGAGCGCCCGGGTTCCCCGAAATTTCTTCTTCTTAAATCTTCTTAAATGTCTTCTTTCACAATTCACTTTCAAATCTAAAATAGCCCATTTCCCATTACCATTTCCCAGTCACCAACTCGTTTTCCACACATATCTCTTGTCGAGATTCAAAGCTTAGAGAAAGCGAAGAGATTTAAAGCTTAGAGATATTAGAAAACTCTTCTTTTAATCGAAATTTACAGAAAAACATTGAAAATGAGATTTCAGACTGTTGAAAATTGAAAAGACATTGAAAAAAGGGAAAAAAAAAAGGGAAATTTGAGATCGTTTGAGGGTAGAGAAATGAAAAATCGACCGAAATCGACAATTTCACTAGAGAAATGGTCTAAAATGTGCTGAAGATCAAGAATTTGATGAGAATTGAGAAAACGGGAAAAATCCCCGAAAAAAACTGATACAAATATCTCATTTATGTTCTTTTTCCTTTTTTGGATCGACGAGGAACGGTCGTTTCCTTTTTCTCAAAGAACTCTTCATTTTATTATCAAAAAAACACTGCTCAAAAGAGATTTCATTTCGGGAAATAGATGAGTCATTGTTTTTAAGAAAAAGTCTCAGTCAGACACCTAGAAGTTCATTCGATTGAAAGATTAGTTAACTCCATCTGGAGATGTCATAGATGAGTCATTGTTTTTAAGAAAAAACCTCAGTCAAACACCTAGAAGTTCTATTTTTCATTGGATTTAAAAGCTAACATTTTTTCAAGAAAACAAAATTTTCTTCCGTTGCCGGGAATCGAACCGGGGCCTTATGGGTGAGAGCCATAAATCCTAACCACTAGACCACAACGGACGTGGGAACGGGGAGGGGAAATGAGGGTTAAGACTCGAGTGAAAGCGAGATTGCGAGTTCATTTGATTGACAGATTAGTTAACTCCCTCTGGAGCAAGGCGGTCCAAGTGCGTTGTGGTGTAATGGTTAGCACCGTTGGCTGGTAAGCGAAAGATCGCGGGTTCGAATCCCTGCGACACCAAGCTTTTGAGCTTCCTTAGTTCCTAGTGATTGACCTTAACGCTTGCCGTGACTTTACCCGGATTGCAAATATTTTCTTATTACATTAAAAAGAGATTCACTTTTGAAGTTTAACAAAAAATTTGGATGATTTTAGCTGTGGCCTTTCTCGAATTGGAAAACTGGTGAAAACAGAAACTGGTGAAAGCGGTGACTGGTGGAAACGGTTGACTGGTGGAAACGAAATCTACTTGAGTTTCACTTGCAATGGGGTAATAATTTGAATCTAAAGCTTTGTTAAAACGTCGAAAATTCATTATTTTTAAGTTCTAAGCATTTTCAAATCATTTTAAATCAAAACAAAACTTTCTTCCGTTGCCGGGAATCGAACCCGGGCCTTATGGGTGAGAGCCATAAATCCTAACCACTAGACCACAACGGACATGTGGACGGTGAGGGAAAATGAGGGTTAAGACTCGAGTGAAAGGAGATTGAGGGTTAATTTGACAGATTGACAGATTCGTTAACCCTTTCTGGAGGAGGGAAAGAAAGTGGGTTGTGGTGTAATGGTTAGCACACTAGGCCGGTAAGCGAAAGGTCGGGGGTTCGAGTCCGGGTGACGCCAAGTTTTTGGTTAATTTGACATTTTTGTCAAGGAAAATTGGGGAAATTGCAAGAAATTCAAAGGATAAATAAAAAGAGGAAAGATAAGGTGAAGAAAGAGTTGAAAAAGCTTTTAAATCTAGATTGAAAACTGAATTGATTGTATAATAGCGAAATTTTGCGAAAAATAACTTTCCTTACGATATTCTTCGTAAGAAAATGAAAAGAAATAATAAAAGAAAAAGAAAAAGTTATTTATTTATCTCTAAACAATGCAATAAGCCATTTAAAAGCTATTCAGTTAACTAATAAACGAGTTTATTTGTCAGTTTATTTGTTTATTTGTCATTTCCTCATTGTAAGTCATTTTTTGTTTTTTTTTTTGCTAAACTCTTAGCTTAATTACTGACGTTCGAGATTCTCTTTGGCACGCTTGGCATCCTCCAAATCACCACGAGCCTCATCAAGGAAGCAAGATGGTTTTGCAGTGCGAGCATCAAGTGGTTGTCGAACTTCCTCGAGAAGCTGATCGGCGGCATCTCGTGCTTTCCTGGGGTTCGATTCCCCAGGTTCGATTCCCCAGGTTTGATCCCCAGGTTCAATTCCCGAGGTTCAATTCCTGAGGTTCAATTCCTGAGGTTCAATTCCTGAGGTTCAATTCCTGAGGTTCAATTCCTGAGGTTCAATTCCTGAGGTTCAATTCCCGAGGTTCAATTCCTGAGGTTCGATCTCCCGGTAATCCTTTTAAGAGCTCTTAGCAGAGCTTTACTTGGCTGAGCTGGGCCTTTTAGCTTACTATTAGTTGAACAGCTTGACACCTTAACTCGCAATGATTAACACCTTAATTCGTTCCAGTAGGTGTTGCGGTCGTCGAGCACTGGCAGAAGTGCCTGCATCGACTGTGCTTGAAAGCTAGTGTGCGTGTTTGTCGGCAGCTGTTGGAGCGGTGGCAAGGATGTTTCGTGCAACCGAGATTTCTTCTCTCATCTCAGCGTCGAGTCGAATTTGGTTGGAATTGCTTCGATTCGCCGATTCGCCTCATCAACGAGTTCAGCGAGTCTAGTTCCGGCTCCGTCGGCTCTTCTGTGCAGATCTTCAAGAGCAGATCTTCAAGAGCATCAGCACGGTCTTCCAATGAGGATAGAGTGTTGTTCAAAGCTTCGTTTGCTTTCTCAAGTCAATCAAGAATGGCAGCAAGTTGAGCACCCTCCTAAGGGCCTTCTAGAGACCTTCTAGGGACCCTCTAGAGGCCTTCTAGAGACCTTCTAGAGGCCTTCTAGAGACCTTCTCATCTTGATCGATTTTCTTGATCTTTTCGTAGTCGTCGTCTTTAACCAATAAGACAATAAATCAAAAAAAAAATGTATTCTTTATTCTCTATCATTGAAAAATCAAAATATTAGTTGTTGGCTAGCAGAAATTACAACTTTTTCGACAATTTTGTGCCATCCATCCTCCAGTATTCGCCGATCCACACTGATTGTCGAGAGCCCAATGGCCACAGTAAACATTAGTATCGTAACAGTCTGTAATGATGAGTACGGTAGTCTTTTACTTTCCTTTTAAAAACTCACTAGCCGGTTTGCAGTACATTTTATTGAGAATCTCGACATCTCTTTTCGTCATCGAATCTCTTTGTCCCATCACTCGAATATTCGCATCAGCATTGTACTGAAAGATTTTGATAGACTTTGATTGATAGACTTTGATTGATAGACTTTGATTGATAGACTTTGATTGATAAACAATTGACAGACATATTTAACGCTTTAAAGCTTGTATAGCGAGCTAAAGAGGCTTAAAGTTGATCAAAGTTGATTGGTAAACAATTTGATAAACATTTTTGAAGATCTAAAGCTTGTAAACCAAGCTAAAGTGGCTTAAAGCTTAGTTCTCATGTTTGATAAACATTTTTGAAGATTCAAGGCTTGTAAACCGAGCTAAAGATGCTTAAAGTTGATCAAAATTGATTGATAAACAATTTGATAAACATATTTAATGATCTAAAGCTTGTAAACCGAGCTAAAGTGGCTTAAAGCTGATCAAAGTTGATTGATAAACAATTTTATAAACATATTTAATGATCTAAAGCTTGTAAATCGAGCTAAAGATGCTTAAAGTTGATCAAAGTTGATTAATTAAACAATTGATAAACATATTTAATGATCTAAAGCTTGTAAACCGAGCTAAAGTGGCTTAAAGCTTAGTTCTCATGTTTGATAAACATAGTTAAAGATTTAAAGCTTGTAAATCAAGCTAAAAAGGCTTAAAATTGATCAAAGTTGATTGATAAACAATCTAATAAACAAATTTGAATCTTTTATAACCCTGTCAACTTCCCAAAGACAATTTTACTGTCTCTTACTGGATAAAACTCACAATTGGAATTAGAGTCGGCTTTGTGTAATCAACAGCTGCTGTGTAAGCATTGTAGTGCATCACACTAGCGTAATCATACGGTACTCCGTAACTAAAACTTTGAATTCTTAAACGAAAACACGGTAGAAGCATGAGCATGAGTCTAAGCTTGTCGTTTCAATCTTTCTAGTGCTTAGATTACTGTAAGTCAATACTACAGCTTGCTGTATGTCTGTATATCTTAAACTAACGTACCGTACCTGTTCTTTCAATGTTCGCTAGTGCTTAGATGACTGTAAGCTTACTGTAGATCGATTTGCTCAGCTTATTGTCCAGCTTACTGTCCAGCTTATTGTTCAGCTTATTGTTCAGCTTACTGTTTAGCTTACTGTCCAGCTTACTGTCCAGTTTACTGTCCAGCTTATTGTCCAGCTTATTTTCCAGCTTATTTTCCAGCTTATTTTCCAGCTTATTTTCCAGCTTATTGTCCAGCTTCTTGTCCAGCTTCTTGTCCAGCTTCTTGTCCAGCTTATTGTCCAGTTTACTGTCCAGCTTCTTGTCCAGCTTCTTGTCCAGCTTCTTGTCCAGTTTACTGCCCAGCTTCTTGTCCAGTTTCTTGTCCAGCTTCTTGTCCAGCTTCTTGTCCAGCTTACTGTCCAGCTTCTTGTCCAGCTTATTGTCCAGTTTCTTGTCCAGCTTCTTGTCCAGCTTATATACCCCAGTTTTCCTACATTATTCCAAAAAGAACTCAGCTAGATTGCTCAAAATCTTTCACGAACGCTTAAATAGCTAGGATTTCAATTTCTAAGAGATTGCTAGAGCAAATCAAGAATCTAGAATTCTCCAGAACAAATCAATTTACACCCAAAGAAGAAAAACTAGCAAAGTCTTTAATCTACGATGTAGATAAACCTTCAATTCATTGTGGCCACAATGAATTAAAGGTTTAAAGCTTGTAGAGCAAGCTAAGGAGGTTTAAAGTTGAGTTGTCATTTTTTCGGTCTCTCGACGTCTCTCAACGTCTCTCAACGAGCCCCCTAGCTCGCTCTATAAGCTTTAAATCTTTAATTCATTATAGCCATGATGTAGCCTAAAGATTTTGTTAAATTTTCTTCTTTAAGTGTAAATTGATTGGGCTCTTTTGGAAAAAGCTCAAGCGATTCTCAGAAAAACATTGAAATCCAGGCTACAGTCTGCTTCAGTGACTGTAGCTTTACAGTCTTGTAGCTTTACAAATCGCTAAAACTTTTGTATCTTTACAATCAGCTACAAAAGTCTACTATCTACTGTATCCTTTGCTACAAGAGTTTTCCAAAAAAAAACCCACGTGGTGAATGTTTTTGCGTCCGAAACGGCTAACGAGTCGTACATTTGTGGATTGACATTTCCCCAATTCACCGTAATCCATTTGTCTCGATCCATTCGAATGTGCTGATGATCAACGCCCAGTGAATGCATTGTTTCATGAATTGTCACTCCGATATTCTAGAAACAATGTGATAATGAAAAATCATAAACAATAATAAACTATAAAGCTTTGAAGCCCCTGGAAAAGGGTTCTGAACCGTGAAAGACTCAAAAACTCAAAACAATAGCTGACTGGCTAAGAGCTTTGTTTCTTAATCGAGAGGGAAAGGGTTCAATCCCGCTAGAGAACTAAAAAAGGTCAAGTCTTCTGATAAAGTGCTTGAAACTAGTCTAGTTCTAGTCTAGTTCTAGTCTGGTTCTAAGCCAGCTTCAAGCTAGCTGATAGTGAGCTTGAAGAGCTCTCAGAAGCTCACAGAAGCTCTCAGAAGCTCACAGAGCTCTCAGAAGCTCTCAGAGCTCTTAGCAGCTCTCAGAGCTCTCAGAAGCTCTCAGAAGCTCTCAGAAGCTCTCGGAGCTCTTAGAAGCTCTCAGAAGCTCTCAGAATCTCAGAATCTTCTTGAACCTTTTAAAGCATGCCCCGGGTACCGTAATCCTGCTTGTCCTTGCCCAGATCTACTGTAGAATTTTGTATTTCCTAGTCTTTAGGTTTTTAAAGTATGATAGCTCCAAGGGTTACTGTAATATCTACTGGGTTACGGTAACCGATAAATCTGATTGTTTTATAGAATTGTATAGAATACAATTCTAAATAAATTGCATAGAATAAAAATTCTATAGAAAATGATGTCGTTACGGCTACGTACTATAGAAATTACTGTAGTTAGGCAGCTCGCAAAGTCACACTTTAATGTCAATCACTAGAAACTAGAGCAGGTCAAAAAAAAGACGCCAACCGGATTCGAACCCCCGACCTTTCGCTTACCAGGCGACCGTGCTAACCATTACACCACAACGCACTTGGTCCGCCTTGCTCCAGAGGGAGTTAACTAATCTGTCAATCAAATTAACCCTCAATCTCCCTTCACTCGAGTCTTAACCCTCATTTTCCCTCCCCGTTCACATGTCCGTTGTGGTCTAGTGGTTAGGATTTATGGCTCTCACCCATAAGGCCCGGGTTCGATTCCCGGCAACGGAAGGAAATTTTGTTTTCTTGAAAAAATGTTTTATTTATCCTTTGAATTTCTTGCAATTTCCCCAATTTTCCTTGACAAAAATGTCAAATTAACCAAAAAGTTGGCGTCACCCGGACTCGAACCCCCGACCTTTCGCTTACCGGCCTAGTGTGCTAACCATTACACCACAGCCCGCTTGTTTCCCCTCCTCCAGAAAGGGTTAACGAATCTGTCAATCTGTCAAATTAACCCTCAATCTCCCTTCACTCGAGTCTTAACCCTCATTTTTCTTCACCGTCCACACGTCCGTTGTGGTCTAGTGGTTAGGATTTATGGCTCTCACCCATAAGGCCCGGGTTCGATTCCCGGCAACGGAAGAAAGTTTTGTTTTGATTTAAAATGATTTGAAAATGCTTAGAACTTAAAAATAATGAATGTTCGACGTTTTAACAAAGCTTTAGATTCAAATTATTACCCCATTGCAAGTGAAACTCAAGTAGATTTCGTTTCCACCAGTCACTTTTCCGATTCGAGAAAGGCCACAGCTGAAATCATTTTGTTAAACTTCAAAAGTGCTCTTTAAATCGCTTTTTAATGTATTAAGAAACTATTTACAATCCAGGCGCATCGGTTTTCATATAATACAAAAAGTATCCGTTTTGAATTGGTGCCGAAACGTATTGGAAACGAAGGCATGGAACATTATTTGAGATTGTTTGAAGAGCCTGTCGAACTGTTTGTTGATCCCCGCTCTCTGAAAGATCAAAAATTCTCTGAAATTTTATTTAAACTAATGAAAAACTCTGAAACTAATGAAAAAAAGCGAATGATTTTCAATAAATTTTACCTAATGATTCATGAAAAGTGTACGGGATTGGCCTAGTATTGTCCCATTTGCGCACGTATTGTTGCTCGAAGAAGAGAGCCGCTCGAGCCCTGGAAAAGGGTTTTGAACTGTGAAAGACTCAAAAACTCAAACCCATAGCTGACTGGCTAAGAGCTTTGTTTCTAGGGGGAAAGGGTTCAATCCCGCTAGAGAACTAAACAAGGTCAACTCTTCTGATAAAGTGCTTGAAACTAGTCTAGTTCTAGTCTAGTTCTAGTCTGGTTCTAAGCCAGACTAGCCGATAGTGAGCTTGAAGAGCTCACAGAGCTCTCAGAGGCTCTTAGAAGCTCTTAGAAGCTCTTAGAAGTTCTCAGAAGCTCTCAGAAGCTCTCAGGAGCTCACAGAGCTCTCAGAAGCTCTCAGAAGCTCTCAGAAGCTCTTAGAAGCTCTTAGAAGTTCTTAGAAGCTCTTAGAAGCTCTCAGAAGCTCTCAGAAGCTCTCAGAAGCTCTCAGAAGCTCTCAGAAGCTCTCAGAAGCTCTTAGAAGCTCTCAAAAGCTCTCAGAGCTCTCAGAAGCTCACAGAACTTTCAAAAATCAACAATAACAATTGAAAGATCTACTTTGACTAAAGAAAGAAATCTACACGTAAAACCCTACATTCTGCTGAGCTGTGGCTCTTCCGGTTGCACCATTCCTGCATCTGGGGGATCAGTTGTTTCCACCTAAACGAAAGCAAAGCTAAACTGCATTTGGAAATTCTTCAGAGACAGAAACAAAGAATAACTTTACCTCATAATCTAGACTGGCTCCCGCAATCGAACTATCATAATCGGGATCTTGGCTTGGATCAAGTGGAGCAACTTCTCCTTCGGCACCTAAAAACAAAACTTCCTTCCACTGCCGGGATCGAATCCGGGCTTTATGAGTGATTGAAATAAACCCTAGCCACTTGACCACGGGAGATGTGGTTGAAAGGAGAGAATAAGGACATCCCACAAGGAGACTAGACATCCTACAAGGATAATAGACATCCCACAAGGAGACTAGACTCTCCTTTCTCTTCAATAAGAGACTTCTTCAATACTCTCTTCAATAAGGGACTCGAGTGAAGGGCGATTTAGGGCTAGTTTCCCATTTCCAATAAAAACAAAGCCTGTCTTCCACTGCCAGGGGTGGAACCCGGGCGCTATGGGTAAGAGAAATCAATCCTAACCGCTAGGCCAGAAGAGCTAGAAGGGTGGGAAATAAGGGTTAAAACTCGAGTGAAGGGAGGTTGGCAGTTCCTTGGAATAAAAAGAAAACTTCTTTCCACTACCAGGGATCGAACCCGGACCTTATGGGTAAGAGAAATCAATTCTAACCGCCAGACCACACTACACATAAGCGAACGGAAGGAAATAAGGGTTAAGACTCGAGTGAAGGGAGATTGACAGTTCATTTGAGATTTTCAATAAAAAAGAAACTATCATCCACCGTCAGGGATCGAGCCCGGGCCTTATGAGCAAGAGAAATCAATCCTAACCGCTAGGCCACAAGCCATGTGAGCGAGTGGAAGGAAATAAGGGTTAAAACTCGAGTGAAGGGAGGTTGACAGTTCCTTGGATATTTTCAATAAAACAAAACTTCATCCCACTACCAGGGATCGAACCCGGGCCTTATGGTTCAGAGAAATCAATCCTAGCCACTTGACCACGAGACCTGTGGGGCGAAGGGAGGGAAATGAAGGTTAATACTCGAGTGAAGGGGGGAGATTACCTTCTGAAAATTTTCTGAAAAGTTTCTGAAAAGCTTACCCGGCGGCAGTCCCACCTCTTCTTCGACACCGCCCTTATCAAGCTCATTCAGCAAATATTCAGACTAAATTTTGGAAAGTAATCCTCTTGCAAGATTCCACTTGTTCTCAATTTCTCACTTGTTCTTTTGTCAGCAAGAGATCTCCATCGAATACTCCATCATCAGCTGGGTCAACCTGAAGAAAAATGGCTTTAAAATGGCTTTACAGGCTCGAAAAACTCGCCCGAAAAAAGGATTAAAGTCGTTTTTCTAAAGAAAAAGGATTACGATAGCTTTTTCTAAAGAAAATCGGTTATCAACATCTTTAGGAAACATTTTAATTAGCCACTGAGCTTCTGGGAAAACTTTGAAAGCCGTAAAATAGTCACCAACTCGGCTCGCTTCGGTGCACTACTATTAGAGAAAATATGGTATATTTATTAGGTGGTTCGGATATAAACAAGCGTTGCTGAACTTATTGTTGTGAGAGAAGCTTTTAAAACATGTCTTTTTGTATTTCTTTCTGTATTTAAAAAGTACGTTATCTTGTGCAGATTTGGAATTTTTTAAAACGGATGATTTCTTATTTTTAAGATCTTTTTTCTTGCTTTAGATAATCGACTTTAAATATATAAAGTTCGCGTCTACTTTACTTATCAATAAGCCTACTTTACTTATCACTAAGCCTACTTTACTTATCACTAAGCCTACTTTACGACTTCAAACTGGGCAAAACAGTAGCGGAGTCCCATTGAGATTTGGTCAAAGCATGATTTGGGAATGATGTATTGTCCGAAAGCCGATGCCGAGCCTGGTTCCAACGCTTTCGGAATGGTGATGAAAGTCTCGAGGATGATCTCGAGGTCGACCAGAGGAACACTCTGGTCGACCAGAGGAATCAGAGGAACACTCTGGTCGACCAGAGGACCAGAGTGTTCCTCTGGTCGACCATGACCTCCTCATCGACCTCAAGCGGTAGACAACGATATTTTGAAGGCTGCAATCGAATCGGATCCATGTCAAACGACGCGTGAACTTGCTCAACGGTTTCTATTTTCAAATTCTACTATTAATGCACATCTCCACGCCATTGGAAAGACGATCTGATGCGGGAAATGACTTCCTCAAGGGTTAAGCAGTGCAAACGCTCGTTTATATCCGAATAACCTAATAAAAATAGAACAACCTAAAAATGAGCATAAAATTCTGCGTCGAATGATATAAGTTGCATAGCATTTGACCGGCTCAACCTTCCCTTGTCCATTAAATATCTTCAACACCTACCGTATTCTCTCTAATACGCTTAAGATGCGCTACTATTCTCCAATAGTAGTGCACTACTATTCTCTAATAGTAGCGCACCTTAAGCGTCTCCTAAATTCCTCGAAATCTCGAGAACCGCTTATCAGAACCTATCGATGTGAGGTTGGAAAATGTAGCTAACGATGAGATCTAGTGGAGGATTAGAGTGTTGAGCTTCTGTGAAGCTTTGGAAGCCTTTGAAAGCCGTAAAATAGTCATTAACTCGGCTCGCTTAGGTGCACTACTATTGGGTTGGGGAGAATGAGTCGGCGCCAAACTTTAAAGGGACTTTTTGTACACATAAAGCCTTCTTTAAACATACGTTTGGTTTCATCAAAAGGATCCACTATTTCTCTACAAAATCACTTTTGAGAGATTCCACAAAGCTTTTCTTTCGTGGAGTTTATGGACTCCCAAACACAGCTAGTCAAAATGGCAAAGAGCCCGACTCATCATTTGAACAGTTTCTTTCACATAAACCTTCTTTGGTGTTTATATAAAAAAGATAGAGCACATTCAATTACTTAAGTTGCCAAATTTGCAGGAAGATCCCACCAATCGTTTTTTCTAGATCACAGTTTGTAGTTTTTGTGAAAAAATGGCTTTTTCTTGAGCGGAGGCGCTGTTTGAATTTTCTTTTAAATGTGATTTTGTAGAGAATTAGTTAACCATTCTACTCATATCAAACGCATATTATTTGACGAAGTCGAATAGAAGTTTTAGACATTTTTTTGATTTTCGGCGCCGACTCATTCTCCCCAACCCAATATTAGAGAAAATACGGTATTCATAGCTTAATACTCATAGCTTTAGAAGCTTAATACTTTAACTCAAAGCATTGCTTTTCTTACATCTGTATCCAACTCGGCTTTCTCTAAAAGAGCCTTTTTAAGTTGCCTTGTTCGATCCAATTCCAATTCAATATCATCATCAGATTGATCGGGAGCTTTCACTTTAGCACGGAATTTTTTCATCTAAATATAAATAACTTGAATTTGATTGAATTGAATTTAGCTAAATCTAGCTAAATCTAGCTAAATCTAGTGAAATCTAGTGAAATCTAGCTAAATCTAGCTAAATCTAGCTAAATCTAGTGAAATCTAGCTAAATCTAGTGAAATCTAGCTAAATCTAGCTAAATCTAGTGAAATCTAGTGAAATCTAGCTAAATCTAGCTAAATCTAGCTAAATCTAGGTAAATCTAGCTAAATCTAGCTAAATCTTTAGTTTAATCTAACAGCAAAACTGCTGGTTCTTAACTTTGTGATATCTAAGGAATTATCGAACAGTTTTATTTGTAATTTCTACTGAATAATCTACAAGTTTATGGTAACTAGTAGCCAAAATTTGATAACAATTGCTTGATTGTATCGAGAGAATCAAGAGATCGAGCATTTGTAGCTTTGTTGTTTTGTTCAGCTCTATAACAATTGATTTCTCTTGATTGAGCCAAGCAATTGTAGTCAAATTTTGGCTACTAATTATCATAAACTTATAGATTATTCAATAGAAATTAAAGATGAAACTGTTTTAGAAAAAATCTCGAATTTCGAAGCTTTTGAATCAGCTAATCTTAGCAAATAAAATTAGATTTTAATGTTTTCTATTTATATGTCGTAACCGATTATGAACTTCAGCAGATTATGAATTTCAGCCGTATGCATGAGGACAACATTATATGATCTTGTAGCGAATTCAATTCTGCGTCGATTGGTACCAAATTTGTGAGTTTAGGCTAAAAATTACCGGCACTACAACGTTTCATTCAACCCCCGTAGCCGATTATGAATGAGTGGGTCTAGGAGCGTCCAATCATCAAGTATTTGGGTCTAGGAGCGTCTAGGAGCATCCAATCATCAAGTATTTGGGTCTAGGAGCGTCTAGGAGCGTCCAATCATCAAGTATTTGGGTCTAGGAGCGTCTAGGAGCGTCCAATCATCAAGTATTTGGGTCTAGGAGCGTCTAGGAGCATCCAATCATCAAGTATTTGGGTCTAGGAGCGTCTAGGAGCGTCCAATCATCAATTATTTAGTATCATTCAACGCAGAATTATTGATAATTATGTTAAATTTTTAAAATTAGAAAGATTGGATAAAAAGAAAAAAAATTAGAGCAAAAAAACTTTTTGTTCAAGAGAAGAGGGGATTTGAAGGCTTTGAAGCCCCATAATTTGTGTTCTTTTTATCAAATCTTTCTAATTTCAAAAATTTAGCATAATTATTAATGATTCTGCGTTGAATGATACTAAATACTTGATGGTTGGACGCTCCTAGACCCACTCATTCATAATCGGCCACGGGGGTTGAATGAAACGTTTTAGCGTCGGCAATTTTTAACCTAAACTCACAAATTTGGTACCAAACGACGCAGAATTGAATTCGCTACAAGATCATAGAATATTGTCCTGGTATTAATGGGTTGCTCTACTAGAAAGGCTTTCGAAAAAGTTTCATTCATAATCGGCTAAGACAATCAAAATTTTTAACTTTCTCTTGAAGTTCAAAAAAAAGTTTTCTATTTATATTTATTTATATTTTTATTTTTTTTTTATATTTATATATATAGACTTGCTTTTTTTTGAACTAAAAACTTTACAGCATCGTCGCTTTGTCATTGATTTAGTCGAAACTTTCAAAATCCTCCGTAGTAAACAGATTAGCCCTTTGTTTATAGACTTTTTCAAATTTAAACCGCGGTCAGGGCCCAGAAGTGGCTCATTCCTTTTGCAAATTCCCTTTGCTTCCAATGCCTCTTTATCAAATTCATTTCCCGTTAGAGCCGCTAGATTATGGAACTTGCTCCCAAACGACATACGAGAAATTCAGTCGCTTTTCATATTCAAGAAACGTATCGATGCTTTAGATCTAGTGGCTCTTTGCCGTAAGTAATTGGCTTATTGATTTCAGTATGTATTGTATGATTAAGTATCACTGTGCATTTCTCTATCATTTCTTTCACTTTATCGTTTGAATAAAGTATTATTATTATATTTATTTAGCTTTTATTTATTTATCTATTTATTCCTTTCTTTATTTATCTATTTATTCCTTTACCTGTCCTCTCAAATGATCTCTTTTTTGTTTATGTGCTTTCCACGCTTTACAATCGATTCTCGCACAAACTCCCTGTAAAGTTTTTTTTAATTTTTTTCTTGTTTTCTATCTTATAAAATCCAAAGTTCTACATTTGAATGACCTTGGGGATTGATTGATTGAAAAATAGAGATATAGAGATTGATAGAAAATAAAAAAAAAATGAAATTAGAGAAATTTCCGGGTTTTTTTTTGATAAAAAATTGAGATCGAGAACGAATTTCTATTAAAATTGATTATTAAATTAGCATTAACAAATAAAATAACTATTTACGATTAACTGATTAACTGACTATCATAAAAACTCTAATAAAATCATAAAAGGGTCGCCTAGTCCAAGCGCCTTCTCAAACAAACGCTCATATCTCGATACTAGTACTTTTGTTTCCACTCGTTCAGGTATCAAATTAAAGTAGAGAAAATGGGGAATTTTTTAATCTATAACCCATATTTTTAGCATTAACCAGTACTTAGCAAAAGATCATTGAAAAATGATGAAAAATCGACTTTTTTTGTCATTTGAGCGATTCTTTGAGAGTAAACTTAGACTACGGCTCCTATAGCTGGCTTCTCTATTAGAATACCAGTAGATTCGCAGCAAAATTTTGAAACAAAAAGCAAAAGAATTGGCGGCAAGAGGAGTCGAACCCGTGACCGCGATCTTCCGTTCGTTTGAGAGACGCTCACGTTAACCACTCGGCCACGATCTTTGTGAGCTGCCAGTGATTACTCGGCCAGTGCGAGGGGTCTCGTCTTGCAGTGAATGGCGCAGTGCGAGCGCTCTTGTCTCTAGTCCACACGATCCGGGTTCGACTCCCGGCCGCGTCGGGACTTTTGGTTTTTTAAAAATTTCAAAACATATTACATAACTACATGGAATTTTAAGTCAAACTAACTATAAGTCATTTGAAAAACTCCAGGCAGAGACAGACTGCTCAGGCTTAGGCTCAGGGTTAGGCTTAGGCTTCGGCTTAGGCTTCGGCTTAGGCTCAGACCCAGGCTTAGGCTTAGGCTCAGACTCAGGCTTAGGCTCAGGCTCTGGCTCAGGCTTAGGCTTAGGCTTAGGCTAAGGCTTAGGCTCAGGCTTAGGCTCAGGCTCTGGCTCAGGCTTAGGCTTAGGCTTATGCTAAGGCTTAGGCTCTGGCTTAGGCTCAGGCTCTGGCTCAGGCTTAGGCTTAGGCTTAGGCTAAGGCTTAGGCTCAGGCTTAGGCTCAGGCTTAGGCTTAGGATCAGACTCAGGCTTAGGTTCAGGCTCTGGCTTAGGCTCAGGCTTAGATCATGAAGCTTCTTGGATTGTCTTAAGCTTAAATTTGGCTTCCGGTCAAGCTTTGATCTGACTTAGGCTTACAGTATATTAAAAGTTGAGGCTCAACTTGTTCTAAGGAAAGATTTAAAGTTTAGATTAGGTTCTTTACTTTTAGAATGATATTCCTTTGAGAACGATATTCCTCAAAATCCCGCTACCTTGACTTTCTTTCGGTTTTCCGATTTCATTTTGCCCCAATGCTTCACGTGATCCGGGATCAAATCGGCCATTCCCGCTGGAGCGTCATCAAGTGGATTCTTGCGCTTTTGGAGTCTAGATTTTGAGATAAATAAGCTCTTTTCTTTTCTTTTCTTACTTTGGAATCTTCTTTATCTTTCTCCTTCTCGCCATTCGATTTCGTTGCTTTTGCCTTTGCAGCACTACTCGTTTCTGTGTGACGGCGAGCATTGGAGTAATGTCCGTAAACTTTGGTTTCTTTCCATTCCTGATAAATCATTAAATAGAAATTTCCCGTAATTCTAATATGTAGTCCACAAACGTTTTATTAAAGTCTTCCTTTTTTCTCAATTTTCAATTATAAATACAAATTTTTACGTTAAATACGATTTTTTTAAAGTATAACATTATAAAAGAAGTAAAAATGCTTAAAGAAAAAGAAAATAAAGAAATAAGGACGAGTTTTTGATGGAAAAATTGATAAAAAAGGGGTAAGAGAGCTTTAGATCGACCAAGCCACAGTTCGGTTTTCGTCTAGAGTACGGGAATTGTCGCGCGGTTTAGGAGCACGAGGTTTAATAGCACGAGGTTTAAGAGCGCGGGGTTTAAGAGCGCGAGGTTTAAGGTTAAATTTCCGAGAATTTAACCAATAGCTAAGCATTTTCCCTTCACAATATAATACTAGATTTCAAGGGATATCATTTGACACCAAAGTGCACATCTACTCTATAGGATTGAGGGTTGTCTGTCTGTCTGTCCGTCCGTCTGTCTCTCCGTCTCTCCGTCTGTCTGTCTGTCTGTTCGTCTGTATGTCTGTGGGTCAGTCTCTCCGTATGTCTGTCTGTTTGTCTGTCTGTCCGTCTGCCTGCCTGCCTGCCTGTCTGTCTGTCTATCCGTCTATCCATCTGTCCTCCATCACACTCTGGATCTCGGCTCCCCGTGAATCGATTTTGACAAACTTTTTTTTAATCGATAGCGAATCAAAAATGAATAGGTGTTTACTTTTTGGTGAAAACAGGTTTCTCATCAAAAACCGGTAAAAAAATCAGAAAAACCACTTCGGCTTCTCTTTTTCCCTTCGAGGGCTCTCGGGAAAGCGTGGTCGAGGCGGTTAGCGTCCCGTTTACAAAACGATTGCCCCAAGGGAGGGTGGCGGGTTCGATTCCCGTCCGTTCAAAACTTTTTAGATTTAAGTGTTTTCAAGCATGGATTTGATTGAGTCAAATCGATTTTCTATCTGGGGTATATCTAGGCCAAATAAACCCAATGTTAGCTAAAGAAAGGTTGAAAAAAACAAGATTTTAAGGTCTTGGATCGGAGAGAGATCTTCTTCTCTTCCATTAGACTTTTTTACTCTTCCTATTACTATATATTACTCTTTTACTTTACTATTCACTGTCTAAAGCTCTTCTAGAACATTTTCCAAAAGAAAAAACTCACTGGCATTTAGGGTGTCGATGGAAAAAGCTACAGAAAGTGGTCGCCTGTTTCTGCCATTGTTGAGTAGCTGGGGCTCGGCCTTGCTGGTGGAATTTGCGCAAATTCCGGAGAAAAGCTGAAGAGATTTTTTGATTTACCGTAAATACTGTAATTGAACCCCATAGGGTACTATTCCCCCCCCCCCTCTAGGGTTGGGTACTATTAGAGGGTGGGGCACTATTAGAGGGTGGGTCACTATTTTACACCACTGTGGTTGTAATCGCCTTCTTTGATTGTCTTGTTCAGCCTCAGAATGTGCTCGACGATGGCCTTCTCAAATTTGATTCGGCAGCTTTTGACAAGTTGTTGTTGGTGCCCTCAAAGAAAGTTGGTGACGCCTCAAGAACGACTCCATCCAGCCATCCGTCCACTCCATCCACTATTTTACACCACTGTGCTTGTAATCGCCTTCTTTGATTGTCTTGTTCAGCCTCAGAATGTGCTCGACGATGGCCTTCTCAAATTTGATTCGGCGGCTTTTGACAAGTTGCTGTTGGTGCTCTCAAAGAAAGTTGGTGACGCCTCAAGAACGACTCCATCCATCCACTCCATCCACTATTTTACACCACTGTGCTTGTAATCGCCTTCTTTGATTGTCTTGTTCAGCCTCAGAATGTGCTCGGCGATGGCCTTCTCAAATTTGATTCGGCAGCTTTTGACAAGTTGTTGTTGGTGCTCTCAAAGAAAGTTGGTGACGCCTCAAGAACGACTCCATCCAGCCATGGGTTCTTTTGAAAGAAATTTCAGCTTTTTCGAATCATAATAAGAAAATACATGAAACTTTTCCGCTTTAAAAGAGTTGTTTTTAGTTAAGCGTTAGGTGGAGGTGGGGTACTATTAGAGGGGTGCACCCGGGTGGCGTATTATTCCCCCCCTCTAGGGTGGGGTACTATTAGAGGGGTGGGGTCCAATTACAGTATTTACGGTAAGCATTTTATGAATAAATTAAATCCAAATTTACTTAATTTACTTATTTATTTCATTTAAAAATTGTTTTTAAAGAAGAAAAAACTCACTAACAAGTTGCTGATTTGCGCCATCACCTGAAAATATCAAAATTTCAAATCAAATCCTTTTCCATTACTGATTTCAACCAAAAAAACAAAGCAAATATTGCAAAAATATTAGTTTTCTATGCTAATTTCGATTTAGATGCGAATTTCTATCGGTAAAACCTGGCTTCAGCTTGGGCATTGCCCGAGCTCGTTGCTGATTCTGCGTTGCGCTTCGGGCCTCTTTAAAATAGTTGCAAAGTTTTTAAAAATCAACAAACTAAACATTAAAGTATATAATATTTACAGTATTCATTGAAAATTAAATTACTTTACTTACTTTACTCAAAAAAAAACAAAAGAAATAGTTTAAAACATATCTCTAATAGTAGCCTTAAGCTTTGCCTAAATTCCTCGAAATCTCGAGAACCGCTTATCAGAACCTATCGATGTGAGGGCGGAAAATGTAGCTGACGATGAGATCTTGCGAGGGATTAGAGTGTTGAGCTTCTGGGAAAGCTTGGAAACCGTAAAATAGCCATCAACTCGGCTGGGCCCGGTGCACTACTATTAGAGAGAATACGGCAAACTTAATTCCTACACTTTAGATTAACTTAACCTTCAACAATGCTATTCAATACCTTGGTATTGAATTCAATTCAATACCTTGGTATTGAATAGCATTGTTCTAATCATTAGTTCTAATCAAAAAAAACTTCAGTCTTGTTGAATTTGGTCTTCTCATTCTTTCATTAGTTAATGATGTCCTACCATCGTTTAAATATCTTCGCCATCTACCGTATTCTCTCTAATAGTAGCACACCTTAAGCCTCGCCTAAATTGCTCGAAATCTCGAGAACCGCGTATCAGAACCTATCGATGTGGGGTCGAAAAATGTAGCTAACGATGAGATCTAGCTGAGGATTAGAGTGTTGAGCTTCTGCAAAAGCTTGGTAACCGTAAAATAGTCATCAACTCGACTCGGCTGGGTGCATACTATTAGAGAAAATACGTTATTTTTAAATCTTTACACGCTTCTTTAAAAACGTTTTTAAATTTTGTTTAAAAGTGGTGAAAGTTTTTCTTCCAATTTTTTCAATTTTTCCAATAATTACATTGTGAAATTCCTTTTTTTCAATAAAATTCTTAATCTTTCATCTCTAAACTCGTTTAAATCCGCTATTTCTCTGCTTTTTCTGATCTCTTTGAATTCGACTCTTTACTCCAGAAGCCTACAGAAGGCCTTTTCTCATACGCCAACTTTCCGTTTCCTCTAAAAGCTCGATTTTCTTTTTTAATCGAGTTATTAACCTTGAAAATGAAGCTTAACCTTGAAAATGAAACCTTTTACCCTCTTATCTTCATGATATTCCCACCTTACCTAGATTTAAAGCCGCATAATTCGGCAATTGATCTAACTGCTGTGGTTCTTTCTTGAGGTATCTTTTTTATCTTTTGCGGTGTTTTTTGAGTGATGTTCTGGGTGATTATTGTGATCTTGTTTTGTCGCTATTCAACTGAATAAATCATATATATAAAGCTATTCAATTTAGAATCTAAAACCAAAAAAAAAAGACAAAAAAAAAAACCAAATTCTAAAAAATTCAGAAACTGTAAATGTTATTCTTTTTTTTTGTTTAATTACAAATTGTAATTTAAATTTTTCTGTCTTATAGATCTTTTTGTGGGGGGTAGTCAAAACAGCGCCATAATGGAAAACGTTCAAAACAGCGCCATAATAGAAAACGTTCAAAACAGCGCCGTCAAATTTCTCAAAATCCAAAAAACCAAGCCGGTTCAAGTTTTATACCAAAAAATTCCTTGCGTTCTTGGCTACATGATGGGTGAAACAGTTTTTAAAAAAGTGTGTGTCGAGTGTTACTCAGTTGGTTAACTGAATATCTTTAGAGGCCCATTTTGAGTGCTCTTTTTCTTTATCAAATATTAACTTTTTAAAAAACTGTTTCACCCATCATGTAGCCAAGAACGCAAGGAATTTTTTGGTATAACAACTTGTACGCTTTTTTGTTTTCTATTATGGCGCTGTTTTGAACGTTTTCTATTATGGCGCTGTTTTGAACGTTTTCTATTATGGCGCTGTTTTGAACGTTTTCTATTATGGCGCTGTTTTGAACGTTTTCTATTATGGCGCTGTTTTGAACGTTTTCTATTATGGCGCTGTTTTGACTACCCCCCTTTTGTTAGGGGTTTATAATTCAAATAAAGTATATGCCGTAGTCGTTTACGAAATTCAGCCGTTAACGAAAGATTCTTAATCGGCTACCGTTAACGAATCATTCTTAATCAGCTGCCGTTAACGGATCATTCTTAATCAGCTGCCGTCAACGAATGATTCTTAATCGGCTAGCCGTCAACGAATCATTCTTAATCAGCTGCCGTCAACGAATCATTCTTAATCAGCTGCCGTCAACGAATCATTCTTAATCAGCTAGCCGTTAACGAAAGATTCTTAATCGGCTAGCCGTCAACGAATGATTCTTAATCAGCTGCCGTCAACGAATCATTCTTAATCAGCTGCTGTTAACGGATCATTCTTAATCAGCTGCCGTCAACGAATGATTCTTAATCAGCTGCCGTTAACGAATGATTCTTAATCGGCTAGCCGTTAACGGATTCTTAATCGGCTGCCGTTAACGAATGATTCTTAATAGGCTGAATTTCGTAAAGGCTACGACATATATATTATTATAAAATCAATCACTTACTTGGATCCTGTTGTGCCCAAGTGAAAGCGACGAGAATCACGACAAGAAAGGCGAGTTTCAAGTGCATTTCGGCGCACTTGAATCCCTAAATTTACATTTTAAAAGCAATATTTTGGAATAAAACAAAAAAAAAATTAAATTTTAAAATAACCCAACGGTTACAGTATCTTTTCTTAGACATTTTCTAAAAGATGCGTCAGAAAAAAAAGCTAACAATAAATGTAAATTTCTAATTAAACCCCGGCTTTTATAATTTACTTTAACGTTTGGATGTAAGTTTTTTTTTTGCTGATTACTCATTCAATTTGAAATCAAGAGATGAACGAGTTCTCCTTTCAAACAAAGAAATGAGTCAATGTGCTCAAATTTAGCAAATTTCCTTAACAAAAGCTAGTTAACCGGTGAAAATGTCCTCGATAATAAAGTCACAGTTGAGATCTGACCTCCCAACAAAATGGAGATATCTGTGTAGATCTTTTTTTGTTTTATCACCCCGATTTTTCCCGATCGGTTCAAATTCGCCAATTTCTTCAATTTCCTTTTCCGCTTTTCTCTCATTTCACCCAAAAACATTTCGGCTATTTTTTTTCTTGCGTTTTCAACCTGGATATTTTGTGACGTGGACGAAGATTGGAAAATTGTTGTTTCATCGAGTCTTAATGTTATTTCCACTAAATTTGTAGCTTTGCCATTTTTTGACTGCTTATTATTATCTGATAACAAAAAATCAACAAGACTGAAAGATAAGATAGCTGAAAACATTGACAAAGTAACGAAAAAAAAAAAGCGATATCACGAAATATAAATGACTAGAAACGTTAAAAAGGTTATAAAATGAGTCTAAAAATTGGAGAAAAATACCCGAGAAAAAAGATTGAGGTAGATTGAGGATTTTTTAAAATCTTTTCATTGTCACTCATCGATTCAGCTGAACCTTGTCTTGGGCGGCAAACTCCTGAAAATGAACAGTTAACCTTATTTTACAATACTTGTCACACATTCTGACAATCACGTAGCATCAATTTTCAATCACATTATCAATCTACCTTTTCCAATTGATCCAATTCTTGTAGCCATTCTTGTTTCGCAGTCATCGATCCAGTCGCATCGTGCAACCGTTGAACTGTCCGCATTTCGTCTTCCAATTTCGCGATTTCACCACGTCGAAACTTTCGATTCGGCATATTCGCAAGATATCCAAAGTCATGACGCTAAAAATACAGTCAGCCATTTTCAAGCAATACTAACCCGATCACTATGAACATTTTGTGGATCGCTATCGAATCCCTTTTCGATTAGTCCCGCAATAATATTGTCATCGTGGAGATCAATCGTTTTCTCAACAACCCTTTGCACGAATCTGACCTGGAAAAGAATCAGATAAAACTTAAGAGATAAAATAGATTAAATGTTTTACAAAAAGGTTAACCCCACCTGATTCTGAAGAGTCTTCAATCGAATTTCGTGTCGTTTGATCTCCCGTTGTATCCTTTCCTTATAGAAGCGCTCCCTTTCAACAAAATGATCGTGAAAAATTTCATCAGTGTTCAGATAATGATGCAGTTTTTGTGATGGATTGAAAAGGACCTAAATAAATAAAAAATAGTACTTCGAGCTTTATTGGGCAGCTTATGAGTACCCAGTAATTAACCGTAAAATGCTACCATATTCCTCGCTGACACTATGGTTGATAGCTTAAAAGTCGAAATCAACTTCTTCTCGTCATCCACATCAATGTACCCCTTCATCATATCGAAATCGAAATGCACCGAATTTTCGGTATGCTTTTGAGAAAGATTTCTAAAACAGGGATTTGGATAAATTTTGTTCAACAATTACCGTATGTATCCTTTCTCAACCAGATTCGAAAGCACTTTCTCCTTGTAGTGTTGCGTCCAAACACCAAGGGGCAACTCAGTGATTTTCACGTGAACAAAATTCTTATCCTGCACCAACTCGATAACTCGATGTTTTTTACAAGAATCCAAAAACAACTTACTTTGCTGAAAGTTTGAATCTTTCCAAGAACATTGAAGGCTCGATAATCGGGAGATGTGGGAAAAGTTTGGCCATTGAAGCCCCGAAACCATGGCTCCTAAACAAACTTACTTATCGAAGCCGACCTTCAAAAAGTACTTGATTATATTATGCTTTGAAATGCCTACCATCTTTTCAAGTTCTTTCCCTTCAATCAATCGACGAACATTGTTGATGATGGCATTTGGTCGATACGAGAGGACACTCGTTGACCAGCTAAACACACCAAGAGTATTATAAAAACTCATTAAATTCACCCTGTAGCTAGTCCATCGCATCCATTTAGAAGAACAGTCGGAATCAATGGGCACAACCTATTTACAATAAGAAATTTACAGGAAAACTATAAAAATACCATTTCGGCTCCGCTTTTTGATTCTCTTCTTCCGTCAGCGTTAAACTCAGCTCATCGGCGGCGGGGAAGAGTTTGTCACTGATTGGACTAAACTTCAACATCAAAAAATACTACAATACTGTACAGTATCTACCTAATTTGAACATAAATGTATCTCGCAGACGCTGCATCATCTCCACCTTCAGCTCGAGTTCCGAATTGTCCCACCGGAAGCAGCAAAGGCACATTATTCGCGCCGACAAAATTTTGCGCCAAACGAACGATTGCTGACTCGAGAGCTGCCTTAAACGCAACTTTGACCTTGAGTTGACTAAGTCCTAAAGAAAACCCGCTACAAGTGTAGTGTAGTGGATTACATCTTTACTACCTCTCCATGATGATAAGATTGCCTATGAGCAACCATGCCAGCCAATTGTGATACTTTCCACTCCTTTCTCCCATCACGTCCTCGGAGACAAGTGTAAAGAATCTAAAAAGCTTTACATAAAAAACTTTTCAAATGTTCACTTTTCGCTGACTTGGCTTAAGCCCGTCCATAACACTGGGAATCGATCTCTAAAATAAAAAATAAAATCAAAAAAATTTTATGACTAACCTTCAAACTTGTCACCGAATATTGATAAAGTTCATCATCGATGAATTCGGAAAAAGTGACGCCTCGTTTCAGTTTTTCTGACAGCGGATTTTCCAAATCGTTTGTCTCCTAAGAGTATTTGTGTGAAAAAGGCAAAAAATAACTCGACCTGGTTTCGTTGCAGAATCCATTCTTTTCTTGCAGCTGCTCGATTTCTCGTAAATGCCAGATCAAATTTTGCATCATCTCCCTCCTCCCATCTAAAATGAGAATTTCCCAAATTTTAAGAATTTTTCATACCGATAAGGAATAACATGTGAATCAAGATTCGAAAAATATTCCTTCGCTTCTTTCGACGTTGAGGTTCCTGTATAATTGATTTAAAATATACTGTATATACACTGACCAAGTCCTTTATAATATTTGATCGTCCATTTTGCATGGTCAGCCGTTTTCAGTGCCCACTCATCGAATTCGCGTCTTGAATAGAAACTAGCGATCTGGTTTCCAAGTCTTGCCTGAAATTAAACAGTTTAAGCCACTCCTTTTCTATACCGATACCTTTATGAGTGGGGTCACAAAACTAGCAATAAAGCCATTTCGCAAAAGTTCCGGCCAAAAGTGCTGTATTAAATTGATCACAAGAGCTTTGATGTGAGATCCATCTTCATCCTAAAAATAACATTCACCGAAAATCCTCTATTAAGATAAAACTTTTAAGATATAATACCTGATCCGCAAATAGAAGTAGCCGACCGTACCGCAATCGTTTTCTTTCCTGAGGTGTCGAATATGTAAGCGAACGTTCCAATCCAAGTGCAGTACAAAGATCTTTTACCTCGTCGTTTGCAAATACCTAAAAAAACTTATTTGAAAAGAAAAGTCGATATTCTAAAATGATGCATGTATAATTCAAGTTCGACCTTTTCTTCAGTGTTGTCCTTTACATTGATCAAGCGCCCCCGTATCGGCAATACTCCATAAAGCTCTCGGCCGACCACCTAAACGTTTTCAAATAGCTCCGCTTGTTAAAAAGCAAGTTACCTCTAATCCTGCTATTGCCAAAGCTTTAGCTGATTCGCCTTCCGTTATGATTAGTGTACATTCCTGCCCTAATTTTAAAAAAGTTATTCAAGTCTGGAAGATCGGTAACATGGATACATACTCTTGCTTTTTCCAGCTCCCTCGGCATCTTCAAGTCGTGGGATCTCCGTAGCTAAATCTCGAGCACGAAGACTTGATCTCTAAATACTATGATACTTTTACAAAATCTAGACCAACTTTCTTATCTTCAGCTCCAGAAAGGATCTCCTCGATAATTCCCGCTTGAATGGCCCACTTTTGCACTGCCGGTCCGTTGAGCACAAATTTTGAGCCGAACTTTTTCACTTCCGTTGCAAGTTCTTCCTAAAATGATTGTACTTCAAATAAAAGTGAACTAAAAGCACCTTTGTTTGTGCTTGAAATGACGGATTCTCGATGATAGAGTTCAGAAAAAGCCATAGGTGCGACCTGATCTAAAGTAAGCGGTTGATTTTCAATGTCCATTCCCTCACCGTTCCAGATCGGATTCCTTTCTTTCCCTTTTTCTCGAGCAACACCCGGATTGCTTCTACAACTTGTGACATGACGTGCTCAACGTGTCGTCCACCCTGAAATTATTGATTTAACTCTACCAGTCATACATCCGACTATTTTAAAACAAACAAGCTCAACTTTACCTTTGTAGTGTTCACATTATTAACAAAGGAGATTTGCTGAAAATTCTTGTCCAAAGAAGGCGCAAGATGGACTTCCCATCGTCTAAAATCAAGAAATTTTTTTAAAAAAAACATTTATCGTTACTCATCAGGATGTTGTCGAAATGTGGTGAGGCCTTCAGGGAGATGCATATGAACATACTTGGAGAATGAATTCAACTAAAGACACGTATTGAAATTCGGTTTTTAAATAAACCTCAATCCTCTCGTCTTGGAAAAACACGTCAACACCCTTTGACGTCGCAGCCACATCGACAACTCGTCTGTAGATCAATTTGACTACATCTTCCTCTAATTTATCGACGCAAAACCATTGAAAATCAGGTTGAAATGTGACCTAAAAAGGTAGTGCTTTGTCAAAATTATTTAACTCAATTAAACCTCGGTAAAATCGCCGCCAGTATAATCCGTAATCAATGGTTCTTGCGGTTGTCCCATGTTCTTTAACCAAGTCTATAAACGAAGAGTTTTGTGATTGCTTTCTAAAAGTGACCTGTTCAAACAACTTTTTGTCATATCTCGATCCCGTTCGAACGGTGAACTTTAATGATAGAATATTGCAAACTTTCGCACCAAAACCGTTACGACCACCTGGAAATTTGATATTAGAACTTCGTCAAAGGCCAAGAATCTACCTACGATCCTTTCCTTAGAATCATCGTAATGTGATGACACCATTGGATGTCCAAATAACAATGTCGGAATTGGTATGTGCTCTTCTGGGTGTTCGCGAATCGGCAGTCCAGCTCCATCGTTCCAAACGGTGATCGAACCTTCTTTTCTAGAAATTCTACTACTGTAAAAGCCTTTCTTTTATTAAAATAAATAGATAAAATGTCCACCTATCAACATTCACTCGAATTGCTCTCATCGATGGAGACCTTTGCTTATTGTCGGCCGCATTTACCAAAATTTCGTCAAAGATCTAAATCAACTTTTTAAAGCTCACTGCATTAAAAATACCTTTAATAATGCAGGTGGATATGTTAAAACTTCTTGCTTCATTTCATTTCCATCGAGGATCCATTCGGCCTAAATAAAATTTCATTTTGCCAAACCAATCGACTAACCTTCTGACAAATCTCCTTTGTTCCCACGTACATATCGGGTCGAGCGAGTACATGTTCTCGTAGATCGTACTTCTTGTATTGTGCTGAAAGATCCAACGCCAATCCGGTTTTCGTTTTTGCTTTGTTGCACTGTTTGGCACTAAAAAGAGCTTTTACAAAACAGGCAAAAAAGCAACAACCATAAACTAATTCCTGATGAAAAGATGAGCAACGGAGACCTCTTGAAGTTATAGAATAAAACTCGGAATCCCTAAAAGAACTTAAAAGACAAAACTATTAAACAGACCCGATTCATTCAGCTCGAATAAACGTTTGTGTCGTACAAAATTTGAGGCCTCGACCCGTAGTAGCATAAGACCGAAACTTTACATGTTTTATAGAGCAATTTAGAAAATGGTTATGTTAAAATGCAAATAGGAAAATTCTTATCCATTTCACGTACAAAATTGAATCGAAATCGCATTTCTCACAAAATAACTGTCAAAATCATTTTATTCTCCGTAACAGGTAAAGCATAATACAAAGCAACGCATATACCCGCAAATTGTAAAAACCTAGCAAAAATAAGAATTTTAAGAGCCACAATTGACTCGCACTTTGTACAAAAAAGTAAGTAAAAAGACTCAATCAAATAAAAAATGCTTTATAGATATCAAAATCGGGTTGTGTTCGAGCGGGATGATCTTGTTCGGCCATCGTTTTTCGCAACTGTTCCCCGAATTTGTTTTCGACTGGTTGACGATCGATTTGAATCTTTTTGTCAAACTAAAAATGGGCAATCGTTAAATTCGTTAACAAAAAAAGCTTCAACTCTTATATCAAACCTCTTTCGAGTTCATTGCATCGACAAGACTTGGCACGTGATTATGCGCCAACATTGTGAACTCATTAAGAGTACTACGCACTCCTTGCTTCGCTAACATCTGAAGTAAACAGTTAATACTTGCTCCAACAACTGAACCCACGTTTATACAAGCGTCCGTTTCTCTTGGACTAGTGTTTTCGACGAGTTCACTAACATTTTGCATCATATCGTCAACAAAGCATAAAGTTTTTATGAATTGGGCGCAATCGGGCTCGTTCTTGGATGTCTTAACGAGAAAATAGTTTTCATGGTTGGTGGAGCCTGTTCAAACAAAGGTAATCAACCAAACTTTCCCTAAATGAACTAAGAAAGATAAGTTGTATTTACCTCTTGGATTTGTCGCCAAGTCTTCTTTATCACCTGGTCAATGGCTGGCTGCAATTTGGCATCATCCGAGCTCAAAGGTATCCTAAAAAGATTAATTAATGCCAAACAAAGAAAAACTACTTTAATTCTTTCTCTTCAAATGCCTTTTTCTCGGTCGAGATACTTTGTGCCGAGAATTGATCAACGAACATCTCATCATCAGCTTGTATTTCACAATCGGACTAAATGAAAACTATTGAGTTGTTGCTTAAACTACTCTACCATTGAGTATGATTTCTCCAGAAATGAATCCCCTTGCATGTGCGCAGAATCAGACATTGGAAACAATTCTTGTTGTTGTGAATTCAAACTAAAATTGGCAAATTAAAGATGTATATTAAAAACTCACAAAATCCTTAAATCGTCTAAATATCCATGCTCGTCATCCTCCTCCGTTGAGCTGTTCCCGGCCATTTTTTGAAGCCATCCATCGAAATCATTTGCATCTTTCCATAAATTTTCATTTTTTTTCGTAGTTGGCCAAATTCGTTGAGGGATGCTGGGAGGCAGCTGAAATCGTAGAGTTAATTGAAGCCTGTATCTTGAAACCTACTTTTATTAGACCAGCATAATCTTCTCGTACGCCCAGAAACTCATCAAAAGCACTGTAAGTTGCGGGAGCAAGTGTCTTCGTGAGATGAGTCGCAGAAGAGTAATGCTAAACCACGTAAATTATATTTTTTTCTGAACCACTTACTTGTTCCTTTTTCGTCGGTGAAACTTTCACATTACAAAGTTCACAATGAACCTAAAATTTTTTGTTCAAATCCGTCACAAATCCTCACCTCTTTCTCAGATCCATCCGTTAAAAACGCTTTACTGCACGCTGAATCGTTTAATTCTTCAAACTTCTGACTCAAATCAGGCTCAATAGATCTGAAAAAAGATTTTACAGTAAAACTCTAATAAAAACTTACGGTTTGATGAGTTGTTCAGGGATCGGCTGCATCTTTTCAAAAAGTGACTCGCCCGTATACTCACCAAGGTAAATCTGAAAAATGAAATAAGAATCCATTTTGAAAATGAACAAACCGTCGGAAAATCGTCTTTTTCAAATTCTTCAAATGCTGGTTGATAGTGCATCGCTTTAAACTAAAAGAAAACTATGTCAAAAAAAAATTTGAAAAGTAAAAGCAAACCTTTTTCTGCGACTGCTGACTTGTGCTTGGCTCAGGCTCCGGATCGAAATCGATCTTTACAAACGGTCTTTTAATAGGACCAGCTTTTGCGTCTTGCTAAAACTTTTAAAATTGTAAAAAAGTTGTACAAATGCTTACTTGTTCTCCACCATCACCGAATTTCTTCTTCACCGCTACCCGAGTTCGAGATTTTATCTAAAAACATCAAGTTAGATGAAATTATTTTAACTAAGCCTCACCGAATCCAAAATCTTCTCGAATGAGCTTTTCGAGCGAACACGAATGCTCAATTTCCATGCATTGCGAAAAATTGGCGGAAGGGAGCGTAGTTTCTAAAATTTGATTTGAAGTGAGGCTAAAAATATAGCTAACCGCTTCATTGAGCTGTTTTAGAGGATCCGGCAACATTTCGAGCTTCTCAGCCAGTGAGTGATCGGAGACAAGCTAAAATTAAAGTTACCTAATCATCATTAACGTTGTTGCTATAAAGCTTTCTAACCAAGACTGGTGACGGTTCATCGTTTATCGAATACACAACTTGGCCACCGAGTTTCTGAATGTCGGCTTGGAGAGAGGAAGATGCTTTTCTAAAAAGAAATTGTTGGATTTTTATTTGAAAACCAATTTTAGAAGTGCCATATAAAATTGTCAACGTTTCACAGATTGATAAGAAAAAGCACAAACTTATTCTCAACATCGATCGCTATACAGACGTTTCGTAAAGGATGACCGGTTCGAAATTCACCATCGTCGATCACAAATCTCTAAAAAAGCTAACATTTTTTCTTTCAGAAAACCTTTCCAACCTTAAAAGGGATCCTCGCTGTATTCTTTCCAATATCGCTCGATTTCACCCGATTCTCCTTATCATCGTCGTGTAGCGGCCTTTTTGGTGGTGTTGGCTAAAGTAAAGTTTATTAAAATACAACCTGCTATTTAATTTCTACAAATTTAAACTCTACACTTAACTACCAGCAAAAAATCTTTATACTCACTCTATACGCTTGTTTCACTGCAAATTTCAGTTCCATTTCACCGGCGATCTGATCCCTAAATTAAACCAATTGTAAGTAAATTAAAAGATTGATATATTGAAAGCTTTAAAAAGCAAAGTTTGAAATTTAATTTGGTGATGAAAACACCACCGTGTCCATTTCAAATGAAATTTTGAGTACCCGCGCAAAAATGACAGAATAGGATAGGAAATACGCGACAATACAATGCTCTTGAAGACGGTTGAAAGACAGGCTGAAGTTCAATTGGATCTACACAGAAACTTGAAATCAGACAGAAAAAAATATTTGATAAAGGTAACTGAAATATCAGCAATTTTCACTTGCATGAAAAGATTTTATTTCTTAAGCAAAAACATACAATCTATGCAATGCATTCACAAAACAATTCAACAATCAAGTGATTTTTGAAGTACAAGAATAGAAATTTGACGACTATCCGTTTTGCACAAAACTAAACAAAATTATCAAATGCATAATAAAAATGAATTTCATTTTCCTTTCTTGAAAAACGTGGTTATACTTTGAGTGTCACTCTTGCGCTTGGTTACCTTCTTGGTATTCGGAGCCTAAAATTTGGAGTGAAAACACTTTAAAGTAAGATCCAACCTTTGATTTCGATTTGCCTCCTTTTTGCAATATTCTTCGTTTCTTTCGCGCTGTTGCTCAATCGCCCGTTTTCCAGAGTTTTCAGCAAATCCGCGTTCAGGCATTCGTCAAGGTGTGCATTGACCGCTCGTTCATCATCGATTGGTAATTCTTGACCACATAAAGGACACCGGGCTGCCTATAAAAGCGCAATGAATTGTCAATCAAACTATGAATTACCACGTTTTCGCCATCCGAATCACCAATTTCATCACCAGAGCTCATACATATTGTGTCTACATCTTTTGAGGTCGACTAGAAAGGTTATTAGGGCAAAAAGTTTATGGATTAATACCTGTTTTTTCGGCGACTTCATGTAATCAACGATCCGTGAGCCTTTCTTCTTCTCATCTTCCTTCACTTCGTTTTCCACAAATTCTAGCTTCGAAAGGCGTACCTAAAATAAACTTATTACAGTCTTATACACTGAGAATCACCCCTAACAAACGAATATCCACTCCAAGTTCTCTTTCGAGCAATGTTTCGGCTATTTTGTAAATCTCGTCACCTAAAAATAAACGAAATAAACCAGCACTTTTCTAAGGAAAACCTTTTGAAGCTAGTTTGTCCGTAGTATTTGCTCGAGTCAGCACATCAAAAGTAGCTAATTTAATCTACAAGCGGTAAAATATAAGTAGTAACTTGTAAAAGCTTACCTTGATTCCAACGTTGAAACCTCCACGAATGTGCGCCTTCGGTAGTTGTCCGGCCAATTCCTCAGACAGATCGCGCAACTTTTCTCGCAATTTCTTTTCATCGCCGGTTGGTTGAAAAGTCGTTTCGACGGAAATAGACTAAAATAACAATAAAGTAACGCTAAAATGCTTACGAAATACTAATTTTTTATTAGTTTGCTTGATCATTAAGCAAGAAGCCCGTAACACTTCAAATTCAAACCTTTCTTCGATGATCATCAGACGTTGATGGTCTATGCGGCAATCCCATTGATGTCCGCAAAAAGCTTTCCGTTGAAATGGCGGAGAAGATCGTAGGTAGCACCACTCGACGTGCCCATATATCACCTAAAGATTAGTAGACGTGAAAAATACTCCTAGCTAGCTATACCTACTGTACTAATCCCAGCCGCTTTCAAATGCGCCTCGCTGACCCCTCCGATTCCGCTCACCTGTAAAATATCTAAAAAAACTAATGCCCAATCTTAAAACCTTTCTTATCGGAAGCTCCTTTAAGAAATCGATGATTTTCTCGCGATCGTTCTCCAATTCATATTGTCCATTCGGTTTGTTAAAGTCCGAGGAAATCTTAGCCAACATGAAATTTGCGGCAATACCTAAACAAAAAGCTTGTTTTTGTTTTACGTAAATATATCTAACCTGCACTACAAGTTAAACCAGTTGCTTGCTCTACACGGAAGCGAATCTCTCGAACAATCTAACGAAAAGGTTTATATCGCTTCTTTATCTTTAAAATTACATCTCCGCGAGTTGTTCCAAAAGATATTTGATCTTGGATGATCCATCTTTCTTTGGAGCATTTTGAGCACAACATCTTTGAGTGGATTATTTTCTGCAGTCTAAATCGACAAAACATTAAGTTAACTCAACTAAAAACTTACGTATCATCTGCACCCTGGTTTTTCGACGGCGATTGTTTATTTGGATTGGATTCTTTCTTTAATTCCTCGACATCAATATATGGTAGACGACAAGAGCATTCACCAGAGTAACGAATTCGTGCGTAGGTTTCTAGAAAAAAATGACTTGCAAGCGACAAAAATACGCACTTGGTTGTTCCCTATCGTTAACGTATTCGGTTATATCAAGATACGCCTCATCTAGTGACCCCATACTCGTATCCGGATCGTATTCGTCAAATATCTTTGAGAATATCTGCAATATTTATTAAGAAAACCAGCTCTATAAAACCAACCCTGCTTTCCGTTCCATACTTGCGATAGTTGCCAGCGATGATTTCCAACTCGGGGCACAACTTCTTTGCAATGAAACCTGGCATCGCCGCTCGAACACCGAACCTTCGCGCAATGTAATTTGATGTACTCTAAAATAAAAATAAAAGTGTTCAAAGCACAAAAATACCAGCATTTGATAGCTTCCGACTCCCATTGGGATCGTTCTGAGTCGGGGTTCATCTCGCATCTCAACTGCCGCGAAAAAAGCATCCATATCGATGTGAACACAATGACGAGTTAAATCCCGCGTTTTCTCCAAAGCGGCTACTTGTTTATCTACCTAAAATGGCTTGGTTAATGGTTATCGTTAAGGCTCTTTGCGATAAGCACAAATTAAAGAAATTCCGTTAATGATAGCTACTCGTTGAGGTCTTTAGAAAAAGTTTAATGAAAAAAAACGTTAACAGTTGCCTTTTTGCTCAAGCGTAACAGGCTTTTGACACTATCAATCTTTGTTATTTATCGCTAAATCTTGTTAAACTTTAAATAAGTCCAATAAACTTTAAATTTCAATACTCTAAACATGTCCAACCTCTTTTTCCAAACGTTGAAGATCTTTTTCTCCCAAACTCTCCAAGGTTCGTTTAATTTCCGCGTTTCTTTTATCGATTCGATCCTGTTTCTTCTTTGAGAAGGCGCTGAACTTCTGGCCGGTGTTTTCATCGATGATTTTCGAGATTTTCTCCTAAAATATCGAAAATTATAAAGATAGATGATAAAACCAATAACTACAAAACTTCAAACGAAATCTTGATCACTTTAGATTCAGAAACATTTACTTTATCCACTCCTTGCATCCCAGCCTTCTCTCCAAACATCGGTAACATCTTGTTGGCGTATCGGAGTGCTGAAGATTTCATTGAATAAAAATATTTCAGAGTTTTGAAATTGTTTACGACATAGAAATGAGAGAAAAGGAGAGCCGAGAGAAAACTACACAACGCAAAGCAAAGCAAAGAGAGAGAAAAGGGAAACGCAGTGAATTTTAAAGTATTTTCTTTTTAAAAGTTAAAAAAAACCAAGCAAAAGTGAGAAAAACTACCAAAAACGCTGTTCTAATTGGGTATAAGGATTTTAAAACCCGAACAAGCTAACAACAGGGTATAAATTCTAAAAAGCACTTAATCAATCACACCGTCGCATTGTGTCCCAGTAACAATAGTCACAAAACTTTTCCTTTTTTGCGAAAGTCCACAACCATTGGAATTTTTTCATCCCAACCCAATTTTTAACGGTTTTCCGCATATTCTTACGGAAAAACCTCATAAAATGATTGTTTAGCGGTGAAATTAGTGCCTAATGATAACAATGTGCTGTAATTGAAGCTTTTTGGAGTTGAAATGCCTATTTAGCGATGAAATTAATGCTTAACGATAAGAATTTTGCTGCAGATGTAGATTTTTTCGGGGTTATAGTAGTTGCGGGGAGGGGGCAAAATTGTTTTCGCGAAATGAGCTGATTTTTTGCAGCCAGGGGTTTTTGACTATGCTGAATCGATTGGTGATGGTTTCACACAACATTTCACAACTTTTAACAACGTTTATAACAAATGTACTGAAAACCTAATGTACTGGGATGAAGTGGTCAAAAATTACCCGTTGTTTTGAGTCATGTCCTCGTTGGTAACTTTTTGACACGTTGACATTTTGTTTCTATTTGTTATAAATGTTGCTAAAAGTTGTGAAATTCTTTTGAGAAAATTGAAATTCTCCTTTTGAGCCCTTCTAGGAACGTTACAGTAAAGTTCACTATAGAGACGACGACTTCAAGCCTCTAAAAGTCGGTCTAAAACGCATTTTCCCAAGCTCCTACTATGAAATTCGTAATCTACGCAAAAAAAAAAAACACTTTTGAAGAAAAAATTGGCCGCTCGAACTGTCGTAGTACCAAAAATTTTGTCCCCCCCCCCCCCCAACTACTATAGCACCGATTTTTTTTATTGTGTTTTCTTTCTTTTAATCAATTTCTATACTTTAGCATCTATTTTAAATCGACATTTGTCGACGAGCAAGGCCAAAACTGTGCCATTCACCAAAGTCAACCATGTTTTTCATTCCAAAGAAGGTTTGCATGGTTTTTGCTCATTAATTCTTGCGTACTTTAGGATTACGATATGATGGGCGGCAGCTATCAGAAGAGGTCATTCTTTCAGCAATCAGAGGTTATTGAAATTCGCTTAGTTTATCTTTTGTTTCGTTTAGAAAAACAATGCCGCTCGAGATTGTTACATGCAGCCACTTGACACCGGGAAAACTATTCTCCGTCTCAAATCCAATGTTGAGGTTTGAATGCTTGTACTTTAGAAAGGTTTAAACTAGTTCGAAATTCCCACAAATGATTTAAATGCCTTGCTTTTAGGCGAAGAAAACTAACAATGTTGCTGCAAATTATGTCACTGGCAAGACAATGCTTAAACTCAAGGAAAGAGTTGGTTTTGGTATTAAAACTTTATTTATACAATTTATTTAGGACCCAGCCACAGGCAAGTTTTACCCAAACGACGTACAAGGCTGGCGCAACTTGGCCATGGATAGCGCAGAGTACATGCTGACCACCAAGAAGATACTTTTGGAGAAGAAGGAACCCACTCCGCGCCCACTTGTTTGTGTTTACATCGATCACCAGTCGATAATCATTATTTAGATGTTCAACGATGTATTGGCTTATAAAAAGCCCGTTTACAAGCAGTCGCTGTCCAATTTGAAAACGAATGAAGCGCTGGCTAGTCATAAAACCCTTCTCACTCTTCGCAATGCTCCCGTCAAGGTTAGTCGCGCCGAAAAGGTAAACCAAATCTTTTTTTCTGTATAATTGTCTAATTTTAGGCTCCATCCTTGTCAGATGCAGCTTTGGATGAACAAATTTGTCAATGGATCAAGAAGACAGAGACGAACTTGCAACGGGCCAAGAGTAACGCTTTGGATTTGGAGGAAGTAAGCTTGTTCTCTTGATTTAAACTATGCTTAACTAATAACTTGATGCAATATAATTAAATTTAGCAAAGGCTTCTCCATCAGACGTTGTACGAGCGCCGTGGTCATCACCTCAGCAATCTCGCCTTCGTTCCATCTCCAACTCGAGGCTTCGATGCAAACTCGCGTGGCTCAGCAACTACACTCAACCAATTCTCCTTTACTCCAAAGTCGTTCATGGGTTATCGCGATTTCTCTCCTTTACATTTCATGGTTCAGAATACTTCTGAGGTTAGTTTTTAATTGCCTGCCGTAAATACTCTAATTTGGTACCAAAAGTTTAGTTGGGAAAAATCTAGGGGCTGAGAAAAAATTATTTTCTAAAAAGAAGTTAGACTACGCGACTGAACGAGGAGATACCGTTCAATTACAGTATTTGTGGTAATTTAAGTTGTGATCTTGAAATTGCGGGAATTTGTATGTACTTTTGTATGTAAGATGCCTTAAAATACAAAAAGAATTAATAATTCTTTTGTTTAGCTGAAGCTTGCTGTTGCTGCGGGAACAAACGGTTCAAGTGCTTTTTCTTTGCCCCCTCTTCCACCAAAGAGGTTCTTTGACTAGTCGGACAAATCACCAACAATGACTCTTGTATTAGCAAAAATGATTCTAAAGTTATTTTTATTGTTGAACGGGGTGTGCAGAGAATCTTATTCCCTTGCATTATGCGCTTTTACCCCCTTTATTGTTATCTTGTTGATACGCACCCCAAATTTTCCTGTAATCGTTGAAAAATTTAATCCATATTTACGTTTTGTCGTTAATTTTACCACATTGTTTACTGTTTCATTTTAAAATTACCAATTGTTGTCTGAAGTTATTGTTATCGTATAAAGTTTAAAATCCAAAGAAGCCTCCTGCTCAAGAAGATTCCCGACTTTAACTATTCTTTGCAGTGTGCTCAATTTTACAGTAACATCATGAAACATGTGTTTATTTACGCAAACAACAAAGGATCGATTTATTCCCGGGAAATAATAGCGCAAAGGTTTTGGAATCGTTTCATCCATCATTTGAGAGGAATCGCCCAGAAAAGCGTTTGTAAAGAGGACGAAAAGAGACGATTTGCGATGAGAAGAGAAGTCATTTATTCGGCCTTCACCGGCAGAATCACTTCGCCACTTTGTGCGCCCGCCTTGAATGGAGCCTGTGGATCGGTCTCCTCATCGGGCACCTAAACATTGCAAATTAGTGACGGTAAAGTGGAAAGTTGACAAGCTGCAGAAAACACACCCTACTCCAAATTTAAACCAAACAAAAGACAAATGCTCACCTCGGCCCATTGCACGACGAATTTGTCCTCCTTTGGCGATCCTTCGAGACGCAAGATTTGCAGTGATTGCTGTTGCTTGGCCGCCAAAAATCCGTACACCGGTCGAACTCGATAATGGTCGTTGTCCGAGGATTTCACCTAAAAAAACAAAAGATTAACGGTTTTAAAAGCTAGTCTAACATAATGATAACTTTAACAATGAAAAGAATTTGACAGAATATCTGCCCTTAATCAAGTGATGAATCAAGAATTAAGTTCTATAGTTAACTTAAACTAGTCCAAACTAGCAAATACTAGTGCCAAAAATAAATAAATAAACAAAAGAACCAAAAGAAACAAAAGAACCAAAACTTTAAAAGAAACAAGAAACAAATACCTTGAAAGCGAGGCGGGTGTCAGCGAGTGAGTGAATTTGGAAGGTGATCTCTCCACCAGCAGCCGGGAAAATGCCTGTTGGGGGTTCAATGTTGAGCGCCATTCAATCGATTTGATCCGATTCGGAGAGAAAAGCAAAAGAAATGATACTTTTTGCCGGGATTCCTCCGGTTTTATTTCAAGAGTTGAATGCAAATTTCGGGGAAAATGAGACAGAAATGCAAATTTTGTGCTAAAAATGGCATTGTTATTTTTAGACGTTATTTGTTATTGTGCAATGAATCGCAATTTGTTATTTTTAGACGACACTGCTTACAAGGTCAACTAGCGGTACTTCTGTATGTCGTTCAAAAATGGCTCCAAGTGTTGAACCTGATTGCTCAATTTGAAATCTGCATGTTTCTGGTTGATAGCACTTCAATCTTCTGAAGGAAGATTTGAGGTAAAAATATGGGTCTATCCCAAAACAGCGCCGCCAAAATAGCGCCGACCAAAACAGCGCCACCCAAAATAGCGCCGTACCCAAAACAGCGCCAATGAAAAACGCCCAAAACAGCGCCGATGCAAAACAAAGTTTTTTTTTCTTTTACAATGTACAATTCATTTTTTCTTATTAGCAGCTTTTAATTTTGATAATTTATTTCAAAATAACATGACCACCAACAATAAACGATAACAATTAAACAATGCCTAAAAAAAACATTAAAATAGCATCAAATTAATAGTCCAAGAGACTCTGAAACATCATAACACTGGCGATGATGAACATAAACCGGCTAGAGCTTTCAAGTGATCCGTAGTAGAAATAAAAAGTTCGTGAAAACGTTAAAAAAACAGGCCGTAAAAGGAAAAAACATTGTTATTTTTGGTTAAAATCAATTTTATAAACGCTATCGCAGGTTTCTATGCTTAAAGCTTTAAAAAAAATCGGATTCTCCGCCTTTTTTTTACCAAAAAGTGGGCAGAAAAAGTTAAAAACATCAAAGAAAAAGCAAAAGCAAAAATCTAAAAAATATAGTTTTTTTTTGCATGGGCGCTGTTTTGGGCGTTTTTCATTGGCGCTGTTTTGGCGGCGCTGTTTTGGCGGCGCTGTTTTGGGTACGGCGCTGTTTTGGGTACGGCGCTGTTTTGGCGGCGCTGTTTTGGGATAGACCCAAAAATATCGTTAAACTTAAGCTTATTTCTTTCTTTATTTAGTTGATGAAGGAAGTCTTTATTCGCGCATCCAAAGAATCGATGAGGAAATTTCCAAAGAAAGCAATTTGTTATGCGCCTGACGATTATGGATACGAGGTTTTTAGAACTCGGTTATCTATTTAGAAAGATCATTTAGAAATCAAAGATCATTTAGAAAGGATCGCTGAACATCCAAAACTCTGCAAATCTCCAAATCAACATCAAATAACGTCTAAAAATAACTAATTGCTAAAATTTCTTTGTGATTCACTGTAATTAATCGATTCACTGTAATTAATTAACCAAAGCATGTGATCAGTTTTTGATTAATTGAAAGCAATTATCATTTATTCTTGCACAAACTAGATCATACATAAAAAAAACTAAAATTTGAGATCATCTTCATCCAAATACTCCTCAAGATTGCTCGTTTTTCTCGGTTGTCCGTGATCGGCTTGATAGCCCTGGAATGGTTCATATGAGCCTTGTAAATCCTTCTATTAGTTATGTTTTCTAAAAGATTTGTTACCGAAAAACCGAGTTTACGGTAGCTCTTATCAAAGCCCACGTTTTAAGAAAGAACTCTAGAGCAATCACCCATTTGACCGGAAATTTGATACGCACCCGGGCGCGTATCAAATGTCCGGTCAAATGGGTGATTGCTCTAGAATAAAACTAATCCCCTCGTTTTTTGTTCTAGACTCTGATTGTCGAGTTACGAGCCCCAAACTGCAGGGTACCACAAAATTTCCCATACAAAATGACCTATAGAAAACGCATTTTTGTCTTATTTGTGCGCCCTGCCCCTTTTTGAGCGCCCGATGTGCGCCCTGCCCTTTTTTGTGCGCTCGATGTGCGCCCTGCCTCTTTTTGCCATTGACAAACTTTGAGCTCAAATTTCTTGACTTTTGGCTGTCCAATTTAAATGGTTTTGTTATCATTAGATGCGCCAAGTCTTTCTCTGTCGATTGGTACAAAAACTATTGAAATCGGACTGCTTAACACCAAGATATTTGAGCTCAAAGTTAGATTGCTAATGGGAAAAGGGGCGGGGCCACTGTGGGGCCTTTTATACGCGCTCCGCCCCTTTTGCCATTGGCAATCTAACTTTGAGCTCAAATATCTTGGTGCGCAGATGTCCAATTTTAAGTTTCTTGGTATCATTAGATGCGCCAAGTCTTTCTACTGTCGACTAGTACAAAAACTATTTCAATTCGACAGCTCAACACCAAGATATTTGCGCTCAAAGTTAGATTGCTAATGGGAAAAGGGGCGAGGCGCGTATCAAAGGTTTCACAATCTTTAGGAAACGAAAATAGCTACACTTGAGACTTTGTTTATCCAAGAATTTATCGTAATAGCTCTAATAGAAGACCCCCCTATAGGAGGGTTGCATAGTCTAATCTAAAAGAACCGCTCATATCTCGACACTAGTACTTTTGTTTTCACTCGTTCAGGTATCAAATTAAAGTAGAGAAAATGGGGAATTTTTTAATCTATAACACATATTTTTAGCATAAACCAGCGCTTAGAAAAAGATGATGAAAAATCGGCTTTTTTTTGTCGCATCGCGTAGTCGAGGTTGACACTCAAAGAACCGTTCATATCTCGACACTAGTACTTTTGTTTTCACTCGTTCAGGTATCAAATTAAAGTAGAGAAAATGGGGAATTTTTTGATCTATAACACATATTTTTAGCATAAACCAGCGCTTAGAAAAAGATCATTGAAAAGTGGCAAAAAAAGCCGATTTTTCATCTTTTTTGTTCTTTGACGAGGGAAGGTAATTTCCAATTTTTTGAGTTCAAAATTTGACCCACCGCATTCATTTTCCCCCAATCGTCCTCATCATCTATCAGCGCCTCATTTTGCGAGTCATCCCCAGATGCCACATAGGATTTGTAATCGTAATAGAAATGGGACATAAAAGCGAAAAGAACGATCACAACAGCCATCACACCTGAAAGTTTTCTTGATCTAGAGAACTTTGCGCAACGCATTTCTTTCTAGTGCTCAAGCAAATACACCAGAAACAATGCGTTCACAATTTTCAGACTCAAAGTGCACTCAAAAAAAAATTCTCAATCAATATTATATATGTCGTAGCCGATTATGAATGAGCGGGTCTAGGAGCGTCCAACCATCAAGTATTTAGTATCATTCAACGCAGAATCATTAATAATTATGTTAAATTTTTGAAATTAGAAAGATTGAATCAAAAGAAAAAAAATTATGGGGCCTCAAAGTTTCCTCTTGAACAAACAGTTTTTTTGCTCTAATTTTTTTTCTTTTTATCAAATCTTTCTAATTTTAAAAATTTAGCATAAATATTAATGATTCTGCGTTGAATGATACCAAATACTTGATGGTTGGACGCTTCTAGATTATTGGAGGCTCTCCTAGATTATTGGAGGCTCTCCTAGATGATTGGAGGCTCTCCTAGATTATTGGAGGCTCTCCTAGATTATTGGAGGCTCTCCTAGATGATTGGAGGCTCTCCTAGATGGTTGGAGGCTCCTAGATGATTGGAGGCTCTCCTAGATGGTTGGAGGCTCTCCTAGATGATTGGAGGCTCTCCTAGATGATTGGAGGCTCTCCTAGATGGTTGGAGGCTCTCCTAGATGGTTGGAGGCTCTCCTAGATGATTGGAGGCTCTCCTAGATGATTGGAGGCTCTCCTAGATGGTTGGAGGCTCTCCTAGATGGTTGGAGGCTCTCCTAGATGATTGGAGGCTCTCCTAGATGATTGGAGGCTCTCCTAGATGGTTGGAGGCTCTCCTAGATGGTTGGAGGCTCTCCTAGATGGTTGGAGGCTCTCCTAGATGATTGGAGGCTCTCCTAGATGATTGGAGGCTCTCCTAGATGGTTGGAGGCTCTCCTAGATGGTTGGAGGCTCTCCTAGATGATTGGAGGCTCTCCTAGATGGTTGGAGGCTTCTAGATGATTGGAGGCTCTCTTAGATGGTTGGAGGCTCTCCTAGATGATTGGAGGCTCTCTTAGATGGTTGGAGGCTCTCCTAGATGATTGGAGGCTCTCTTAGATGGTTGGAGGCTCCTAGATGATTGGAGGCTCTCCTAGATGGTTGGAGGCTCTCCTAGATGGTTGGAGGCTCTCCTAGATGATTGGAGGCTCTCCTAGATGATCGCCTAGACCCACTCATTCATAATCAGCTGAAATTCATAATCGGCTACGGGGGTCCCGCCGATTTTGAATGAAACGTTGTAGCGCCGGCAATTTTTAACCTAAACTCACAAATTTAGTACCAATCGACGCAGAATTTAATTCGCTACAGGATGATATAATATTGTCCTCATACATTAAGGGGTTGCTCTACTAGAAAGGTTTACGAAAAAATTTCATTCATAATCGGCTACGACATATAAATTTATACCGGCATAAGCAAAGAACATCGTTGCCATGTTGTCAAATGGACTCCAGAGAGTGATCAATACGATGATCGTGTCTCCAATCGCTGTAGTGAACAACCAAGCAGCTTGTACAACAGCTTTCATCGATGGGGCACACTAAAAAGCAATACAGTCGACTCTCGATTTAACGATTCGCCCGGTGACCTAAGCCTAGCGCTTCTTGCGTAGCTGCCCTGAACGTCCAACGATTGCGTTTCGCTGGGCAGCTACGCAGAGAACAAGGGAGTATTTTAGAATTTCAAAATCGCTGTATCGAGAGTCGTTAAATCAAAAATCGACTAGTTTGAGTTAATCCCGAAAAATTCGAACTCACCTGCGAGTAGGCGAACTCATAGCCGGTAATCGAAAAAAGAATCTCTCCTGCGGTAATGACGACAATTTGTGGAACCTGGGATAATGTTTTGAAGTCTTTTTTTTAAGTCCTTACCTGCCACAAAATATTCACAGAGTTATCCGGTACAGCTTGGAAATGAATCGGCGCTCCGTCTTGGTTTTTGTAGACTTTAAGGCCAGCACCGCCCTGGAATATGGATTACTGAAGTGGAGTAAGGGATACTAAATTACAGTAAGATAAGACGGTGAGATAGTAATGGTACTGTAATAGTTAGTGCTTTATAGTTTTTGTAATAGAATTGTGCTGTAATGGTGCTGTAATAGATAGGGTTTTTGTAATAGAATTGTGAGGAAAGATATTGAAAAAATAAAGAAAAAGAAAAACTTTGGAACCAACGGGGATCGAACCTTCGACCTCCTGATTACCGGCCTATTGAGCATCTACCACTGAGCTATAGCCCCTTGCTTCGTCAGAGGAGAAAAAGGAAAGAAAAGGGACAATGAAGAAAAAGGAAGGAAAAATCTTTATGTTAAAAAGGGATTTTTTCTTCTTGGTCCCTTTTGTTTTCTATTTTTCCTTGAGGAAAGAAGGTCCGGATGGCTCAGTGGTAGAGGCTCAATCGGACGGTAAGCGGGAGGTCGAGGGTTCAACTCCCTTCGTGTCCAAACTTTTTCATTTCTTTCTTTTATTCTTTACTTATCAAATTCAATCACTTCTTTACTTTATTAACTCACACTCGTATAGTTGTCAGCAGTCGGATCATTGATCAACGCATACAAATAAACACCACCTTGTCTCCGCAATTCGATGCTCACATCCAAATCTGTGACCTGGAATCGATTTTAGCTTCATTTCACAAGTTTTTAATTCTTTTTCTTACATCAACAGTCTTTGGAGTTGTCGAACCGGCACTTCTTGGTCGACCGTGCAACAAGAAGATCCACCATCTGAATAGGGGCAGTTTAAAAAGAGAAGACGTTAGAAAATGGATAAAATTCGTTGAAAATTCACTTACTTTCCAGGTTTCACTGGTTTAAAGCTGTATAAAACATATTTTTTGTCTGATTTTTTCTCGTTTCCAATCTAGAAATGATCATTTTTTAAAAAATTGCTAATTACTTACATCATAAAAGTCATATGCATCAAGATCACTGTCATCTTTGTTATATTTTTGTTCCCAGCTGAAAAAGAATAATCAATTGATTGAGTCAAGCAGTTAAATAGCAGTTAAATAGCAATTAAACAGCAGTTAAATAGCAGTTAAATAGCAGTTAAATAAAGGCAAAGTAAAGATTTAAAGATATTCAGTTAAACAAAAGAAATTCCAATTTGGTCTATAAACATTTTAAAGTAAAATGTATAGTAAAAATGAATGCTAAAAATGAATGGTAAAGAATTTAGAAGAGGAATTCGAAGCGTTGATCTTTTGCTTATCAAAAAGATTACAATTGAGCTTTACCACTTGAGCTTTACCACTTTACCTTTACCAGCTTTACCAAGCTATTGGTAAAGCTGGTAAAGGTAAAGTGGCAAAGGTAAAGTAAAGCTGGTAAAGGTAAAGTAAACAATACCAGCTTTACTAATAGCTTTACCAGCTTTACCAGCTTTACCTGCTTTACCAGCTTTACCAGCTTTAACAATAGCTTTACCAGCTTTACCTGCTTTACCTGCTTTACCAGCTTTACCAATAGCTTTACCAAGATATTGGTAAAGCTGCTATTGTTTGTTGGTATTGTTTAAACAAAGCCGGTATTATTTAAAGAAATAGGAAAGATCCAATACGGTTCCAATACGGTTCCAACACGGTTCCAATACGGTTCCAATACGGTTCTTTTTAGATCCAATACGGTTCCAATACGGTTCCAACACGGTTCCAATACGGTTCTTTTCAGATCCAATATGGTTCCAATACTGTTCCAATACGGTTCCAACAAGGTTCCAATACGGTTCCAATACTGTTCCAATACGGTTCTTTTTAGATCCAACACGGTTCCAATACGGTTCTTTTCAGATCCAATACGGTTCCAATACGGTTCCAACAAGGTTCCAATACGGTTCCAAGAAGGTTCCAATACGGTTCCAAGAAGGTTCCAATACGGTTCCAATACGGTTCCAAAACGGTTCCAATACGGTTCTTTTCAGATCCAAAACGGTTCCAAAACGGTTCCAATACGGTTCTTTTTAAATCCAATACGGTTGCAATACGGTAAAGGTAAAGTGGCAAAAGTAAAGTAAAGCTGGTAAAGGTAAAGTAAACAATACCAACAAACAATACCAGCTTTACCAATAGCTTTACCAGCTTTACCAGCTTTACCAGCTTTACCAGCTTTACCAGCTTTACCAGCTTTACCAGCTTTACCAGCTTTACCAGCTTTACCAGCTTTACCAGCTTTACCAGCTTTACCAGCTTTACCAGCTTTACCAGCTTTACCAGCTTTACCAAGCTATTGGTAAAGCTGGTATTGTTTGTTGGTATTGTTTAAACAAACCTGGTATTGTTTAAAGAAATTAGGAAAGAAAGGAAATCTTTTACAATTTCAATTCACTCACTAATAAAAATCAGATGGTTTTCGTGGATTACATTCTGTTGGTTTTGTATCTCCTCGACAGAAAACCAAATTGTCGAGTTCATCTCCTCCATATTTGTAATCCAAAGCATAGATTATACTGAAAAAAGATTTATTTTTGACTTCAATTCAACAATTATTTGTTTTAAAAGAACTAATTCTATTACTAAAACCTATTTCAAATTACTTTTTTAGTTAGAAACACTCTGGGTGATTGCTCTAGAATGGATTTGCTTTAGAAAGAGAATTTCTAAAGCAAATCGATTCTAGAACGAGAATTTCTGAAGCAAATTCATTCTAGAAACAAAATTTCTATAGCAGATCGATTCTAGAAACAGAATTCCTAAAGCAAATCCATTCTAGAAACAGAATTTCTACAGCAAATCGATTCTAGAACGAGAATTCCTAAAGCAAATCCGTTCTAGAAACAGAATTTCTACAGCAAATCCATTCTAGAAACAGAATTCCTAAAGCAAATCGATTCTAGAACGAGAATTCCTAAAGCAAATCCATTCTAGAAACATTTCCAAAGCAAATCCATTCTAGAAACAGAATTTCTATAGCAAATCGATTCTAGAGCAATTCAAGATTCATTAGCAATTGAAAGGAATGAATTCGGTGCAATAGAAAGAGTGGAACAGCATAAAGTAAAGCTTACTTTATGCTGTACTTTATACTTTATGCTTAAAACGGTAAACACACGTTTCTAGTGCAGAGTTATGATTTTCTTTTGGCACCAGGAAAGGTATTTTTGCAGTTTTAAGCAAAAGTACATTAGCTTTGATTTAAAAAGAGATTTCGATCTTTTCAAAATCTTATCTGTATCGATTTCACCCATCAACAAAGCCTTACCCAGCGCTAAATTCTCCTGTTCCTTCTTCAGCTTTATCTGTATCGATTTCACCCATCAATGCTCCATTTTTCGTTACAGTTACATGGTAAACTTTCTTTGATTTAAAAGTATAAGTGAGTTGATCCATTTTGAGGGAATTTGGCTGAAATTTTGATGTTATTTTGTTATTAAAATGTTATTAAAATGTTATTTTAAATGAACGAGTTTTCTGTTTACCGTGAAAATGCAATCACCGACGAAATTTCGTAATTGAAAGCTATTCGATCCGGCACTGAGATGGAAAGATTCTTGAGCCGATTGCTTTTTTGTCTTTTTCAAGTCAGGCATACTCTGAAATTTAGTTCTAAAGCTTAAGCTTACTTTAAATCTTTACTTTAAAACTTTATAGAGTTCATTTTAGTCTTATAACCCGTCCAAACCATCGCCGATCGCATGGGGATAGGCGCTGGTTGATCCCACTTCTTTCTAGTGTACTTTGGCTTAGTACTTTGCGCTTTGAGACGACGGTGCTCCGCTAGCTCCTTCCGAGCCGACTACTCCTTCCGATATCTCCTTCCGAGCCGACTACTCCTTCCGATATCTCCTTCCGAGCCGACTACAAGGATGGTGATGGCCACAAGGAGGAAAACCACGAGAAATGGTTGGTTTGGATTGGGATTTTTTTAGGAAATTGAATGTTTTGCTAAATGCTACCGGAATTCTGTCTCTTCATACAGTTGTTTCAGTTCTTCATCTTCATACAATTGTTTAATTTCTTAGAATCTACGTTATCTATCCCTAAATATCTATCCTTAGTTGATTAGTTAATGTTAATTGGCTTAGTACTTGGCTACTTGGCTATAACTACTTACTAGAACTCGAGTTACTAGAAATCGAGTAGCTAGATTAGAGTTAAGTTAAATTAGAGTGATTCTTTTGATTCCAGAATCCTCATTGTCTAAACGAGACGACGATGCTCCGCTAGCTCCTACCGAGCCGACTACTTGGGGTGGAATTGCGAGGGTAAGGAAATGTTTTCATGTAAATTAAGTTTAAAAGCTAAAATCAAATGCTTCCCACTTCTTTCTAGTGTACTTTGGGTTAATAATTGGAAACACACCCTTTCTGGCACAGTCAATACCTTAAAATGAGATTTTCTTGAACATTCATATGCGTTTTGAATTGGTCTTTATTTTATGGTGGATGGTCTTTATTTTAGTTTCACAATCTGACAAACCAGGGTTATAACCCGGAAAAGACCGGTCACAACAAGCGGGGATATAGCTCAGTGGTAGAGCGCTCGCTTTGCATGCGAGAAGTCCAGGGTTCGATCCCCTGTATCTCCAGATTTTTGCTTTTTCTTTTGTTTTGATAGCTTAAACGGTAAACTCGGGCTCTCCAGCTAAATCTATCCCTAAAAACCAGACCCAATCACATGGGGATATAGCTCAGTGGTAAAGCGCTTGCTTTGCATGGGAGAAGTCCAGGGTTCGATCCCCTGTATCTCCAAAGTTTTGCTTTTTATCTAAAGGAGCTTAAAGTGCAAACTTTTAGCTTAAACTGTAAACTTATTGACGTAACACTATTCCAATTGTAAATTACTAAACTTGAAATCAGTACCGTAAAACTTAATTACAGCAATTCTAGGCTTTCAACGAGTGAAATGATTGGTTTATTGAGAACGAATATTTGCAGATCGTTGACTACATCGTTGTCAACGATCGTTGACATCGCTGACTACAAAAATCCGATAAATTCAATCAATTGAATCAATTGAATCAATTCAATCAATTCAATCCAATAAATTCTTGATTAGCGATATTTGACAAGCAATTCGACAGGGGATCGAACCCTGGACTTCTCGCATGCAAAGGAGCGCTCTTGTACTCAACTTTTAAAAGTTGAAATCATCTCGTTCTTTTATTTTAGATTCCGTTCTCTCTTTTAGATCACTTTTAGATTTCCAAATTGAACTGAAAACCTCCAAACCTCTCCAAAATTCAGCGTTCTCCAATCCTCTTTCCCTGAAGGGCTCACGTCAAAAGTACAATTGGGAATCGCGTTGAAAAATGACACATAAGCTTGGCCACTTTTCGGTAGAAGTGGTAAAGAATTCTGGAAAGGCAATATTGGCAATAAAAGGCGTAAAGAGCTAATTTTCTATTCTAGTTATCGAAATGATTGAATTCTCTTCAATCTCTTCAATCTCTTCAATCTCCCCACTCACATTCACTTCAGTTTGCACCAAGCCAGCCACTCCAAAAGCCGCCGCCGCCAAAAGACCCCCGCAAACCATTTTTCGGAGATATGTTAAAGTAACGAATTTCTCGGCGATTGGATAGATGATTATCTAAAATTAGAGTTTTGATTCGTTTTGATTTTGATTGGTTTTACTTGGAAAATTGGAATGAAAACGAGAATTAGCACTGCGTTCAGCACTTGCACTTGATCCGGCATGAATAGCACGTTTCCCCACAAACGGCAATCCATTTGAGTGCCTGAGATTTGAAATTGTCTTTGAAAGTTCTCAGAAATTATGAAAAGCTATAGATTTATTGTGTACTTTGTGCTCTGAACATGTAAACGCACGATTCTGATGCACTCAAGTCTTAGCTGAAGGATTGAGTGCGGCAGAAAGTGTGGATTTACAATTTTTAAGCACAAAGAACAGTAGAAGTACAGTAGAAAGAACAGTAGAAAGAACAGCAGAAAGAACAGTACAAAGAACAGTACAAAGAACAGTACAAAGAACAGTACAAAGAACAGTACAAAGTACAGCAGAAAGAACAGTACAAAGAACAGTACAAAGACAGTACAAAGACAGTACAAAGAACAGTACAAAGTACGGCAGAAAGAACAGTACAAAGACAGTACAAAGTACAGCACAAAGTAGAGCACAAAGTACAGCACAAAGTACAGCAGAAAGAATAGTACAAAGAACAGTACAAAGACAGTACGAAGAACAGTTCAAAGTACATTACAAAGTACATTACAAAGTACAGCAGAAAGAACAGTACAAAGACAGTACAAAGAACAGTACAAAGTACAACGTACAGTACAAAGAACAAATCCAACCTTGAATCAACCAAATCGATCCCTGTTGATCGTAGAGTGACCAGAAGATCGGCACCGGCAAGAACATGATCAAAACACGGAAAAGTTGCTTCACGTCGTCAACGTATTGCCCCTAAATCCAAATCAATACTAATTTGGTTATATTTCTTATTTTTCGCGCTCCCTACGCTCTTTTCTGTTATTCAAATTACGTGCTAGTCTATCGTTTTTATCATTTTTCAAATGAAAATTGTCGATTTTTCCCTATGTATAACTTCGTCTGTTTGCTTCCACAGCTTCCATGTCAAAATTTAAATTCTATGCTCTAAAATTACCTAAAAACAACTTTTAGAATAGAAATTTGTTAATATTAGGTTTTTAGAGTTTTTTAAAACGCGAAATAAGGTGTGCTGGTTTCAGGATTCGCAGACAGGATTCGCAGACAGGATTCGCAGACAGGATTCGCAGACAGGATTTGCAGACAGGATTCGCAGACAGGATTCGCAGACAGGATTTGCAGTCAGGTTTTGGCTTTGTTAACAGTCAGGATTCGGTTTGTTAATGGTCAGGATTCGCAGTCAGGCTTCGCAGACAGGATCCTCAGTCAAGATTCGTAATCAGGATTCGTAGTCAGGATTTGCAGTCAGGATTCCCAGTCAAGATTCGTAGTCAGGATTTGTAGTCAAGGTTCGCAGACAGGATTCGCAGTCAGGTTTTGGCTTTGTTAACAATCAGGATTCGGTTTGTTAACGGTCAGGATTCGCAGTCAGGCTTCGCAGACAGGATTTGCAGTCAAGATTCGTAGTCAGGCTTCGCAGACAGGATTCTCAGTCAGGATTTGGAGTTAGGATTCGTAGTCAGGAGTCTCCGTCAAGATTCTCAGTCAGGATTCTCAGTCAGGATTGCAGTCAGGACTCGCAGACAGAATTCTCAATCAAGATTCTTAGTCAGGAGTCTCCGTCAAGATTCTCAGTCAGGATTCTCCGTCAGGATTCTCAGTCAAGATTCTCAGTCAGGATTCGCAAGATTCTCAGTCCCAAACCCTGCCGCAAAAAAGATTATCCCACTTCCTCCAATGTTTGTAATTAAATTTCAAATCTTGTTTTTTATTAGGTAGATAATGATAGAGCTGGAGTTAATAAGGTAAATAATGATAGAACTGGAGCTCCTTTGCTTTGTTGGCAATAAATGTTAGGAGGAATATACTGAAATCTATCGCTCACCATCGTCTTAGTTTTTTTCAACTAATTAAAGGAAAAATTTAAAAATCAAGAATATCAGAGCATTAAATATCATAAAATTAAGCCGTCAAGCTGAAAAAGAGTCATTTCTTCTAATGGAAAGTGTTTTAAATTTCAATCTTTTAAATTTGAAACGAATTTGAAAGCTTTTTCAGCTAGCTAATAAGATTTTAAAGATTTTCAGCTACGAAAGGCAGCTGAAAGGTTTAAATCATGTTAAACTTGAATAAAATCACTTAATAGTCTTCATACCTTGTGACAGTAATCTTTTCCTTTCTCCAATTTCATCTCTTGACATCTTTTATCCCTTGTACAGTCGTGTGTCGTCATGTAGTGATCCAACCAATGCGATTTCTTCTCACTGGCTCGGAATTTGTTCCCAATCGCTCCCTAGAAAGGTTTAAAAAATGTTAAACTTGAATAAAATCACTTAATAGTATTGTTTTTGCTATATTGGCTTTAAAATACTTATCCCAGAAACTTGAAAACTCACAAAAATCAATCCAAAAATCACACCGAACACATTTTCGCTTGGCGGCTTTTTCTTGTACCAAAATGAGGCAGCCATGAAGAGACCTAAAAGATCAATTTCTATATAAATCTCTGGATTCTAGAGTTCTAGAGTTCTAAACCTAATTCTAGAGTTCTAGAGTTCTAGAGTTCTAAACATAATTCTAGAGTTCTAGAGTTCTAAACCGAATTCTAGAGTTCTACAGGGTGCGTCATAATTATTGCAACAAGAGTTCAAAGACCGTTTTCCAAACAGCTTTCTTATTTTTGTTGTATTGCGTTCTATCTTCTTTATTCTTGCCTAGTTGCCTCCCGCTCACACGAAGAAGACGGTTCAGGACTGGTGTGTGGCCAACTTTCCCTCAGTGATCACCAAGGATGAATGGCCTCCAAACTCACCGGATCTCAATGTGATGGACTTTTCCATTTGTGCAATCTTAGAGGCTAATGTCTGCTTTTTGACCTTGAAGAAGTCAAAACCTTGGTCAAAACCAAAGGATGGAAGGCGATTCCTCAAGATGACATTCGGCCCGCAGTGGAGGCATATCCGAACCGATTAAGGGCTGTTATCAAGGCAAAAGGCGGTCATATCGAAGGATATCAAAGATCATATCGAACGATCTCTTGTTTCCTTATTTGTTACTGTTAAATAAAGCTATTTCTGTTTAAAAATCTTCTTCCAGTGAAACTTCTTGGTGTGCAATGCCTTGAGTATCTTGTTGCAATAATTATGACGCACCCTGTAGAGTTCTAAACCTAATTCTAGAGTTCTAGAGTTCTAAACCGAATTCTAGAGTAATCTAGATCTATCAATCAAAGGTTAGATAAAGATATCTAGATAAATTAGAAAAGATAAAGATAAAGATCTAAATTCTTCCACTTACATGTCGCTACAATCATAAGCACTGCTGGAATACCAAAAGCCAATGGATAACAAGAGTCTTGGCCCATACAACTCATAGCTGAAAGTTGAGTTGCGAGCTTTTTCCGAGAAAATTCTCGATTGGCGCTTTAAAGCGTGGTAAAACTACCGTACCCCTCCCAATATGCGTGAAATTTCATTTTTTTCATTCTTCTTCATTTCATTTTATTCTTTTTGCGTTTTTCTGATGTCTTTGCGTTTGTTTTTGTAGGAAACAAAGAGGATAAAGCTAAGTTACTTTTTTAACACCATTTTCTATGGCGGGAGCTTTGTTTATAGAGTTTTTAGATCCACTTGCTTCCTGACGATCTGCTTCACGAACTTGATGCTAACTAATGTTGGTTTAAGTGGTTTTTATCATTTTCTATGACGGGAGCTTAGTTTATAAAGTTTTTTTTAGACCCACTTGCTTCCTGACGATCTGCTTCAGGAAATTGATGTCAACTAATGTTGGTTTAAGTGGTTTTTATCATTTTCTATGACGGGAGCTTTGTTTATAGGGTTTTTTCAAAGCTCATTTGCTTCCTGACGATCTACTTCACGAACTTGATGTCAACTAATGTTGGTTTAGGTGGTTTTTATCATTTTCTATGACGGGAGCTTAGTTTATAAAGTTTTTTTTAGATCCACTTGCTTCCTGACGATCTGCTTCACGAACTTGATGCTAACTAATGTTGGTTTAAGTGGTTTTTATCATTTTCTATGGCGGGAGCTTTGTTTTTGTGAATTTTTAGTTGAAAAAACGTTGAAACATTGAAAAAACGCAAAAAGAATAAAATGAAATGAACAAGAATGAAAGAAATGAAATTTCGCGCAAATTAGGAGGGGTACGGTAGTTTTACCAAGCTTTAAAGCGCCAATCCAAAGCGCCTTTAAAGCGCCAATCCAGGATTTTCTCGGAAAAAAGGTCGCAAGTGAAAGTTTAGAGTATTTTTAGATCTAATAAATATATTTTTTAATATAAACTAGACAACTTTAAGCTATTTACATCGAAAAATTGGAGCAATGAACGTGGAAATCATCGAGCCGGCATTGATAGAGAAATAGAACATCGAGAAGAAAAGAGACAACATTCGGACCTAAAATCAGCTGGAAATTTTTTGAATTATCGATTTTCTAGTTATTTACTAGCATTTCCAGTGTGCTAAACTTGTAAACGCATCACTTTTGGCGCGCACAATTCATCATTACATCAGAAAAGATGCGGTTATGTTAGCAAAACCATTTGACCATTTTACTTTTAGCCATTTTAATCACCTGTCCTTTCTCAAATTGATCAGCTCCAAACGAATTCACGCATGGCTTTATTCCACCAGTACCGAAACCGATTGTGATCAATCCGATCAAGTCAAGCCATCTGGAAATGATAAAGTTCTAGCCTTCAGTTTAGTGAAGTTCTGCAGCCTCTACGCCCACCGGGGATCGAACCCAAGACACAAGAGGAAAGCAAACCTTTCCAAAAGGAAAAACTATCACTGAGCTATAGGTGCAGAGGAAACTCCTCCTTTAAAGAGGCTCATAACAGCTCGTTTAAAGCTCCTTTAAAGCTCCTTTATAGTTCCTTTATTGTGATCTCTTTGAGATCCCTGTCGCTTAGAAAATAGATAACTTTGCCAGTCAGGAATTATCTAAACAATTCAGGGAAGACAGCTAGATCTAGGGAAGGATCTGGCCTTGTTCAAGCCTTGTTCAAGCCTTGTCCAAGCCTTGTGCAGCCTTGTTCAAGCCTTGTTCCGGCCTTGTTCAAGCCTTGTGCAGGCCTTGTTCAAGCCTTGTTCAAGCCTTGTTCCGGCCTTGTTCAAGCCTTGTGCAGGCCTTGTGCAGGCCTTGTTCAAGCCTTGTTCAAGCCTTGTTCAAGCCTTGTGCAGGCCTTGTTCAAGCCTTGTTCAAGCCTTGTTCCGGCCTTTTCCAACCAGTCTTGCTTCTAACGAGTCAGGCTTTAAAACCAACTAGACTAGACAATGCCAAAAGCCAGCTATCTTGGCTTTGGAACAATTCGAACGAACAAACAATTTATTTGATTTATTGTGAATCTATTTAATCTTTAGTACAAAATACAAGACTTTTAGCCTAAAATCAATGAATCACTCACGGATGAAAACTCGATGATGAGTCTTTTGTCGATGCAATGGCTAAGACCACTTGTCCAGCTGCGTAAAGAATCGAGACGGTGAAGATTGTCCTAAAATTGGGCTACTGAAACAGTTGTTTTGAGCTTTTCGATGATTGGAACTAATTTTAAACTCTTAATTCTTATTTTCCTCCCTTTCTTCCTTTCTTTTTTCTTTCTTCCTTTCTTTTTCTTTTCTTCCTTCTTCCTCTCTTTCTCTTTTCTTCCAATCTTTCTTCTTCCTCTCTTTCTTCTTCCCTTCTTTCTTTTTTTCCTTTCCTCTTCTGGGATTTGGGCTTTGGACGAGTAAATTTTACGAAAACAAATGAAAAAATGAGGGGGGTGGATAGTTTAAGCCAATTTTTTTTGCGCAACTCGCCATAACTTTTTTGTAAGTCATCCAATCTTTATGCTTTTGTTCTCATTTTGTAGATCTCAACAAGTGCAACAAAATGCCATCAAGATCATAAAGGTTAGCCAACTTAGAAGAAAGTTATGGCGAGTCGCGCTAAAGTAGCCGCGCAAAGTAGCTACCTAGCTGCGCAAAGCACCCAGCAAAGAACGCCATAACTTTCTTCTGAGTCGACCAATCTTTATGATTTTGGTGTCTTTTTGTAGATCTCAATAAGTGCAACAAAATGATACGAAAACCATAAAGATTGGATGACTTAGAAGAAAGTTATGGCAAGTTGCGCAAATTAGCCGACCCCGTTCTCTCTAAACGATTAAACTATTGTTCATTTGATGTGTTTTTAATTTTTTCTGTTTTCCTTTCATCGTGTAAAAGTTTTGTCTTAATTAGGATGAAATTGTTTCTGTTTTTTATCGTCGCTTTTAATTCAATTGTCGATTTTGTATGAAAATTGCTCAAGTCAAGACTCAAAACTCAAGAAAAGCCGAAAAATTGCGAGTCAATCGGCTATTGTCTTAGTTCAAGTGAGATCAGATATCTCGAAACAAGAAATAAGCGATTCTTTGACCGTAAACTTAGACTACGCGACGCTCCTATGGGGGGGGGGGGGCTCTTACCGTATAAACGCCGCCTCCCTCGACGAACTTTAGACGCCCTTTTCTCAGCCCGATTTTGAGATATTTTTATGTTTAATATACCAAAAGATAGAAGAAATTATGGGCTTTCTTTTGACATATTAAACATAAAAAAATCTCAAGAATGGGACTGAGAACGAGGCGTTCAAATTTGATCGAGTTAATAAATGCCCTCCCCTCGACCAACTTTAGACGTCTTGTTCTCAGCCCGATTTTGAGATATTTTTATGTTTAATTTTCCCAAAAAATAGCAGACATTAAGGGCTATCTTTTGACATATTAAACATAAAAATATCTCAAAATCGGGCTGAGAAAAAGGCGTCTAAAGTTGGTTGAGGGGTCTATTACAAGCCTCTACCACTGTCTTTTTCAAACAAGTTTTTCGTGCTAATAGAGAGCTCAAATCGTCTTGAAATCATGTTTTTTGGATTCTACGACCTAAATTAGGCTCTAAAACTGTCACTTTTCAATAGCTTTTCGCTTTTCGCCTTTTTATATTTGAAGAAAACAAATGCTCGTTTTTTTTTGTCCATTTCTCGACGAACTTTAGACGCCTTTTTTCTCAGCCTATTTTTGAGATATTTTTATGTTTAATATACCAAAAAATAGCAGACATTAAGGGCTTTCTTTTGACATATTAAACATAAAATTATCTCAAAATCGGGCTGAGAAAAGGGCGTCTAAAGTTGGTTGAGGGGTCTATTACAAGCCTCTACCACTGTCTTTTTCAAACAAGTTTTTCGTGCTAATAGAGAGCTCAAATCGTCTTGAAATCATGTTTTTTGCATTCTACGACCTAAATTAGGCCCTAAAACTGTCACTTTTACTGTCACTTTTCAAGGGAGGAGGCTCTTCTAACGTCTCTTGAGTGAAGAGTACCAAGCACGCAAAAGAATATTTCTTTACAGATGCTCAGAAATTGTTGAATGAGGAAAAAGTGTGATTCACAAACGCCAGCCACTCACAAACTATGCATTCAATTCAATTTTGATTAATCCATTTTGATTTTTGTTCACAAAATCGAACACTTCTTCTTTTTTTCCTCATTTCTCATCAAAAAAAATCGACTCTTTATTTAAAAAGAAAGGTATTTTCTGCCGGATTCCATTTTCTGAGTCCATTTTTAATCTTCTTTAAGAGATTGCGAGGAATTTCAGTAGGCTTTTAATCTTTTTTTCTTTTAAAAAAAGGACAATCAGAAAACAGTGAGAACTCCTCTCTTCATGCTGATAACCCCAATAAAACTATTAGGGAAAAAGCAAAGAGAAAGAATCACTATTGATTAGTTTGTAAAAATATGATTGCATCTGATAAACTAGACTTTTTTACTTGTTTGATTCTAGTAGCAGGTGGAAAGGCCGTTAAAAATTGGGGTTTTGTTCATGGACATGGCTTTGTCATGGTGGAGAAGTCGGAAGCACGCTTGTCTACTGCTCTGTCTACTGCCAACACGATCCTGGGTTCGATTCCCGGCTGTGTCATAGCCTCTACATTTTGCAAAGAGAGGATCACTATTGATTAGTTTGTAAAAATATGATTGCATCTGATAAACTAGACTTTTTTACTTGTTTGATTCTAGTAGCAGGTGGAAAGGCCGTTAAAAATTGTGGTTTTGTCCATGGACATGGCTTTGTCATGGTGGAGAAGTCGGAAGCACGCTTGTCTACTGCCAACACAATCCGGGTTCGATTCCCATGTGTCATGGCCTCTACATTTTGCAAAGAGAGGATTACTATTCATTTGTTTGTAAAAGTATGGCTTCATCTGATAATCTAGACGGTTTGGTCCAGTACCAGCCAAAAAAGCCGCAAGAAACCGGGTTTTTGTCCGTGCTCTGTCGGAGTGGGGCAGTCGGGAGCACGCTACTACCCACACGATCTGGGTTCGATTCCCGGCTGTGTCATAGCCTCTACATTTTGCAAAGAGAGGATCACTATTGATTAGTTTGTAAAAATATGGTTTTATCTGATAACCTAGACTTTTTTTACTTGTTTTATCGTAATACCAGCCAAAAAAGCCGCTAGAAACCGGGTTTTTGTGCTCTGTCGTTTTTTCCGTGCTCTGTGGCGGTGGGGCAGTTGAGAACACGCTTGTCTACTGCCAACACAATCCGGATTCGATTATCGGCTATGTCCTGGCCTCTGCTTTTTGCAAAGAGAGGATCACTATTGATTAGTTTGTCAAAATATGATTTCATCTGATTAGTTTTACTTTTTTTCTTATAGTGTACTAAATGGCTTCTTGCAATCAAGATTTTAACAATAGAAATCAACTCAAAAACTTTAACAATTGATTTTTAAGACAAAACAAGAAACAAAGAAACAAGAAAAACTATTTACTTTTAAGGAACTTATTTAGTTCCTTTCTAGTTTCTTTATAGTTCCTTTATAGTTCCTTTATAGCTCCTTTCTAGTTCCTTTATAGTTCCTATTGAGTTCCTCGAGAAGTCCAGGGTTCAATCCCCTGTATCTCCAAAACTTTTGCTTTTAAGCTAAAGGATAGCTAGCTTAAACTGTCCACGATTGCTTAGGTAAATCTATCCCTAAAAACCACCGCTGATCAGATGGGGATATAGCTCAGTGGTAGAGCGCTCGCTTTGCATGCGAGAAGTCCAGGGTTCGATCCCCTGTATCTCCAGATTTTTGCTTTTTCTTTCGTTTTGATAGCTTAAACGGTAAACTCGGGCTCTCCAGCTAAATCTATCCCTAAAAGCCACCGCTGATCAGATGGGGGATATAGCTCAGTGGTAGAGCGCTCGCTTTGCATGCGAGAAGTCCAGGGTTCGATCCCCTGTATCTCCAAATTTTTCCCTTTTTTGCTGAAAACTGTAAACTCAAATTTTCCACGTAAATCTATTCCAGGCATGGCGAAAGACGACATTTTGCATTGTGTCAAACGAGTTCTGCGAGAAGATTTCTTTTTTTTTCTTTTTAAGATTACTAAACTTGAAACAAGCTTGAGAAAAGTCAAGAAAAGTCAAGAAAAGTCTAGCAAAGTTAACTCAAAGCAATACCAGAAGCATGATCTTACCTTGATTTGATCATTTTTCTTTCGCTTTACCTGGCTTTATTAGCCCACCCATCTTAACTCCATTGAATTTGAAATAATACCGAACTGAAATCATAGCCCGCCCACCCGAATGTTCCCGCTTCGCCGCACTAGCTTTGCTTGCATTTTGTCTTGCTTGACTTTGAAATGATACCGTAAAATTAGCTTCTTAAGATTACTAAACCTTGAGCTTCTGTAGCTGAGTTAGGCTTAGGCTTAGGCTCTGAGAAAGATAACAAAGCTACAAATAAGAAAAACTAAAGCAAAGCTTTTGACGATTCGATTGCAATAAGGCTCTGAGAAAGAAAGCTCTAAGAAATTACCAAAATTTTCCAACATATCCATCAGCGACAGTCTTTGAGTTAACTTTGCTAGACTTTGCTAGACTTTGCTTGACTTTGCTTGACTTTTCTCAAGCTTGTTTCAAGTTTAGTAATCTTAAGAAGCTAATTGAGTTACTGTAGCCAAAGCTGAGTTACTGTAGAGTTATAGTAGCTGGGTTTTCGGCTTCGGCTTCGGCTTAGGCTTACAAGGCATTGTAAGGGCCTTTTTAGGCTTAAAAGTATGAAATTCGAAAAACTAAAGCAAAGCTCTTGACCATTTGATTGCAAGGCTTTCGGTTGCAAGGCTCTATAAGAAATTACCAAAATTTTCCAACATATCCATCAGCGATAATCGATCCAAGAATTGGTGTCGAATAGCAGAGAACGTTGAATGAATTGAAGAAAATCGTTGATTGATCGTTTGAGAATTTGAGTACATTTAGGAGATAAAAAGTGAGCACAGCTGAAAAGTTTTAAACATACTTTGTGCTTAAAGCTCTAAACAAACTCTTTCTACTGCATTGAATCTTTCTATTGCTCTCTACTGCACAACAAACTCTTCCTACTGCTCTCTACTGCACAACAAACTCTTCCTACTGCTCTCTACTGCACAACAAACTCTTCCTACTGCTCTCTACTGCACAACAAACTCTTCCTACTGCTCTCTACTGCACAACAAACTCTTTCTACTGCTTTCTACTGCACAACAAACAACAAACTCTTTCTACTGCAAAAAAACTATTCATTTTATCCGGGAAACTTCGCCAGAAATGCTTTGTTTACCCCTTTTTAACCCTTATTTCTTTTCACTTCAAATTTCCCTCATTTTTCAGCTCTCGCAAAATTTTGATAGGCTTTTTTATGACTCCACTAAAAGAATGAAAGAGTCACGAGGTTTTTAACTTGTTTTTTTGTTGACCAGGCTTTGAAAGTAATCTAATATCTAAATAATTTTTGCTATTAGTTCTATAGTTTTTATGTAACCGAAGAAAATCCTCACTTCTCATCCCATAGAAAGAAAAGCGCTCGCAGAACTCGTTTGACACAATGCAAAATGTCGTCTTTGGCCATGCCTGGAATAGATTTATGTGGAAAATTTGAGTTTACAGTTTTCAGCAAAAAAAAACAAAACTTTGGAGATACAGGGGATCGAACCCTGGACTTCTCGCATGCAAAGCGAGCGCTCTACCACTGAGCTATATCCCCATGTGATTGGGTCTGGTTTTTAGGGATAGATTTAGCTGGAGAGCCCGAGTTTACCGTTTAAGCTATCAAAACAAAAGAAAAAGCAAAAATCTGGAGATACAGGGGATCGAACCCTGGACTTCTCGCATGCAAAGCGAGCGCTCTACCACTGAGCTATATCCCCGTCTATTCCTCCCCGTCTTTTCCGGCTTATAACCCTGGTTTATCAGATTGTAAAACTAAAATAAAGGCTCTAATTCAAAACGCATATGGATGTTCAAGAAAATCTGATTTTTAAGGTATTGAATGTGCCAGAAAGGGTGTGTTTCCAATTATTAACCCAAAGTACACTAGAAAGAAGCGGGAAGCATTTGATTTTAGCTTTTAAACTTAATTTACATGAAAACATTTCCTTACCCTCGCAATTCCACCCCAAGTAGTCGGCTCGGTAGGAGCTAGCGGAGCATCGTCGTCTCGTTTAGACAATGAGGATTCTGGAAACAAAAGAATCACTCTAATTTAACTTAACTCTAATCTAGCTACTCGATTTCTAGTAACTCGAGTTCTAGTAAGTAGTTATAGCCAAGTAGCCAAGTACTAAGCCAATTAACATTAACTAATCAACTAAGGATAGATATTTAGGGATAGATAACGTAGATTCTAAGAAATTAAACAATTGTATGAAGATGAAGAACTGAAACAACTGTATGAAGAGACAGAATTCCGGTAGCATTTAGCAAAACATTCAATTTCCTAAAAAAATCCCAATCCAAACCAACCATTTCCCGTAGTTTTCCTCCTTGTGGCCATCACTGAAGCCGACTCGCCTCAGTAAAAACAAGAATGGCAAGTAAAGAATATTTCAGTTGAGGTGATGAGTATTTATCGCATTTTTCCTTATCAAATTGCTCACAATGCCTCCCAAAAATTCTCGAGACTAAATTCTACGCGGAAAAGAGAGCAAAAAGGAGAGCAAAAGGTTTCACTCCAATTTTGGACACTGTGCATTGTGACACGAAAGATCGGCTAGACTTTAGCCTTCTCTGAATAACCAAAGATCACTTTTGCGACACTTTTTGGGTATCCTTAGTCGTCTTACTCAAGAAAGAAACCCGAATGGAAGAATGGAAATAATTTCATTGCAAAATTTGCATTTCTTTCTCATTTTCCCTGAATTTCTATTTAACTTTTGAAATAAAACTCAGCGAATTTCGGGAAAAGTACAATTTCTCTCGGCTTTTCTCTCCGAATCGGATCAAATCGATTGAATGGCGCTCAACATTCAACCCTCAACAGGCATTTTCCCGGCTGCTGGTGGAGAGATCATCTTCCAAATTCACTCACTCGCCTCGCTTTCAAGTTATTTTTTTCTTGCTTCTTTTAAAGTTTTGGTTCTTTTGGTTCTTTTGGTTCTTTTGTTTATTTATTTCTTTTGGCTCTAGTATTTGCTAGTTTGGACTAGTTTAAGCTAGCTATAGAACTTAATTCTTGCTTCATCACTTGATTAAGAGCTGATATTCTGCTAAATTCTTTTCATTGTTAAAGTTTTCATTATGTTAGACTAGCTTTTAAAACCGTTAATCTTTTGTTTTTTTAGGTGAAATCCACGGACAACGATCATTATCGAGTGCGACCGGTGTACGGATTTGTGGCGAATTTCGGGAAAAGTATAATTCCTCTCGGCTTTTCTCTCCGAATCGGATCAAATCGATTAAATGGCGCTCAACATTCAACCCTCAACAGGGATTTTCCCGGCTGCTGGTGGAGAGATCATCTTCCAAATTCACTCACTCGCTGATATCCGCCTCGCTTTCAAGGTATTTGTTTCTTGGTTCTTTTGTTTCTTTTGGTTCCTTTGTTTATTTACTTCTTCTGGCACTAGTATTTGCTAGTTTGGACTAGTTTAAGTTAACTATAGAACTTAATTCTTGATTCATCATTTGATTAAGAGCTGATATTCTGCCAAATTCTTTTCATTGTTAAAGTTTTCATTATGTTAGACTAGCTTTTAAAACCGTTAATCTTTTGTTTTTTTAGGTGAAATCCTCGGACAACGACCGGTGTACGGATTTGTGGCGGCCAAGCAACAGCAATCACTGCAAATCTTGCGTCTCGAAGGGCCGCCAACATTGAACGCCCAACAGGCATTTTCCCGGCTGCTGTTGGAGAGATCACCTTCCAAATTCACTCACTCGCTGACATCCGCCTCGCTTTCAAGGTATTTGTTTCTTTTTCCTTTTAAACTTTTGGCTCTTTTGTTTATTTACTTCTTTTGGCACTAGTATTTGCTAGTTTGGACTAGTTTAAGCTAACTATAGAACTTAATTCTTGCTTCATCACTTGATTAAGAGCTGATATTCTGCTAAATTCTTTTCATTGTTAAAGTTGTCATTATGTTAGACTAGCTTTTAAAACAGCTGAATGGGTGAGTTGATTTGGTTGAGTGACTTTTTTCTGAGATTTTTGTTTTCAAATGAAAGCTGGTTTTGTTCTATTAGGTTGAGTACTATTTGCTGGTATCCCTTTGCTCATTTTTTTTATTAGCTTTCTCCAAACAAACGTTGAATCGCTAAAAAAAGCGTTAAGTGTTTAATTTTAGGGATTTGGAAGTAAATTTTTGCTCGCTATAATCCAAATTCGCAAATAAATTCTTGGAAGAGAAAAATAATGAAAACGGTCCGACGAATTTTTCTAAAACTTTGCTATACTCTTAACTTTTTATGTTCTAGCTATTTTCTATTTACACAAAAATAGGTTTCTTTAGAAGAAAAGGATCAAATCCCATAGCCGGATCTATTAATTTCGACAAATTATCTGCTTGCCTCTTGAAATTTCTCAAAACAAGCGCTTTTTTACAACACTTGAGAAGCATTTTGTAGAAAAAAGATAAGACTTTTCAATCAAACAAACCGTTTGTTTCTAAAATGATCAATGAAAATAGCAACACTTACTTTCTTTTAAAGTTTTGGTTCTTTTGTTTAGTTACTTCTTTTACTTTATTTATTTATTTACTTTTGGCACTAGTATTTGCTAGTTTGGACTAGTTTAAGCTAGCTATAGAACTTAATTCTTGATTCCTCACTTGATTAAAAGCTGATATTCTGCCAAATTCTTTTCATTGTTAAAGTTGTCATTATGTTAGACTAGCTTTTAAAACCATTAATCTTTTGTTTTTTTAGGTGAAATCCTCGGACAACGACCATTATCGAGTGCGACCGGTGTACGGATTTGTGGCGGCCAAGCAACAGCAATCACTGCAAATCTTGCGCCTCGAAGGATCGCCAACATTGAACCCCCAACACGCATTTTCCCGGCTGCTGGTGGAGAGATCATCTTCCAAATTCACTCACTCGCTGACACCCGCCTCGCTTTCAAGGTATTTGTTTCTTATTTCTTTTAAAGTTTTGGTTCTTTTGTTTATTTACTTCTTTTGGCACTAGTATTTGCTAGTTTGGACTAGTTTGAGTTAACTATAGAACTTAATTCTTCATTCACTTAAGTAAGTAAGAGCTGATATTCTGCCAAATTCTTTTCATTGTTAAAGTTGTCATTATGTTAGACTGGCTTTTAAATCAGTTAATCTTTTTTTAGGTGAAATCCTCGGACAATGACCATTATCGAGTGCGACCGGTGTACGGATTTGTGGCGGCCAAGCAACAGCAATCACTGCAAATCTTGCGTCTCGAAGGATCGCCAAAGGAGGACAAATTCGTCGTGCAATGGGCTGAGGTGAGCATTTGTCTTTTGTTTGGTTTAAATTTGGAGTAGGCTTAGTGTTTTCTGTATCTTGTCAACTTTCCACTTTCCACGTCACTAATTTGCAATGTTTAGGTGCCCGATGAGGAGACCGATCCATAGGCTCCATTCAAGGCGGGCGCACAAAGTGGCGAAGTGATTCTGCCGGGGAAGGCCAAATAAACGACTTCTCTTCTCATCGCAAATCGTCTCTTTTCGTCCTCTTTACAAACGCTTTTCTGGGCGATTCCTCTCAAATGATGGATGAAACGATTCCAAAACCTTTTGCGCTATCATTTTCCCGGGAATAAATCGATCCTTTGCTGTTTGCGTAAATAAACACATGTGTTTCATGATGTTACTGTAAAATTGAGCACTCTGCAAAGTTAGAATAGGTAAAGCCGGCAATCTTCTTGAGCTGGAGGCTTGTTTGGATTTTAAATATACGATAACAATAACTTCAGACAACGATTAGTAATTTAGTGCTTTTTCGAATTTCTGCCTGTTGTTGAGCATTTTTGCTCACTTTTGATTGGCTTTTGTCACTTTTCTATACGATAAGCCTTTAAAATTGGCAAAAACACGTCACTGGCTGTCTTAACTACACACAAAAACACATTCCATACCCTAAAATTTGACTCGTACATTCGTTTTCTTGGAATTTCCCTCATCAACCGTCAAAAAATAGGAAAATCACCGATTTTTGGAAGCAAAGGTTAAAAGAGCCATCAATTAAAAGCGTCTAGTTTCCCGGTGCACTTTTTTTGCTTTACAATCATCACCGACCATCCCAACGACCATCCTCACCGAACAGCTTTATTCAAAAATTTCCGAAAACAAAAAAATCCCCAATTACTGTGGGCCAATTCTCTCCATTTTTCCTTGAAAAATAAAACTTTTTGCTGTAAAATTTCCCCCCCCCCCGGGACAGGTGAAATTCATTAGATTCCCTACGATTTACAATCACGAAAACCCTCATTTGCTCGAATTCTCAATTTCCCCCCTACAACTCTACTCGAAAAACAAGAAGATGTCGGAAACGAATATTCAAATTGTGACGATCATCATTGTAAGTGTGTTTTGTTCAAAATTCCTTTGAAATCACCAAATTCCATCACTGAAGTTTGTCATTTTTCCATAAAAAGTTTAATACTTTTATAAGGCAAAGATTTGAAAGTGTTAGAACTTTTGTTTTCTAAAGAAGCCCCAGAACTAAAGCCCCAGAACATTTGCCAACCAAGGTTAGCTATGAAACAGAAAACCATCCAATTTATCTCATAGTTGGACAAGATTGTTTTATGGGTTGGGGCTGGACGGAGCCGGGAGTCGAACCCGTGACCTCTCGCTTACCAGGTGAGCGCTCTGCCATCCCGCTCTGCGCTCTGCCATCCCGCTCTGCGCTCTGCCATCCCGCTCTGCGCTCTGCCATCCCGCTCTGCGCTCTGCCATCCCGCTCTGCGCTCTGCCATCCCGCTCTGCGCTCTGCCATCCCGCTCTGCGCTCTGCCATCCCGCTCTGCGCTCTGCCATCCCGCTCTGCGCTCTGCCATCCCGCTCTGCGCTCTGCCATCCCGCTCTGCGCTCTGCCATCCCGCTCTGCGCTCTGCCATCCCGCTCTGCGCTCTGCCATCCCGCTCTGCGCTCTGCCATCCCGCTCTACGCTCTGCCATCCCGCTCTGCGCTCTGCCATTCCGCTCTACGCTCTGCCACACCATCAGAAATCCCATTGCTGCCAGGGTAATAAAGTTCAAACTTCAGCTCGGTCTTCTCGGCCTAATCGGTGGAATCGCAGCCATTCGTGTCGTTTTGACGAGTTCAATTCTGAAAGGAATCGTCCGTCACTATTGTCTCTGTATCATCATCTCATCAAGTCTCATCAATCTCTCGCATCTCTTTTGGGGAGCACCAAGAGCTCTGTGGTAAGTGCTGAATATCTACTAGTACACTGCAATAGCTAGAATACACTACAATAGCTACAGTACACTGCAATAGCTACAGTACACTACAATAGCTACAGTACCCTCAATAGTTACCTTGACCTCGATTTCTTGCTAATTGTAAGGAAAAGGAGAAAAGATCAATCAAGAATCAAACCTTGGCCTGTTTCTAAGTACTGTAGCGATTAAAATCTGAATCAATTTGCATTTATGCTTACAAGGGAATTTTGAACTGTGTTTGCCAAATGACATTTTCCATTCGACGCAGAATTTCACGCTGATTTCGAATCTGTTTTCCGTTTCTGCCTTCGAACACTCTGTTAAAAGTTGAAAAGTGAAATTCTGCGTCGACTGAAAAATGTCATTTGGCAAACACAGTTCAAAATTCCCTTGTAAGCATAAATGCAAATTGATTATAAGCCTGCAAAGTTTTGGATGACTTGCAAATGAGATTGCAAATGACAGAGTTTATAACCAGATTTCCCAGGCTGTTCGAGGGGCAGTGGTGGCCGAGTGGGTAGTGAGTTAGAATCCTGGCGAAACCATCGCTGGTTCGAGTCCACCCATCCACTTTTTTCTTTCCAATTTTTGAATTTGTAAAGTTAATTTGTTCTCTGTAAATATAGGCTTATTTTAAAGAGCTTTTCATAATAATATTTACTTTTAATTATTAATATTAAGCAGCTATCATAGTTATCAGCTAAAAAAACGAAATTTCAACATTTTTTCCGAAGTCAGCTTTGTTTTTCAATCATTTTTAATTAAAATAATCTAAAACTGAATCAAATGCTGATCTCCGAAAATTCTTTTTATCAAATGCTGATCTCCACGATTCAAACTAAGACCTTTTAACACCTGTTCCTCAAGGGAAAGAGCTTGTTTTTTTGGATTCAAATACAGCGAATCTAACAAGTAGAATTAGTCATGAAGTTAATGTTGAAAAACCTTTTTTTTAAAGTTAAATTTTAGGTCTTCTCTTAGTAAATACGATGTTTTGGATAACACGATTGGTTTCATCGCATTCACTTCTGTTTCAGTCATGTATATAGCAAAGGTGAGCTAACAGCTAACACAGCTAACAGCTAACAGCTAACCCAGCTAACCCAGCTAACAGCTAACAGCTAACACAGCTAACAGCTAACAGCTAACACAGCTAACAGCTAACAGCTAACACAGCTAACAGCTAACAGCTAACACAGCTAACAGCTAACAGCTAACAGTTAACCCAGCTAACAGCTAACAGCTAACCCAGCTAACAGCTAACAGCTAACAGCTAACAGCTAACCCAGCTAACAGCTAACAGCTAACAGCTAACCCAGCTAACAGCTAACAGCTAACCCAGCTAACAGCTAACAGCTAACAGCTAACCCAGCTAACAGCTAACAGCTAACCCAGCTAACAGCTAACAGCTAACAGCTAACCCAGCTAACAGCTAACAGCTAACAGCTAACACAGCTAACCCAGCTAACAGCTAACAGCTAACAGCTAACCCAGCTAACAGCTAACAGCTAACAGCTAACAGCTAACCCAGCTAACAGCTAACAGCTAACAGCTAACAGCTAACAGCTAACCCAGCTAACAGCTAACAGCTAACAGCTAACAGCTAACAGCTAACACAGCTAACAGCTAACAGCTAACACAGCTAACAGCTAACAGCTAACAGTTAACCCAGCTAACAGCTAACAGCTAACACAGCTAACAGCTAACAGCTAACACGCTGAACAGCTAATACGCTGAACAGCTAACACGTTGAATCTCAGAAGCTTTAATTAAAAGTTTTCTCGCCCGTTTCTTGGTCGATTGCTCTGAAATTTTGTTTACAAGCTGGAAATGTTGATTTCTAGCTGTAGAGGAATCTTCAGAAAGGAAATTTCAAAGGAATCAAGAATTCCTCTGAAATCAGCCAAGAAAATGAAAGTGGAATTAGGATTGGGCTGGAATTTCCCTATTTCTAGTATTTCTAGTACAGTAGGCGTGGTTTTCAATCTGGCTTTTTGTTTCGAATCAAATCGAATCGATCTAGACCGGAAAATCTTTGATTTTCGAATTGAATCGAAATCACACTGATTAGAATCGATTCAATTTGATAAACCAGGTTCACAGTATTGCAATAATGTACTTTTCTACTAGTACAGTACAGAATAATGCACTAATAGTACTTGAGAATCATAGCAATTTACTCTAGCAACTCATAGCGACTAGCAACTCATAGCGACTAGCAACTCATAGCGACTAGCAACTCATAGCGACTAGCAACTCATAGCGACTAGCAACTCATAGCGACTAGCAACTCATAGCGACTAGCAACTCATAGCGACTAGCAACTCATAGCGACTAGCAACTCATAGCGACTAGCAACTCATAGCGACTAGCAACTCATAGCGACTAGCAACTCATAGCGACTAGCAACTCATAGCGACTAGCAACTCATAGCGACTAGCAACTCATAGCGACTAGCAACTCATAGCGACTAGCAACTCATAGCGACTAGCAACTCATAGCGACTAGCAACTCATAGCGACTAGCAACTCATAGCGACTAGCAACTCATAGCGACTAGCAACTCATAGCGACTAGCAACTCATAGCGACTAGCAACTCATAGCGACTAGCAACTCATAGCGACTAGCAACTCATAGCGACTAGCAACTCATAGCGACTAGCAACTCATAGCGACTAGCAACTCATAGCGACTAGCAACTCATAGCGACTAGCAACTCATAGCGACTAGCAACTCATAGCAACATCCTAGTTTACAAACAACTCCAAGAAACTCATTCAAATCAAAGTATTCAATGATTAAATGATTCAACGATTCAGATTCTATTAGCTTTCAATCGTTTCATGGCAATCTCGTGGAACGGAGCCTACTATCGATCTTTGGAGAAAGTGCAATTCATCCAATACTTTCTCCTCATTGCATATTCCGTTATCATGTCGGCGCCGATGCTTTTTCGTGGGTTTTTCCCCAGAATTTTCCTTTAATTTGTCTTTATTTCAATCTACTGTAATGAGTTGTAAAATAGATTAAAAAAAAAAAACAACTGCTGTTCGTTTTGCACCTCTTCCAGGGCGCCCTGTGCCCACTGTGCCCAGAGTTTTCATAACGTTGAATGGTTCGAGAAACGAGGTTTCTGGGGACATTCAGGCGCTTTGAGATCTCGCTCGCGTGAACAGCCGCCTGAACACGCTGCCGCTTGAGCTCAAAGATCGATTGTCGATGTGGAGACGCTTTCACCATTCCTGAAAACAACTAATGTATTGGAATTTAGTAATCATACCATAAAATAAGAAAAATACACAAAAACCATAAAAACAAGTAAGCAAAAAGTGAAATGGGGCTCATAACATAATACGACGTTGTTGCGGTAATTCTTGGTCACCCTGTAGATCAGAATTTTCATCATCAACTTTCGCTTGAAGTTCAAAAAAAGCTGTTCTCATTCAAAAATTTAGCTTGAAATTTCGAAAACTTTAAGGTACAATTAATCTAATTAATCTTTAGTTTTTGGATAGCTCAAATTAGGTGATAAATATAGCTAAATTTGAGGGACAATTCTGATGGTTTAAAGCTTTAATCTTTTTCAACATAAAGATCAAATCAAAAATCAAATCAAAAATTTGATTTAATTGAGATTAAAAGAGAATAAAATGAACTTTAAAGTAAAAAGGAAATGAAGAATGAAGGAAAAAGAAATAGTGTAGTGGAAAGGGTGTGTTTACGGCATAGGCTTAGGCTTAGGCTTAGGCTTTTAGGCTTAGGTTTAGGCTTAGGCTTAGCTGGCTTAGGCTTTTAGGCTTAGGCTTAGGCTTTTAGGCTTAGGTTTAGGCTTAGGCTTAGCTGGCTTAGGCTTGGACTTAGTGCGAAGGCTAGCGGCTAGCGCCTCGCACTAAGTCTATTTGGGTTTGGGCTGAACCCCCATTTTCCGGATCTCGGCCAGTTTTAGGCTTAGGCTTAGGCTTAGGCTTAGGCTTAGGCTTAGGCTTAGGCTTAGGCTTAGCTGGCTTAGGCTTAGGCTTAGGCTTAGACTTAGGCTTAGGCTTGGACTTAGGCTTAGACTTGGACTTAGTGCGAAGGCTAGCGGCTAGCGCCTAGCACTAAGTCTATTTGGGTTTGGGCTGAACCCCCATTTGCTGGATCTCGGCCGGTTCTCGGAGCTAAGGGACACCCGTTTGGCGGTGTGCGTACGCCCCCCATGGGAGCATTCTGGCAAATTTTCAGGTCGATCTCGTGTCTGGAATTTGAGATCTGATTAGGTTTAGGCTTAGGCTTCGACTTAGTGCGAAGGCTAGCGGTTAGCGCCTAGCACTAAGTCTCAGACTTTTAGTGTCTGAGATGTTCCTAGGGCTTTTAGGAATCTCAGCACAGAGGTTCCTAAAAGCACAAAGTAAACCTACAATCACTACAGTAACCCAAAATCTTCAGAATGAATCTTTAGAATAGAATTGCTTCAATGCTTCAATTCTTTTCATTTGATTAGCCGAATTTTTAGCTGGTTTTCGCGTGATCTGGGTGAATGATGGAAAAAGTTTTTGGTTTATTGAGGACAGTCCAAATGCTGAACTTTATATGAATATTACACAGGTGAAATACAGCTCATTTTCCTTGTGATCCCTTTCATTTTCAGCCCTGGGCCGCTTATTTTGTGATCGCTATTTGTACCTCATTGGACAGTATGACGTTTTTCTTGATTAAGAAGAGAATAATGGTGAAAATTTGAATGAATTTTAAATCCTAGAAACTAAATCGTCCTTTTTCTGTGTCCTTTTTCTCTTTTTCTTTAAGGCCTCTTAGTTATTTAGATCAGATCCGAATTTGTTCAGAACTATTGGGTTGGGGACTATGACTCGGCGCCAAACTTTAAAGGGACTTTTTGCACACATAAAACCTTCTTTAAACATACGTTTGGTTTCATCAAAAGGATCCACTATTTCTCTACAAAATCACTTTTGAGAGATTCCACAAAGCTTTTCTTTCGTGGAGTTTATGAACTTCCAAACGCAGCTGGTTAAAATGGCAAAGAGTCCGACTCATCATTTGAACAGTTTCTTTCACATAAACCTTCTTTGGTGTTTATATAAAAAAGATAGAGCACATTCAATTACTTAAGTTGCCAAATTTGCAGGAAGATCCCACCAATGGTTTTTTCTAGATCACAGTTTGTAGTTTTTGTGAAAAAATGGCTTTTTCTTGAGCGGAGGCGCTGTTTGAATTTTCTTTTAAATGTCATTTTGTAGAGAATTAGTTAACCATTCTACTCATATCAAATTATTATTTGACGAAGTCGAATAGAAGTTTTAGACATTTTTTTGATTTTCGGCGCCGAGTCATAGTCCCCAACCCAATAGATCAGATCCGAATTTGTTCAGAACTAGTTCCCCACTTCCTTCTGTTTCCCTTTTTCCTTCTACTCTAATCTTTTCTCTATTTATTATTTAATCTATTCAATTTTTAATATATCTCAAGATTCTTTGTGAATCTTTAGAGAAGATAAAAATAGAGACAAGTTTAGAGAAGAGAAATAGAGGGATTTTAGAAAATGGATTAGTTTAGAAGAAGTGAAGAAGTTTATAGTTTATAGTTTATGTTTATGTTTAAGTTTATAAAGCTTAAGATTATAAAGTTTGCTTATAAAGTTTGTTTATAAGGCTTAGGCTTATAAAGTTTGTTTATAAAGTTTGTTTATAAAGTTTGTTTATAAAGTTTGTTTATAAAGTTTGTTTATAAAGTTTATGCTTATAAAGTTTATAGTTTATAGTTTATGTTTATGTTTAAGATTATAAAATTTAAGCTTATAAAGTTTATGCTTATAAAGTTTGTTTATAAGGTTTAGGCTTATAAAGTTTGTTTATAAAGTTTATAAGGTTTAAGCTTACAAAGTTTAAGCTTATAAACTTTGTTTATAAAGTTTAAGCTTATAAAGATCTTAAAAGAAAATAGTTTATAGAATATAAAGATCTTAAAATAAAGTGTAATTAAAAGTAAGTAAAAGTAAGTAAAAGACTTAGTGAAGATTTGAATGCAATGAATGAATTGTAAACTTTTTCCGAACTTGGGTTTTTATGGAACTCGGCTTGGCTCGGCTTTAACTCGGCCTGGCTTCCGTAACCTAACCCGTACAGCTAATAGCTATTTCCATGAAGACTAGAGTACAGAAATCCTTGTTGTTATCTGTAGAATACTATTATAACTATCTACAAACTGTCTACAGTGATTACAAGTATTGATGTAGCCGTAAAAAAACGAATAGACAACAAAATGGTATTCAATTGAAGACAAAAAGAGCCTTTCCTTTATCCTTATTGATATGTTGATGATAAATGATTAAAATTCGATAGATATTTTAAATATTATCTTATTTACATGAAAGATTATGATATTTAGCTAAACTTTAAAAGTTTAAAAGTAAAATTTGATTTCCAGAAATATCACCAGACTCAAACGAATCAACAACAAGTGAGATTGCATCGACAATATGTTTTAGTTTCACAAGTGGGCTTTTACTTGCAACCTTTTTCCGAGAAAATCCTGGGTTGGCGCTTTAAAGCGTGGCAAAACTACTGTACCCGTCCAATTTGCGAGAAATTTCATTTCTTTCATTCTTGTTCATTTCTTTTTATTCTTTTTGCGTTTTTTTAGGTGGTTACGTTTGTTTTTGCAGAAAACGTCAAAAGATTAAACTCCTTAAATTCTGAAACGTTCAATTTATCCGCTGGAATACCAAAAGCACCGCTGGAATACCAAAAGCCAATGGATAACAAGAGTCTTGGCCATACAACTCATAGCTGAAAGTTGACTTCGAGCTTTCCGAGGAAATTCTCGATTGGCGCTTTAAAGCCTGGTAAAGCTACCGTTTTTGTTATTTTCGTTGCAAAAATCAAAAGATTAAACTCCTTAAATTCTAAAAAAGTTCAATTTATCTTCAAATCCTAAAAAAATTTGCCCTAAAAATCAAGTTGCGACCTTTTTCCGAGGAAATTCTCGATTGGTTTAAAGCGTGGTAAAACTACCGTACCCCTCCTTTGCGGAAATTTCATTTTTTCATTCTTCTTCATTTCATTTTATTCTTTTTGCGTTTTTCTGATGTGTTTGCGTTTGTTTTTGTAGGAAACAAAGAGGATAAAGCTAAGTTACTTTTTAACACCATTTTCTATGGCGGGGCTTTGTTTATAGAGTTTTTTAGATCCACTTGCTTCCTGACGATCTGCTTCACGAACTTGACGCCAACTAATGTTGGTTTAAGTGGTTTTATCATTTTCTATCGCGGGCTTTGTTTGGAGTTTTTAGCCCATTGCCCCCCCCCCCCACGTCCTGTATTGATGACGATCTAATGATTAACTTTAGTTTTTTTCAATTTCCTAAGTATCGTTTTACAAGCTTAAAAAGTCACAAAAACAAAGCTTCCGCGATAGAAAATGATAAAAATCACTTAAATTAACATTAGTTGGCATCAAGTTCGTGAAGTAGATCGTCAAGAAGCAAGTGGGCTTAAAAAAACTCTACAAACAAAGCTTCCGCGATAGAAAATGGTGTTAAAAAGTAACTTAGCTTTATCCTCTTTGTTTCCTACAAAAACAAACGCAAACACATCAGAAAAACGCAAAAAGAATAAAATGAAATGAAGAAGAATGAAAAAAATGAAATTTCGCGCAAATTGGGAGGGGTACGGTAGTTTTACCACGCTTTAAAGTGCCAATCGAGAATTTCCTCGGAAAAAGGTCGCAAGTCAACTTTCAGCTATGAGTTGTATGGGCCAAGACTCTTGTTATCCATTGGCTTTTGGTATTCCAGCGGTGCTTTTGGTATTCCAGCGGATAAATTGAACGTTTCAGAATTTAAATAGTTTAATCTTTTGACTTTTGCGACGAAAATAAAAAAAAAATAACAAAAATAAAAAAAATCGAATTTCCCTCTAGAGAATTATAATAATAATAATAATAATACTTTATTCAAACGATAAAGTGAAAGAAATGATAGAGAAATGCACAGTGATACTTAATCATACAATACATACTGAAATCAATAAGCCAATTACTTACGGCAAAGAGCCACTAGATCTAAAGCATCGATACGTTTCTTGAATATGAAAAGCGACTGAATTTCTCGTATGTCGTTTGGGAGCAAGTTCCATAATCTAGCGGCTCTAACGGGAAATGAATTTGATAAAGAGGCATTGGAAGCAAAGGGAATTTGCAAAAGGAATGAGCCACTTCTGGGCCCTGACCGCGGTTTAAATTTGAAAAAGTCTATAAACAAAGGGCTAATCTGTTTACAACGGAGGATTTTGAAAGTTTCGACTAAATCAATGACAAAGCGACGATGCTGTAAAGTTTTTAGTTCAAAAAAAGCAAGTCTCTCCTCATAAGTAAAGCTAGAATATTTAGAATAGTCAATTCACTAATTAAAGGTGAAAAAAAGGGTTTTTGAACTTTAATTTTCAGATGATGTGCAATAATTTGACGATAATTTCGGCGACGATCGCCGTTACGGTGATAATTAGTGCGACGAATGGAACGAGCATGGCCGAATTCGTCTGTTTCACTGTCATTTGGATGATCTCGTGTTTGATGGAGAGGTTCGCAAAGAAAATTGCTTTTGCTTAAGCAGTGCAAGACCATAATTTTCTGCATTTAAGTAGAAATCGGCACTATAAAGTAAAAAAACAATGACGAACTGTCACACTAGAAATGCTTTTAACTTGCTTCAAATCTATCGGATTCATCTGATCTATAGCTCAAAAAATAGAGAATCTCAAGAGCTTTCAAATAAACTAAAGCACACCGAAAAATATCAATTCTAAAGAAAGTTACAGTCATTTGTAGTGCTCCGTACTCGCGCGAGTCACTGTAACCACTGTAACTTTCTTTAGGTTTAATATTTTTCAGTGTGCTTTAGTTCATTTGAAAGCTCTTGAGATTCTCTATTTTTTGAGCTATAGATCAGATGAATCCGATAGATTTGAAGCAAGTTAGAAGCGTTTTTAGTTTACGTTTAGTTTGTAGCGCTTATGTCTACATTTATGTAATAATTTAAACTAAAGGCGTGCCTATTAGAGCTAGGCCAATGAGTCAAGGCTGATCAAGGAACTTTAGCTCATTAGTCAGGCTGGATTAGTCAGACTCATTAGTCATCAGTCAGGCTCATTAGTCAGGCTCTTGGCTGGATCAGTTATTTTGCGGTTAATTGTAAAAGTCAAGGATCAAGTCTGGTTTAGTTAAGGATGTTCTATCGTTTTAAGGCATTTTAGGGCCGTTTTAAGGCCTTTTTAGAGCCAAGTGCGAGTCAAATCTGGTCAAATCAAGGCCAAGATCAGCTTCTGGCTAGTTCAAGTACTTCTTTATCAGCCATTGATCTCCATGGCTGACTGGATAAGAGCCTTGTATCATAGTCGGGGTTCAATCCCGTCGGCTACTTTTGTGAGCTAGGCCATACTAGGCCAGAATCAAGCCTGATCAAGGCTTGATTCTGGCCTCGTAGGCTTGATTCAAGGCTTGATTCATGGCTTGATTCTGGCCAAGATTTGAAATCAGTTTGACATCATTGATTCGGCCACAGTCTTTAGCCTTAAAGAGCTAGAATCTTAGCCATTGAAGCCTAAGAGCCAAGCCAAGGTATCTTAGCCAAGCCATTGCTTGCAGCAATCACTCTTTCTCTAGCAGTCATTTGCAAATCATTTCAGCGTTCTCTGCTTGATCTTTTTCCGAACGTCTCCCAAAG